ATTATTTGTCTTACGACTTTTTCCGTTTTGAACGCTCGGTGAATTTTTGAAAATCCAATGTTGACTTGACCACGTATTTGTGTCGAGTATAGACATTTCTTTTATCAGATATTTATTATCCGATCGTAAAACACATTGAATATCTAAAATAGCGGAAGACATTGTTGAGCACGTCTTTCTCACAGAACGGATCAGTTTCAACTGAATTTGGGTGTTATAGTCGTTTGTTATAGTCAAACTATTACTTTATTTATTTATTTCCCTAATTCTTTATCCGTCAAATTTATTTATTGACTTTATTATCAAATCATTGTTAGGTTAGATTAAGTATCGATATCGTATTCGAATCTTCTTTTTCGGTTAGATGGACTCTGTCGCATATTGTACTGGTATTTTGATTGGTGTAAATGTTTCGATATTTTGTATTCTAGATTCTAGATCAGAAATGGATCCTAAATATGACTAACGTTATTCCTTAACATCATTCTTATTTATCCAACTATTATGACTTTCATCGAATCCGAGCCACTTTACAAAAATTTTTTGTTCTTTGGTTCGGATCACTTTTTCAACTAAATAATCATTCGGAAAATCTGTTTTATTCAACTCTTCGCTATAAAAACATCCGGCGATCGATCCCCCTGTATAGTCGTTTAACATATACGTTGTAGGCGTCGTTTTATTTATTTTTACAATAGTGAAAATCTCTGTTGACCAGTTGGGTAGATATCCTTTTGTGAACACACCTTTCTGTGTACTTACTCGTACGCTATCGCCTACTTTGAATTTATTTATTTTAGTAGGTATATTACCGCGTTTTATTTTGACTTTTCCGGGATTATTATCCGCTTCTAATGGTATCATCCCAATTGTTCTATGCTTTGAATTATTATATTCGTTAATTAATGAGGATAAAATAGACAACCAGTTATGATTTCCTCTTGCAGTAAACTCCCTAAACATTTTTTCTTTCAAAGTACGATTGAAGCGTTCGACAATACAGGCTTTCGTGGTACTAAACGTAGAATATTTTTTAACATTATATTTTTTCATTAACGTATCAAACGTTGAATTATAAAACTCTTTTCCATTATCTAGTTGTAATAACTGCGGTGAGCGATTAATTAATATTGTAGACATGGCATGAGTCACTTCTTTAGCCGTTTTGGATTTCAGAGGTATAGCCCATGCATATTTCGTAAAACAGTCTATGACACATAGTATATATTTATAACATTTATTTTTCTTTGAATACGATATCATATCGATCAGATCTGCTTGCCATAAATCATTTTTTCCATATACATTAACTCTTATCTCGTCTATTGAATTTTTTTCTAGCCGGTTTATGTAGTTCGAGCGCTATCTCACGTTTAGACATTTGGAATCCGTTTTATTAGCCCCGCTTCGAGTAATTCTTCAAAAATCGATAATATTTCGTTTCCAACACCTGTGTTTCCAGCAGCTTGCGATGCCAATAATAATTTTAACCTATCAATTATCTCGTTTGGGTTGTCCCAATAAACTAAATTATTTTTTTGTAATTTAACTCGGAGTCCACCGCCGGAGGGAAATAATTTAGATATAATGTTTATGTATTTTTTACCACCCTTTTTAACCTTGGATCCATCGGTTATTAAATGAGCGTACGTATGTTTTAGTATATACTTGTACGTATATAAATCGTGTGAGGTATACGAAATCGGAGATTTCAGAAAAATTAATTGTAAAAGTCCCTCTGTTGTTATATATTCGATTTTTTTTAGATCTAAGACTATTAATTTTCCGTCAGTGAATTTAATTACATTTTTTCCTAAAATGATTTGATTATGTATTTTCTTCGGACCATACGTTTTATCGAAATCGGGGGAATTAAACAAATTTTCTAGTTCAGCATTATATTTAGATTTTCTCACGGGTATACTTTCATCGTTTTCTACTAATTCTTCTTCTACTTTTTCGGGGGTACTGCCTTATGTTTAAGTGAAAATTTCTGCGTTTCATGTATTCTATTCAAAGGTTCAATAATCGGATCTAGAGTTTTTATTACTTTTGCACGAATATTAGCCTCCCCGCTTTTCAACGCGATAAATTTACGTTTAATATTTTCTTTTGCCTTCACTAGCTCTTCTAATATACGTTGTTCATTATCCATGGTCGAGTTTTAAATGATAATTATTATTAAAAAACAAAGACTTATATAGCTACATACGTATCGAATCCAAATCGGTAACGCCCGTTATCGCGTTCATTATCTTTACAAATAACAACAAAAGCAAACCTATCGCGATTCCAACATGTGTTACAAAAATGTTTAAATTCGATATAAGACATATCACCCGAACAGTGTTCATTATATACATGTTTTAAATTTGTTTCGTCTTGTTTGAATAACACTATTAAATTTGCATTGTCACGTATCAATTGTTTAGGCACTTTCGAATAACTTTGGGCTAGATAGAATATATCTACGTTATTGTGTCGTCCTCGTGAAAAATATTCTCTAATAACAGCTTGCTGTTCCCCGATAACATCGTCCATAATAAACACAGAATTCGGTAAAACTTTTTCGGGCGATATAACTTTATCATTTTCGAAAAATGTAAATATTTTAACACCATCGATTTCGTTAATAATCCGCTTTAATAACTTATACTTTGGTTGATCGAGCGTTTTTGAATAAATGTAAACATTTTCAAATCGCAGTCCGTTTTCATCAACTAGTAAAAAATATATTAAATTTGTTTTGCCACAACCCGAACTACCCAATACTAATGATCTAACCGTATTCGGAAATAATTCCCCGTGTCTAGATTTTGTCGTGTCAGTAGTATCGATGTTATATATCCGAAGTTTTTTCTCTTGTTGAATAAATCGCATTTCAATATAAAAGCTGTTGTCATATCTTAGTGAGCATCACACGATGACTCGCGCTCGAAGAAGGAAGACGAATAAAGGTTTAGGTCTAATCAACTCCGCTATAAATCATCTTCCAGTAGAACNGCATCTACCGGGTTACAGATTTTGTGGTCCGGGTACAAAGTTGAAAGATAGGTTAGCACGGGGCGAGCGCGGAATAAACAGTTTAGACGAGTTAGCTAGATCTCACGATATAGCATACGAAAAAAGTAACTCGTTGAGTGATAGACATATTGCAGATAAAATATTAGAAGAACAGGCTTGGAACGTGTTTAAATCTAGAAAAACCGGCATCAAAGAAAAGGCTGCCTCTTGGTTGGTCACTACAGCCATGAAAGTTAAACGCAAGATGGGGTCAGGATGCGGTTACAAACAGATAGTCGCGGTGGGTAAAAAAGCGCTTAAAAGTAAAATAGGCGAAAATAGTTTATCTAAATTAATAAGTACGTGTATGGTGGCGGTGAAAAAAATGACTGGAAAAAAATCAAAATCACCCAGAATTATACCTATTCCGAAAAAAGGTGGCGTGTTACCGTTAATACCTATCTTTGCCGGTTTATCAGCGTTGGGTGCACTCACCGGTGGTGTAGCTAATGTAGTAAAAGTAATAAACGACTTGAAAGCAGATAGAAATTCGCCTATACATTTAGGGAAAGGAATGTACTTAACACCTTATAAAGGTTCATCGTACAAAATAGAGGAAGGCAGAGGTTTATACCTAGCACCATACAAACGCGGTGGCGGTTCGAGTAAGAAACCGAGAAAATCGTCAAAAAACTAATTTTCACGTTACCCAATAGAGCCTTGTACGATTATGAAATTATAAAATACGCACGTATGTTTAAAATACCTCATTTCATAGGCGTCTTCCCTAGAGATAGGTTGCCTAACAAAATTAAACAACTGGAATCCGCTGTTGTTAATTTGGACGAAGAAAAAGGTGAAGGTACTCATTGGGTAGCGTATAAAAAAATCGGTAAACAAGTGGAATATTACGATAGTTTTGGAAATTTACCTCCACCACTGGAATTACAGAAATACTTTCACGGATTTAGTGTTAAATACAATTACGAGAGAGATCAGAAATATAATTCGACAAACTGTGGGCATCTGTGTTTAAAATTTTTATCATGTATACGATAACATTAAAAGGAAATTCGGCGAATTTGTCTTGTGATTTTTTCCCTCCGATAGAAGTCAGTGAAAACGCCAAGATTTGTCTACTAGGCCTTCAAACAAACAATTCTATTCCTAATATCAATGAAAAATGTAATCGTATAGGTTTTAACGTTAAAAGAAAAAAAAACGCTATAATTAATGATGAAAATTACACAGTTTCATCGGATTTGTATACAACGAGAGATTCGTATACAGAAAATAAACTATTAGACGAGAAAGAAGAAATAATTTATTATACGATGACGATTCCGACGGGTTCATACGAGTTGAATGAATTAGAGACAGCGATTAAACAATTATTATTCGATAAACCTATAAAGTTTGAATTGAAAGCGCACAATACAGCTTTAAAGTGTAGAATGAACTCGAATGTACAAATCGATTTGACTATGCCCAATAACATAGGTACGCTATTAGGCTTTAATAACGGATTCTACGAAGCGGACGTTATTCACCGGTCAGATACTTTGGTCAATATCGCCAGAGTTAACTGTATATATATCGAGTCAAACCTAGTTGTTGGTTCATTCGTCAACGGGAAGCAGCGCCATATAATACACGAGTTTTATCCTAACGTACCACCGGGTTATAAAATAATAGAAATTCCTACACACTTGGTTTCATATTCAATAAATTGTACTTCTATAACTCACGCCAGTATTGTTTTAAAGGATCAGAACGACGACACGATCGATCTGCGTGGAGAACCGATATCTGTACGGATATTAATTCAAGATTCCGGCAAAAACATCTAAAATGGGTATACAATTTTATAATATAAATAGGGCTGCAAAGTTGGATAAAAACAGTCGTTTCAAAACCGTCACCAAGTCAACACTCCCAGTGAAAACAGTCAGAAAAAATAATTCAAGACATAATAAACAGAAAAAACAGATAACAGCTAAAAATTTAGCTTTTCTTCGTTCGATAAACGTTATTTAAAAAATGGACGAAATGTATTTAGACGTGAGCGGTGGGTATGTCGATGATTGTAGAATAACCGATATCGAATATCATTCATTTTTACCATACTCGTCTACCGCACTATCTAATAACGATGAAGTACGTATCCCTCTACATAACACTGAATCGTATACTCTACCGTGTGAAAGTTATATTTACATCGAAGGAACGATAACCAAACCCGCAGATGTAACCGATAATGTTAGTTTTATAAACAACGGACTAGCATTTCTTTTCTCAGAAATGAAATACGAGGTAAACGGTATTCAAATTCAAAAAATCGTTAACCCCGGCATAGCTGCAATATTAAAAGGATATTGTTCATATACTAAATCGGATATTGCTTCACGTCAGAATGCCGCTAGGGACAGTGATTTCGAAAATGCTAATACAAATTTTATTGAAACCGACTCGTTTAACGGATATATAAACTTAAGAGATTTGTTTGGGTTTTGCGAAGATTATAAACGTATTCTAATAAACTGTAACCAACAACTCGTGTTGAATAGAGCATCGTCGGACTTGAACGCGATCAAGTTTACTAAACCTGATACCCCTAAATTGAGCGAAATTAAAGTAAATATCACGAAAATATTATGGAGAATGCCTATGGTACGAGTGAGCGATAAAGAAAAAATTAGGTTGATGAAAGTAATGAACAGTCATAAACCTATCACGTGTGCGTTTAGATCGTGGGAGTTGTACGAGTATCCGTTTTTGCCTCAGAACACAACACATTCGTGGAAAGTGAAGACAACGAATAAGTTAGAAAAACCGCGATTTGTTATAATCGGATTTCAAACAGATAGAAAAAACAGCGAAACTAAACCTATGTCGTGCTTTGATAATTGTAGAGTAAAAAATCTAAAAGTTTATTTAAACTCTGAAACATTCCCATACGAAGATTTTCAAAATGATTTCACTAAGAATAAAATAGCTACGGTATACCGAGCGTATGCAGAGTTCCAGAAATCTTACTACGGTCGTGACAACGTCACACCGCTATTAACCCGATCAGAGTTCAAGACATATGCGCCAATCATTGTTATCGATATGAGTCGGCAGAATGACAACTTAAAAACATCGACTGTAGATCTTAGGATTGAATTCGAAGCAGATATACCATTTCCACCCTCTACGTCGGCGTACTGTTTAATTTTACACGACCAAATTATAACTTACAATCCGTTTAACGGTGTAGTACGTGTATTATAACCTTGTTTCTAGAGATACCTATTATATTATGTACAATTTATTATATAACTAATACCTCGAATAAATAAAAACTGGTTTTTAAAAATTAAATAAAATATGTTTTTATTTCGAGAACAGAATACATAAAAGGTATTTTATAGAGTAGATTATTATTACAAGTATTTTATATATAATGTGATATATTATAATCTTCTTCTTCGTTCGACGGATTGATATATTGTGGCCTGAAAGGTCCATCGTTATGATCAACCCCTCTCTCATCCTTTACGTGTGGTGGCGGTGTTATCGGTGAATAGCCGTGTAATGTCATCGGCAAAAAACTGGGAGGTGATATCGGTACAAACATCTGAAATAAGTTATTTTGTTAACATTATTATGTTAGTTTATTTATATATTTAAATGAGGTCTTAATGTTATACTCGCTTTTCTCGTTTCTTCTAAACGTGCGATGTTCTGCAAAATTCTATTTTCTAGAGTTATTAACTGTAAGAGGTCTTCGCGGTTCAGTAACACTCTGCACCCGTCTTGAGTTTTCGACTCGAATACGATAACGTTTTCTCCTTTATATACCATACTCGAAAGTGTCGTAGTTTCGGTATACGAAAAAACATTTTTTTTATATGTCGGTGGATTCAGTAAAAACGACAGTATATCTCCCATTAATCGGTTAATACTTTGAAAGAACTCGACGGTGATAAGTATGTGTCTCGAAGGCGTGATTATAAGTATGACTGTGTGTTGAGAAGGATCAAGCCCCACGTGTAGAAACTTGCATGAGGGAAAATCGATAGTGAAAGATAAACATTCGGTGAGATCCTGAGGCGATACCGGTGCGACGTATTGATACTTTTTGAACGACATATTTATTCACTCGTAAAAATATTTCAAACACTAAAAATTTGTATATAGAGAAATGAAGACTTGATGCTACGACTGTGAGACGAATAATGATTTTGTTGTGAACGTGTTTGTATTCTCACGAGTCAAAATGTGTGAATTTATGGTGGGGGGGCTAAGAGACATGCAGGATCGTACAGGGTCTAACAGACGAGAAACACATTGCGCGTTACTGTCGATATATAAATATATATAAGCGATACTCGTACTCACGGGTAGATTATATAGGCCTATCGAATATTGTAATCGATAGTTAATTATCAATCGGAGCAGTCGATTGTCGGCCATCGAATTATATATGATAACCTATGCGTTTCTATATGAGAATCTCAACTATCGACTGCGATTGTCGTCGTTGACGGCGCGCGTATGACAGCTAGTATAATAAATGAAAAATACGTAAAACACGAATAAAAATACATGTTAATCAGTATTATTTACGAAGGGTAGAGGTGATACCGCCGTAATGGTTTTATTGCGGGTGGATATTAGATTGAAGTCGTTATTGTCCTCGCGCACGTACACCAAAAGGTCTACTCGTATGTTCGATAAAGGTAAACAATATTATAATATTTTACATAATAATAATATTAATCGTAAAAATTGTATTTTTAGGTATACGCTGCGGGCTAGTACAGACGAGCAAACGGTACGCGAAAGCCAACAACCATACGATGACGGACTTTGACGAGACGAAAGACAACTCGTGGATAATATATCAGGATTGTAAGTATTCAATAATATACAATAAAGTATATAATAAAATATATCTTATAAAATCGTTTTCTGTTGATTTTAGGTAACAATTTGTACGGGTGGGCGATGAGTCAATATATGCCCCACGATGGATTGAAGTGGATTGAACTTACATTAGACGGTTTGGACGAATTAGACTATACTTCACCCATAGGGCGGGTATACGAGGTAGACATTGAGTATCCAGAAAATTTACATCTCGAACGTAATGACCTCCCGTTTCTGCCAAACAATAATATCCCGCCAGGTTCTATATTTATAATTTTTATTTTGTTTACAGAATTTGCTGTGTTGGATATTTCGAAGACGATGATGTATAACCACTACAATGTTATGAGGAAACATTTCAAAAACTCTATACAGTTGATGTACACCGACACGGGTAAATTATCGTTATTATTATTATTTTTCAGATTCGTTAGTGTATCACATCAAAACCCATGATTACTATGAAGACTTATTGAGAAAGCCGGGGTTGTTAGAGTGTACGAACACAACCAACTTACCAGTCAACCATAAATGTTTTACTGCTGAAAGAAAGAAGATTCCAGGTCACTTCTCCGAGGAGTCGGATGGAAGGACCATAACCGAGTTTTGTGCGTTGCGGGCAAAGACATATGCGTACAAAATAGATGGGAAAGAAAAGATCAAGGCCAAAGGAATCCGTGGACACGTCGTGAAGAATCACATGACTTTTGACGACCACAAAAAGTGTTTGTTTGGTGAGGATAATCTGGATCGGCATAGACAAAATGTTTCCATCCGTTCATTCCACCATCGACTAAAGACCATAATAACAAACAAACTGACTTATAATAATTATGACGACAAGATGATTACACTGGAGGATAAGATAAATACAATGGCGTATGGATACCGCGACCTACTTGAATAAATTATGTGTATATTTGTAAATAAGCTGTATAAAAATGTATATACCTACTTTTTAAATAATATTTACCAATTGTCACATGAGAGATAAAATAAAAACACAATTATTTACAGAGAAAAAAAACATACTTTATTTTCATTCAAGGTTTTAAAAATATAAAACGTTTTTATTTAAGAATTATTAATAAACCATTTTCGTAAGGCGAAAACTTTATGAAATTTACATGTTTTCATGTTTAAGATTTAAGTCTATATGAAAAATACAGCAAGGTAAGTTTTCATCATGACATAATTGGTTTAATCGTGGACACTCCATGATCTCCATATTAATAATGTCGATTAATGTCGACTTGCGGGATAAATTCTTTGATTATTTTATGTTTCTGTTCTCCCTTGACGTATATGTGATTGAATTTCAACAAGTTCAAAATACGATCGAGTTCTTCATACTCTACATCGCCGTATTCTACGGGTATATTATTGAAATTTCGTTCGAGCCATTTATTTGTCTTACGACTTTTTCCGTTTTGAGAGCTCCGGGAATTTTTGAATATTCAATGTTTAGTTGCCCACGTATTTGTGTCGACTATAGACATTTCTTTTATCAGATATTTATTATCCGATCGTAAAACACATTGCATATCTAAAATAGCGGAATACATTGTAAGGCACGTCTTTCTTACACAACGGATCTGGTTAAACTGAATTTGGTTTCGTCAGCAGTAGTCAAATACTACTTTATTTTTCTCCATAATTCTCTATCCGATGATATTCTAAATCATTGTTGGGCGTATCGATAGGTGTCACTTTTGTAATCGATTTTTCTTTTTTCGGTTCGGTAGACTCCCCCGCATACTGTGGTGAAGGTGGTATTTTGATTGGTGTAAACAGTTCGATATTCTATATTCTAGATCAGAAATGGATCCTAGCACCCCCATAAGCTTACTAATAACTTATTGCGTATCATCTACAGTGGTTGTAATTAAAGAAACCTAATTTATCAGATTTTCTAATTTTTCATTCAGTGATTTAATATCGATTTCATGCTTATCAGTATGCCTAGCGCAAGAAGTAAGTTCATTTTGAATCGATTTATTTGAGACAACAAGCTCTGAAAATAATATATTTCTTTCACTTTCTCTAGTAGCTTCAAACACGTTCATGGTTGAAATATGACTAACGTTATTTCTTGACGGCATTCTTATTTATCCAACTATTGTGGCTATTATCAATATCAAATTGAACGGATCACTTTTTCGATCAAATAGGTATTTGGAAACTCTGTTTTATTTATTTCCTCGGCATAAAAACAGCCGGCGATCGATTTACTCGTATAGTCTTCTAAAATATACGTTGTAGGTGTTTTTTTATTTATTCTTACAATAGTGAATACCTCTGTTGACCAATTCGGCAGATAACCTTTCGTGAACACACCTTTATGTGTACTTATTCGTACACTATCGCCTACTTTAAATTTAATTTTTCTAACGGGTATATTATCACGTTTTATTCGGACTATTCCAGGATTATTATCCGCTTCTAGCGGAGTCATCCCAATTGTTCTATGTTTTGAATTATAATATTCGTTAATCAACATGGATAAAATAGACAGCCAGTTATGATTTCCTTTTGCAGTAAACTCTCTAAACATTTTTTCTTTAAGCGTACAATTGAACCGCTCGACGATGCATGCTTTAGTAGTACTATATGTTGAATATTTTTTTACATTATCCTTTTTCATTACCGTATCAAATGTTGAATTATAAAACTCTTTTCCGTTATCGAGTTGTAATAACTGTGGTGATCTTTTAATTAATATTGTAGACATTGCATTAGTCACTTCTTTCGCCGTTTTCGATTTTAGAGGTAAAGCCCATGCATATTTCGTGAAACAGTCTATGACACATAGTATATATTCATATCCTTTATTTTTCTTTGAATACGGTATCATCTGGATCAAGTCGGCCTGCCATAAATCATTTTTCCCATATACATTAACTATTCGTCTATTGAAATCTTTTCTAGCCGGTTTATGTAGTTCGATCGCTATCTCGCGTTTAGACATTTGGAATCCGTTTTATTAAACCTATATTTGATCAAAAATTATAGGGTCCCCGTTATAGTATTCTGGGCGGGAATCACTAATAAGGTTATTGTTCGCGCCATCAACATTGCCAGAACTACAGACAAGTAAAAATTTACTACAAATAAAAAATAATGAATTGGAACTCTCGACTAAAACATCACAATTAATTATAAAAACAAATGAAAAAAGATCCTTATTTCTAACATATCAGTTACAATAGATATTAACGTAACTTCAAAAGCTATACAAATAAATAACGAAAACCCGACTAATGATAATACTCAACAAATATAGAAGCCCCAACCAATAACTATCAAAGATGTTAAACATTTTAATAAACTACAACAGTTATAAACATGTGAAAAACCGGTAGGAAACGAAAAAAAATTCAAAAACCGACAAGAATCCTAACAACAAACGAAAGTCAATTCAGAAGTATAATAAAAATATTAGAAGAAAATAATTTTGAATACAATCGATAACAATTAAAAAGCGAAAACCATTTAGTATTACGAGTTATAAATCATGACACAAATATGGGAATAATTACTTATGAACTCTACGACCAAGGACACAAAATAATTAAAATAACTAATATACAGATCAAGAAAATATTTGATCTTAAAAACAAAAACAACGAATGGACATACATAAGGTTACCGTTATTCTTTGTAGATTTAAAACCACGAGAGAATAATAAAGACATATACAACATAAAACTACTATGCCATCAAATAATAAAAAGAGAACCACCACATAATAGAAAAAGAAATGCCGCAGTTGAAAAACTGCCAAGCTCTCGGTCACACACAAAATTATTGTCATAAATCAGCTGTATGCGTAATATGTAGCGAAGGACATAGAACCGAAGATAACTCCAAATCTAAAAAGCCAATGGTAAAATGTGCTAATGTGGAAGAGTTGGTCTGCTTACAATAAATCAATAGAAAGCATAATTTTTAATTATTTTAAATTACTATTATACTGATTGTTTATTATAGGTATACGCGGTGAACTGATACAGACGAATATGTGATACGCGAAGGCATACGGTTCACAACTACGACAAAACAAATGGCGATTCTTGGATAATATCTGGACTGTAAGTATATAATGTATACTTAGAATATATATACATAGAATATTTACAAATAATTTATAAATACTAATAAATCTGTTTTCTTTTATAGGTGATAATCTACGGGGTGGGTCATATCCCGATACATGCCTCACAGATGCTTCAAGTGGGTAAAGCCCACATTTATCGGTTTGGAGGATTTGGACGACACTTCGGCAATAGGGAAAGTGTACGAAATCGATATCAAATAATAGTCATGCACCCTGGACATCTAAACGAGGAACATAATGACTTGCTATTTCTGCCGATAAAAAACGGAGTACTACCTGGCTTGAAAGTAAAGACGTTAGAGGAGACGTTAACAAATTATGTAATTCACTATAGGAATTTGAAACAGGCTATGGCTAACGGACTGATTGTAAAAAAGGTGCATATTTTTATTTTTATTCGATTTATTTATTAATATATTTTTCTGTTATAGGTGCATACAGTTTTGCAGTTCAAACAGTCACCATGGCTTGCCATTTTTTAACGCTTATTTTCGGGGGTAAAACCACTACCTACTTTTGATTTTCAATTGACAACCTGTATTAAAAATTCCATAAATAGATGGAGTATTAGTTAAAATAAATTTTAGTGTTGGAATTTTTTATTTCTGTCGAGCTGTTGACGAGATATTTCACTTTTAATTTTTGGTTGGAGGAGAGTGGTGATGCATTAATAACACGTCGCGCGTCGTACCGCCATACAAATGACTTTACTTACTCTCCTCCAACCAAAACTTAAAAGTGGAATATCTCGTCAACGGATCAACAGAATCAAAAATTTCAACACTAAAATTGATTTTAACTAATACTCCAACTATTTGTGGACTTTTTAATAAAGGTTGCCATTTGAAAATCAAGAGTAGATAGTGATTTTACCCCCAATAATAATGGTGACAAAAAATAACACAAATATAAAACTAGAGCAGCTTGTTTCTTAAATAATCTAGAAAACAAATTCCGGAAAATAAATACTTTCAGAGATAATGAGTGTACCCACTTAAATGAATCACCTGGTACAGAAACTTGAATGCAGATTTGAGGAAAATTTCTACAAATTAATGAAAATGCAGTATTTGGTAATTTATTATTTATTATTAAAACTTTAACTGTTATTATATTATTATGATTTTCTATTCAAGACGATGCAACAAAAGATGGACGTTAAACTGGTATCGAGCGAGGAGAAAGTGCAGAAACTCATAAACAGAACATCGTTCAAATACTGTACTGTATACCATATACTTTATCATTCATACTTACTTTTTATAATTCTATCTTATTTTCGACTACAATTTATTCATGTATACAAAATATATTATAAATCCAATCAAAACTATTCAATAATTAAATGTTTAAAATCCAATTCCAATTTTTTTCCAATATAATTTATTCTTTAAATACATTAATTTGTTTTCCTACAGTTACTGTTTCTTGATTATTTTAAATCGGGGCAAAATTGCTGGTAGAAAAGTTATTCACAGAAATAAAATCATAATATTTTACTAATATATTTCGTACATATTTCCATTTTCCTCAGATTTTTTCGGTTTTTCACAATTGATGAGAAAACTCCCGAGAAAATCAAAAAATGACTTCCTTAAAGTACCACCCCAAGAAAATTTCTTATCAAAAAAAGGTCTATATCGTATACATCAGAGTAAGCTTTCTGGTAGATGTTGAAATAGTGTGTACAATACACTCAGTATATTTATTATTTTAGTTTAAATACATACTGTACCTTTTCTATATCTATATACAGGTACATTATTTAAGTAAACAGTTAATGTTTAAATGACACATTCCAATTATGGGTTTGGCAGCATACATATTAACCTGCAAGGCTGGGCAAATTTAAGGATTTCTTTTAACTCGTTAAGTTGTTTTAAAATAATAAAGTTAAGTTAAACTAAAAGTTACTCAAATTTTTTTAATTAACTCATTAAGTTAAAAGTTAACTTTAAAAAAAAGTAACTTTAGTTTAACTTAAGTTAAAATTTTCTAATTTACAAAAATAAAAAATTGCACACATAATATTAGTTTTTTTTATGCTTAAGAAAATTACTGGGGAAATTTAAAATGATACATAAAAGTATTAACTGGCTATCCAAAAACTTACTTTTCTAAAATAAATACTACTTCTGAATTCATACTCAAATCAATTTACCCAAGTGGTTTACATCCAAAAATTTAAAAAAAAAAACACCATTAACAGTTTTCTCCTAATTGCTAAGATACCAATATTTTTAATTGATTAACACTAATTTTAAAAATCAAACAGGCAGTACCAAGTTGGTACTACCAACCACCCAAATATTTTCTATACTGGGTACACAAAGTGCAGCCACCGTGTAGTTTAAAAGACTAGGCTCAGCCCTACATTGACAATTATCAGTAAAATCATAATTATTTTATATTATATTTTTAGATAAAAATAAAATAACAAATATTAAACCTTTAATAAATATCTTAAAAAATTACATATTTTGTATAAGCTTTAAACCTTTTCGTACAAAAAATTTAAATACCTGTTATATGATATAAAAATAACTATACATTGAAAATAGTCAATTATATACATAGAAGTTATCTTTTCAAAACTTTTGAATTATTATACAATTATTTAAAGTTTACCAATTTTGTACTTCCACTGTTGCTAAACATTATAAATAATAAAATAGTCACGAGTCATGACTATAGCAATCATTGTTGAAAGTCACTACACATCATTTAGGGAACATACAAATAAGATAATCGATAACCTCATTTATGTGGCTATATAGCATATCTGTGTAAATAGATATTATCTATAAACATATAAATATATATATATTATATACTCAATATTAATTAATTCCAAAGACAAAACATAATTTTTATTTTTATTGAAAATATTTATTATATTTTAACAAAAGAGACATTTCAAAATTTTGATCAGAAATGGATCCTCTCCTTTTGTCAAATGATTGACCACCAGCACTAAACAATCTCTCTACAGGTGCAGATGACGGTATAGCTGTGTTAAATTCTATATAAGCTTTTTTTTAATTCAAGTGTTAAATCAAGTGGTACCTTAATGTTAGTGTTTGATAAATAATTAGTAATTAAAGTTTGGAAATCAAAATTAACTACTGAGATTTGATCATTGAAAAAACTGAAAAATCATCTTCATTGTTTGTTTCAAGATTTGAAGAACTTAGAGAAGAAAGATTTTTGTTTTGATCAAAATGAAAATGCACACGATCAGTAACATGTTGTTTTATGATGTTTCTGTTTTCGGGATAATCACAAATTAATTTAAACTTTGGTACCAATGCGGAAGAAACTTGTAATGTTTTTGACTGCATGTAATTTTTAAACCTGAAAATATAATGCATATTTAATGTACCATGTAACATATAATGATATAATTCAGTTTTAATTTTTTAACTTAAGAATCGTTAAATATTAGAAGTGCATTATTATTTACACAGTATTTATAATGAGTTTTACGTTAGCCTTATCAAATTCTGTTTGACTAAGATTTTTCACAGATTTTCCCTACTTCCAATAATTTCAATTGTTTTTTGGGTCGAGTACAATTATTATTAATGTACGGCTTCCTTTTGCCAAGCTCATTTAATTTAATTCACTTGGATAAACATGCTGAAAAAATAGATATTAATTTCAATAATATAATACGCATAAAAATGACACATTTTTAAATTTATCCACTTATTTTTCAATACTTAATGCGAAATTACGTAATTTATACCTACAAGTTTTAGGTTTACTTTAGATAATATTGGAAAATTACAAAAATCATAACAATTAATGCAATTTATTTTAAAACAGTTAGTTAGGCAGCTAGGTAGCTGGTAGGTTTACTTCAAGGTTTTAATAACACGATTGATCAAAAAATAATTTTAATCGTTAATTTTCGAGTTGTTTACAAAAGCTGTTAAATTGGTACTTTTAGTACAGTATAGTGATTTATTTTGATACTGTTGAAAAAAATTAAATAATAACAGGCATTTGCACCTTGACATTAACCGGATATTTTTTCCTAATTTCGCGAATAATTATAATTGTCCGATATGCATGTGGAACTATATATATATAGATATTATTATAAATAAACTTTCCTTGATGTGAGTTTTTACGTTTTAATTTGAACTCATAGAAGTTGATATTAATTTTATTTTTGGCATGCAATGCTATGCATTTGAATGTAAAATTTGATTTTTTTTCAATTATATCTGATTCTGATTAGTTATTGCTCGAAATGAGTTTTTAAATAAGGCCACTTCAAATGGTCTTCAGACATTTTAGTTTTAAATAAACAAAATAGGTAATAAAGAAATAATAAACTTTCGCAGGAATATAATAAGCTAATAAAAATATGTTATAAATTCTAACGAGATACGAACGGAAAAGACGCTCCAGAAAAAAAAAAAAAAAGTAGTTGAATAATGAGACTATAGAAAATTGGAAATTGTACCACAGCTGTTTTGTTATTTAGGCCCCCGTCGACACTCGCTCTCGTGGTTGGTATTCACAGAATATTCTGCGGATTTCCGTGGGTTTATATACAATAAACAGTGTTATGAAAATAAAACGGACAGAGCCACGGATCACAATAGTTTAAAATCCGTGTAATCTTATTTGCGTTAAGCGCGTACAAATAACAATAATACAATATTATCTTTGCGCATACGCACTGCGCGGCCGCCCGCAAACAACGAACTCGATGTAAATTCCGTCTATGGAAATTTGTACGCGCACCAAGTTGCGATCTCCCGCAAACCGGTCCGGTCGCTGGTCTCCTTCATCCTAATATTGTACCGTACATCTGTGCGCGCGAAGCTATTCGCCCATATCTGTAAAAAGTTTAAGGGTAATATTGAATGGGTAACAAGCGTATATTGCGAGGGTCGACACGTGATGGTGTACTTGTACTTATCGTTTTATTACCTCATTAGTTGTCCATATTGTACGCTTCGCCGATAACACGTCGAAAGTAATTATTTATCGAATTCGGCGTTTTATCTGTATCGCGGACTTGTTGCAACGCCCGGTAATTAATGCGGCACGCAATTCGGACTTGCCGATTGTTGCCATTCGTTTAATAACGGAAAAACGGTCACGACAACATTTGTGACGTTCCACTTCAGGGAACCCGCCAAAGCGATAATCTGCATTTACCTACCTTTGAAAATATTATTAATGACAATTGATAACGACGAACGTGCAGGTGGATATTATGTAACCCACATAATGACCGTTAAAGTTATTTTTTCATCGTATTATTTTCGTCTACGGGAAATTCATATTAATACGGCTGAATTCAATGATCGTCATGCATGCGATACTTCTAGAGGAAAATTTGAATAAAATTTTCATTAAATTACGATTAATTTTCGGCTACTATTATGAGGAAAAATTCAATAGAATGTTCACTCAATTTCATTTCAAATAAGGTTGACGAATTTAATGTGAATATTGAGTTAATTCTGTCAAAATTTAAAATCCAAGAAAAAAACTGGATCTGGAAACAAAATGTGCCGCTTTGGAGCGTGAAATCACTTCTGTAATTCTAATATTCTTGAACAACATAATTTGGTTAATAATTTAGAAATTACTGGAATCCCAAAAACAGAAAGAATCTATTATAGAAATCGTTAATACCATTTCTCTGAATATTGAGCCGAAATCTATCACTGTGCGTATCGTACTAAAGATTCTCGTCGTTCGGGCAGTAAAATTGTACTCTGCTTCAATGACAGATCTGTGAAAGATTTATTTGTGCCTGCTTTAAAACGTCATTCGAAAGTAGGTAAGAAACCGTTATTGGCAAGTGATTTGCGTGCTGACTTTCCTGAGCAGAAAGTTTACTTTAACGATCAGCTATCGTTTACTAATAAGAAACTCTATTAGCTGGCGAAGAAAGTTGGATATCAATATGGTTATGAGCATATTTGGGCCAATTCCAGCGGTGTTTTTTGGAAAAAATATGGTGATTTTACTGGAGAACGCATATGTATTTCTAATCAATTGACAGGTATTGATCTTAACGGGGACGCGTATAAAGTACGAACATGTTTTGTTAGAAACGTATTTCGGTAGAAAACACCTATAAAGGTGACAACACTGTTATCTCATATCATCTGTTAACCGCTGAACGAGGATTTCTCTACTACGGAGTACTGTATATATAATATATACTTAAGATATATCAATTTCATAGCCTTTATTACTCAATGCTAATTAATTATATAAATTAGTCAATAGCATCAATCTGTCTTTATTGGTATTATCTACCTACAACTCTACTGTGGCCTTAGATATATTTAAATCTAAGGCCACGCTGTCGCTCGTCTTTTCAACAGCGCGCTCTGTTTGTATTTAATATAACTAATTTTCCAACTAAATATGGTTCTAATAAATTATTTTTCGACTAAAATACTTTTCTAGTCAAATATTTTTCTGCTCGAATAATTTTCGTAAATATATTTTCTACCGAATTATTTACGAACAAAATATAGGTCTTAACCATCTTAACCGAAAGATTAGCGAACTTTGGGTAATTTAATTTAATCCTATTCCTCCTCATTCTATATAAATACATTTATGTATACTTTATTTTTCCTTATTATTTATGTTCAACAATAATGCAAATCTTGTAAATATTATTAAAACGGTCGCTCATATCGAATGACTGATTAAATAATAAATAGTTTACTATTAATTGGCTTATCTATTTTTACTATGAATATTGGAAGTTTTGTAAGAAAAATATTGATCAATAGTTTTTGAATTCCGTTGTCTTTGAATTTGATGTTATAGTACAACTGAGTGAAACGCGGTTAAATAATGATATCGATTTTATGATTAATGGTAATCAAATTTTTAATCAATACATTCCCCCTGTATATCAAACAAATTTGACGGTATTTCAATTTTAGTCAAAAATAACTGTTTGATAAGAAATGTTCGTAAGAATATTCTGTCCAATTGTAACTGTATTGAAATCAATATTGTAAAAGGCAACTTTTCATTTTATTTGACTGGTATTTACGTGTCTCTATATTAATAACTGTATTGATTATTTTCTTTTATCCTTAAGCGATTACTTATCGCATTGCGGCCACGACAAACGCGTTTTGTGTGCTGATCTCAATATTGATATATTACTTAACAGCAATATTTCTTGTGAGTATTTAAATATTCTATATTCAGAAGGATTTTTTTCAGCTGGTAATAATTATACGACAATTAACAATTTTTTCTAATTCTTCTATTGATCATATATTTATTAAACGTTTCACCAGATTCAATTTCACCGTACATCTTGCGTAGTAGAATTACTGATCACTTTAGTACGATAGTAAACATTCACTTTGATCATTTTTCCTCTTCTGATTCCTTTTATAACACACGATACTTTTATTCGTTATAATAAAATTGATTTTTTTTCATCTTAATAAACCCCGACTTAAACCACGGATTACGTTAGGTCTCATTACATCGATTAGAACTAGGGAAAAACTGTGATGAGTTATTCATCGATTATTCAGTACCTCCGGGTAACGTTCTTGGCCCCTTCCTTTCCATAATATACATAAATGACTAGCTCAGCCTAAATATTGATGGTGAGATTTTATGTTTCGTTTGATAATACCATAGTTTTATTTGGTGACGCTAACTTATGTAAGCTGAAGGAAAAAGTTGAAAATGGTGTTAGCTTAATTGAAAATTGGTTTCATTGGAATTTAATTAATTTAATTAATTTAATTCCTTAGAACTAAATTTGTCTAAATCCTGTTTTGTTCAGTTCAAAATTAGTAATCATCACATATTTAATATTGATAAAGTTAGAATTAATTTACTTAAACGCAATAACATTTCATTGGATTGTTCTTGTCCTACTACCTCTAAGGTCACATCAGTTAAATACTTAGGTGACCATTTCAATGAATTTTAAAATGGGATGTACACATTTCTCGACTCACAAAAGCAGTTCTTAAATTTTTTTTTATATTTAAATCTCTAAGATATATGTTAAATAATTATCTTAAAACCATTGTCTTTAAATCACATATTTAGATACTTATAGACTTCAAACCACAATTAATTCTTTAGTTAAATTTCTTTTTAATAAGCCTAAGCTCTACTCTACATCTTTACTTCACAATGAATACTCTTTCTCTAACATAAAATTAAATTATATTTTAAATCTTTGTGCTGTTGTCTTTGGATATAAAACCACAATTAATCCTCCATCTCTTAAGTATAATACTTTTCATTAGAGCACGGATGTTGTTGCAACATTTTTCTATTTGTTCAATTTATTGCTAAGTGAGTTTTAAATACGTTTCATGTAAGTACAAATTCAAATCTAGAAGTTTCAAGTACAATGTTTTGCAGTTTTGTTGAATTTATTAATTTACACAAATATTTTAGCTATAGTCGACATTTGACCATCGTACAGATAAGATTATATTATAATTTTGGCAGCCATAAAATAGAATAATATTTATTTTATTAATTATTTATTATTTTCGAAAAAAACATTTTTATTTTGATAATTCCATATTAGTAGGTATTCAATACAATACAAAAATAATTTGTGAAATTTGACTGTAATAATCTGTTCTTCGGTCACTCCGTGAATTTTGAGTGATTGTGTTCTGTTATTGTTTTGTAAATATGCCGAAAATTAAGCCAACTATTTACATTTTTGTAAAAAAAATTGTTCTTTTTTAGTGCAATACTGCAATCAATTTCAATAATTTTTTACTACTACAATATCTGTGCTCTATTCATCATAAACAAAATGTCAACACCTACTTTCCTTTTATTGTAACTGTTTCTGCACAATCTGGACCTTATTTTATTTTTACTAGTTTTTATTTAATTAATAATATTAATTTTTCCCATTTTAAATATTTCAAAACATATGTTTATTCAATTAGTTTTAATGATCTTATAATTTAAATTATACAATTTACTATTCATTATTTTTTAAAGATAATGGAATTAAAAAAAATATATATGTATACATATTTATCACTTGTTATGTTTTCTTTAATGTTACAATATACATTTTTAATTTATATAATTATATAGGTACTCAGCATTATAACTAACTTTGTTTGATTTTTGTAACTATCATAAGAACTCATCCCTTTAGTCACAAGCTTACTTTTTGAAAGTGTATCATACTTGTAAATGCATCAGTTAATTATTATGTTTGCTCTTTTGTATGACAATAAACGACATATTATTATTATTACTTACAAATAAGCTATAACTAATTAAATGCAACATAATTTTTACATCACAAGCACAATTCATAAATTCTTAAAACAATTTTTATAAGACTAACAAAAATGCACAGTTAATTATGGTGGTTTTAAATAAAAAGTAAATTTTTTGAATATTTTCAACAATTGTTTTACTCGGAATTTCTGTAATTTAAAATGTTTTATAAGAAAAATACACACATTTCATTCACAAATTTATATTATTATTATTTTATTTGTTTTCTCAATACAATTATAAAATAAGCTTAATTCAATAATTTTCCAATTTCATTCACAAGAGATGAATAAAATAGATAAAAATAAATAAAAAGAAAAAGAAATTTAAGATATATTTAAAAAACTATCAAATCATTTATAGATGGGCAACAAAAAAATAGGATATTTGAAAAAAATATATTGTATACCTAGGCAAACAATTATATTAAAAATGAAATATTCAATTAAACTGTTTCGTTATCATGCCGAAATTGGCCATTATTTAAAGTGGTAATACCCAACCCATATAAATGACCACAGTATTTATTACTGTCAATCATTCCTTCAAAATACATGTCCCTAATTTTAAAAAAAGCCATCCCTGTCAATAAGGAATCACTACCAGCTTGATGTTGAGGTCCAATTCGCTTCAGTTCTAATTGATCAGCTACCTCTTGCAAGCCACCCTTTAAATTTTTGCAGCTCTTCATTAGATACTTAATATCATACACACAAGGAAAGTACAAAGAAAACATCTCGAAAAACTCAGACTCTTCTTGTGGTAATTTTTCATCAGTCAATACTTTCACTAGGTAACCAAAATCAAAACTACTATGAAATGTCATCCATTTTAAATCATCCATCAATACCAAACCAGAAGTTATTATGAATTCAGCAAAAACTAATGGTTCGATTCCATTCTCTTCGTGATCTTTAAATTGAATTCTGGAAATAAAAATTAAATTTATGACATTTGCTTATAATAATATTAAATTTATTAATAAATAACAATTTTAAAACAAAATCATTTAGTACCTGGAATTTGTTAATAGTTCTATACTGTCCTGGGCATACATATCTTCTGACAAATTAAATTTAAAATTAAACTGCCATGTAGTATATTGGCCAATAGGTGTTTTACCATCTTCATCGAAAAATGAGAGCCCCAACTGAATGATTCTAAGTAGATCAACATTACATCGTAATAACTGGTAATAATAATCTGAAGTAGTCTTAAAATCACCAATAGGTCGAGCTACAACCCCTGGAAATTCTGTGTCCATAGCTACATAACAATATTTTGGCAATAATTTCCGAATTGATGCAAACTCTTCCTCTAAATTATGAGCCCAAACATTTTTAATACCACAATCAGGCAATATTTCCATATGTTTGTCAGTCTCTTGTTCGTTTACCTCTCCAGCGGGAGGTATATGATTACTAATACTTGTGTCCATTTAAATATTTCACAAAACCTGCACAATAGATATAAAATAAAACTTAGAATTATTTTTATTTTTTCATTAGAATATTAAAACATAAAAATTAATTAAGAACGTAAAACCATACAACTGTAAATACATCCGGAGAAAATAATACCCATGTGTTTTTTTGGGAATAGAAGAAAACAAAACCCTGTACCAAAGAACACACCAGTAATAAAAAGCCTCAGTAAAAAAAATATTTGTTGAGATCCTAATTGTAAATTAATACTAATATTTAAAACAATAATGAATGTGAAGGCAAATGAAAAAGTTAGTCTCTGTATTATCGAACTAATTAGCTTCAACAGCTATACGAGGTTTTACATATTATTTATAATGGTAATCTAAAATGTCTAAATTACCTTATACGTGTTTATTTAAAAAAACGTATTATTTTGTTCATTGTTTCTATTTGTGGTCCTAGGATTTCGTACAACTAATCTGGTAACTTCTTTCCCTTTTTGTGTACAGCGTTCCGACAACATTCAGTATTATTAATAATGTATTATAATGATTAGAAATCGAAATATCCAATATATGTACGCATGCAAATCGATTCCCGATGAAATTATACACATACACCCATCATATTGTTCTATATTATTATTAAAGATTTTTAATCGTTACAATAACCCACGCCTATACTTACGTGTTTACTTGTTCTTTCACTTAAAACAATACGAACAGGTAAAACAATTGTTTTATTGCTATGCGATTCATTATTATTATTATTAAATGTATGCACCTACTGTGCGTTAATTTACGACGGGACTTTCTAATCCTACCGTGTTTATTGTCCGGTAATTCTCTTCCCGGGTTGTTCGCCATCTTACCGTTTTCGCGTTTGTTCATCTGGCCGCCAGGGCAACGTAGAGAACGGACGTATTTTGTAGAGGGCATATCGAAGGCTCGAAACGTGCGTGGCAGTCGCACGGAAAACGCGAAAGCGCGCCGCGCTAGTTAACCGGTCCGCAGACGCGACAATAACGTAATTATTATTGTACGGGTACGTATTAATGTTGTTGCGTTTCGAAAATAATATGCCAAGTACCGAAAACGTTACTCACCCGTCATGAGCTGTCAAACGAACGCGCTTGGAGTTGGAGACGGAACGGTGCCGAACGTCGTCGTCGTCGTCGTCGTCTCAACAAACGGGCCGGATCGGCCGGAAACCGATAAAACGATTTCAAAAATCTTCGACAGCGTAATATTGCGATCGACTGCTGGAAAACACGTGATCGCGCAAAATATATGCACACCGGTGGACAAAACTCGACGAACGTCAAACACCAGAATAATTCGGTCAGTCAAAGGTCGTAGCTCGTCCACCGGCCGCCCGACTAGGTTGTAAATCTTGCAAAATATGGTAGGGGTAGACGTGGTGAAAACTCGGAACCGGCGGCACATTCTGTGCGCGTCGTTCTGGTCATTGTTTACATAAATAAAAAGAACCAAAACGTTCATCGTGTCCCGATCCGATTGTTGCGCACAATTGCCGTGTCATACGGAACAGTGACATGTAAACATATGTCATCAAATTATATTAATAGACGTTTGAATAGCCGTTCGCCGAGTTAGAGAAGAATACCGCGAATACCTCCTGTATCCGCAACGGAAGAAAAACAGCCGGTCGCGACGCCCGTCTTCGGTTTCATAGGCACGTAAATCTAATAGCGTTTTGTTTAATTACACTAAAAATGCAGTCATTATACAGGACCCATTTTAGATTCCGAGTGAAGTGATAATGTATTGGTTTTACAAAGATGTTCGTTTTTTATTTTTGAACAATTTTTTCACCAGAAAGCTTACTCCGATGTATACGATGCAGACCCTTTTTGTGAAAGAAATTTTTTTTTGAGATGGTACTTTAGGGTAGTCATTTTTCGATTTTCTCAAGAGTTTTCCCAGCAAATATGAAAAACCGGGAAAATCAATTATATTATGTTTATTTAATAAATTATTGACAAAACATCACTATCAACTGAATTCTGCTCAGAATCGTTTTTTTGTTGGCTTATCGTTGATTACAGATGTACATTAAATTCCCGCCTGTATCCTACCTTCCCAACTTTCCACCTACAACAGTGGTTGCATCTACGTGCAAAGTATGTTGGTTTTTTTTTTTTTATAATTAGGTTATAATTCATTAATTTAATATGTATCGTAAAAATGCAGTATTGTAAAAATGTCTCTAATTTAAGTGCCCCGTCCGTAAACTGCAGATTCTAGATTCGCCCTTGGCTCTGCCTCCCCGCTACTTCATCTACTTTTCTACATACAATACTTTTAAATTCTAAGCGGACCGCTCAGAATGTATTGATTTTACAATATTTTTTTTTTTTACACTGTGTATAATAATTTATACCAGAAATCTTGCTCCAAAGTATCAAGCGTACAAGTGTAGCACCTTTTCTGAAAGTGAATATTCCCAGGGTGATACCGTTGAAAGGTCATTTATCGATTCACCTAAATTTACGAAAATAATGCTTTTATAATTTTAATTTTTGTCTTTTTGTTTTGTTGATTTTTCAGTTTTTAATATTCATAGAAACTTGAAATTTGGACAGCACCTTCATATTTGACTTTTATATACGTGGTCATTTTTTCAAAACATTTGAGCCAATTTTGATCTATAAATAGACATTTTAATTTTGCAAGTTTTTTATGTATTTATTCGGTAGGTACTATCCTCTTCGGTAGTGGATAAAATTGTTAGACCAAACGAAAATGCTTGGAAATTTAACAGGACGTTCATTATACGTTGAACTTTGTGGTCAACAATAAAAAGTTGAGTTTAATGTAGTGCTTTTTTTTTATAAGGGTTTTAATATCAAGTTTTCAAGTTTTAGTAAAAAATTATGTAAGTCACTTTGTGATGTATGACTATTATGTCATCCAAGTACAAATGACTATTATGCATTGGTATATAATTATTTTACCAAAATACATATATGTATATTGTTGAAAAACATTGTTAACCGATCTCCACTCTGAATCGTTTTTCGTTAGCAATAGTTAATCATTTCGGTTGGAAGGTGGGGGGGGGTGGCTAGCAGCTATCCTGTCTTCGATAAACTAGCAGTAACCTTATAAGTGAGACGATATTTTCGAATACTTAAATTATTCCTATTATAATGAAAATTAAAACGAAAAGTTTTTGAATTATTCTACTTTAAATACTAAATATTAATAACTGCACGATTTAAAACAAGAAATTACAGAGTTACAGTCTACATTTAATAGTAATTTCCCTAGTATTTAAAGTAGAATAACTCAGAAACTTTTCGTTCTCGATTACAAGTATACAGGTAATATGTTAAAATTTTAAAAAAATCTTCTGATTGGCAATTTACATCGAAACTTGTAAATTCTTGGTTGAAAAATCAAAGTTTTTATCGTCATAGTATACCTACTCATTGAATGCTGTGAAAAATTAAAATACCCGAAAATAATAAAAAACTTAAAAATTCCAAAAATAAACATTTTCATTTGTACATAATTTAACAATAAAAATTGGATGATCATACCTAAAAACTCATCCTGTTTAATATATTTTTGCTTATAAAAAAATTATGTAAATAATAATAGTTCAAAAAATTCTCTTTATACCCCACCCCTATAGAAAAATCATTTAACCACCACTGAAATTAATCGTGAATTTATTAGTTTTCATTTTTGTCTATTTTGGTTTTTCTCAATTGTTATAAAAATTACTTGGAAAATAAAAAACCAGCTATTTTAGAGAGCAACTGTAACTTTAAATTACCCCTTATGTGTACTCATACCAATCATACTTTATCCTATCTTCTTTCATCGCTCCACTTGTCCACCTAAGCATTCTCATCTCTAGCTGCTACAATTATTTTGTATTCTATTTTTCTGTCTGCCACCTAACACTCCAAACCATACAACATAGGCAATCTCACCACACTTTTATAGAATTTTTCATTGGAATTCTCTTTTCACATAAAACACTTTTCATCTTGGCCCTTCTCTTCACTTTATCCCATCACACTTAATCCTGTGCATTTTTATGAAAGCTATTATTCTTTTGTGTCAAAAACCCTAGGTATCTACTTAGAACTCACAACCCCACTTTTTACTGTTAGCTGTCTTGTCCTGTACATCTGAACACATATTTTGTTTTACTTCTACTTATCCTTGTCCTTTTCCTCTAAATGCTACACTCCATACCTCAAGCCTATTATTAACTTACCTACTTATTGTAAATTTTCTCCTATCAAAGCTTTATCATCTTAAACCATCGTGCACCAATGGTACCCTCTCCACCTGTTTTCCCGCCCACATCTGAGACAAAGTTTTGATTAGAACTCCTCATACTGTTAGACAAAATTGTTCACCAGCTGTCGACCTGTCAACCTCATTAGTTGTCCATTACGACATTGTACTCCCATTATAAAAAAAAAAAATATAAAACTATAAATACATAAACATTTATTAAATTTTAAATTATTTATTAAAACATGATAATACATTTTGGTATTTAAATATTAAAAAAATTGTTCACATTTGAAAAGCAAAAAAATATTTCTTTATTTATATAATATTATTATTGTTATTATTACCTATTTACAGTATGGTACAATTTGATTTCTTTATCTAAATGAAGTTTATAATAAAAAATAAAAATAAATATACATTAAAAAAGTATATTATTGAAATTGACACAATAGGTAAAATAGTCATAGAAAATAGGAATACAGAAAAAGCACCATGACCAAAATCAAATCATTTAAATAAATAATGATCACATTTTGCCAAATAACAGTTAACATAAGTAGTAATTAATAAATTATCACTGTATAAATAAGATTTTTTTTGTTTACCATAAAATATAATAAATCATATTTAAATTAGTAGTTAATGCTAGACATCTTACAAGAAAATGTAGAGCATTTTGTATAAAATAATATGATACAACTGTTTTAATAAATATACAGTAAAAGTTATTTAGTATTATTAGAAGTAAAAAATATTTATTCCAAGAATAATTGTTACATACAAACTAATGCTAAAATTAATAACATTAATAACAATCAACTATTTTTTTAATATGATTACAACTCCTACAAAAATAATATATTATAAAATAATTAATGGTATGTAAGTATATAACATATTTTTAAATTAAATTTAAAGTATTAAAGAGTATAATATTTATTTAATAATAACAAATTTAATTATTTTATTGTTAAAGAAAATTAACTTGTTTTATTTTATGCACATAATGTTCCATTAAATTTTTAAATTATTTAAAGGATTATAATAAATTTTAATAATCAATAGTATTGTAATTTTAATATGATATATATGGTACCTATTTCAACTATAAATGTGTTAAATACAAAAATAGATTTAAATAGAAATAGTAACTTTATTTTCAATGATTTCTAAAATAACACCAAATACTAAAAACAAATTAGTTAACTGTTATAAAACAAACAAAATATTGTTCAATTTTATATTTAATGTATTTATATAAATATATATATAAGATAATATATCTATATACATATATATATATAAATAATTATAATATATTTATTAATATTTATATGTTGAACAAAATTCTATTGCTATAAAATTATGGATTATATATTTAATTGACAGACTTGTAAAATATTATTTTAGAAAGATTTTTATTTTTGAGTACAAATACAAATATGATTTAAAACTAAAAATGTATTTGCAATTTAGTGATGACTACATCACTAAAAAATATTTAAATAGAACACAATTCAGTTATTTTTAAATAAAATATTATATAAAACCTAATGTTAGATACTTTAAACTATTAGATATTAATCACTAATTATAATTTATAAATCTCATTATTTTAATTCATCCATATATTTTTAAAAAATCGTAATTCAATAAATTTTCAATTAAATTTAACTTTCAAAATCATAATAAATAATTATAATATAAAACTGAAATGCCAAATTATTATTAATATTGCAAATAAAAATACAAACTATAAAATTATTTAAAATAAAATATGAAGTTATGTGTGAAGAATTATTGAAATACTTAAGCATTCAATTAATTTTATTCAAGTACTTTACAAGTCTGTTAATTTATTACCCTGTTAGGTATTTATATTCTAGAACACAAAATATATTACAAAATATAACTCATGAACTTATAAAAATTATGTATAGTAAAATTATAAATTATAAAATTAATAATACTCAATAGACATTTAACATAAAATATTTGATATCTAGATAACTTTATTAATAAATAATATTTCAATGATGTAATATTATAGACAATTTTTGGAGGAACGTCTTACTTATAAATATTTGTATGGATAACATTTAATATTGTTTAAACAAACGTTTTAATTATGGACATTATGGTTTTCTACTAAAGTGACATGAACACCTGAAGCTTCCAGTCGCTGCAACCGTTTCGGATCACAGTAAATTAAACAATTACCAACTTGACTTGATTTTTGGTTGAGTACAGAGTTTTCTCCATCTTCATAAAAAGTAATACCTGGCTGAAGAGCATATTTTTTCTTTTCTAGTCGTTCTTTACTAGCAAACACATCATGCCTTTCAGTCTTTTTCCATAAATAATAAAAATGAACAAGTTCACCAACTGTCCTCGTAGTCACTCTGTGCTGTTGAATTAAATAGAAATTTTTATTAAAACAACGAATACCATTTTCAAAGTTTTTACATTCTTCTTCTGACCACACCATCATGGCCCTTCGGCCAAACATTTGATCATTTAATGTTATTCGACGCAGAGCTTCTTCAGTATTAAAACCACATTGTAAAAGTAAAAATAATGCATTTTCATCATCTCGTACATGTTTACCTTTGGGTAAAATATTTGCTCCGTGAGAAATTTGATGAATATGATGGAGATATTCGGCAATAGCTGCATCAGTTGTACTATGAGGATCCCAGAGGAGTTTATCAACATTCTGGTATGGTGGATCATCTCCATATTTTGATAATCCATCTGGAATTTGAGCTTGGAAATCACTACCCACCATTATAGTTTTTTTCTTTACTTCTTCAAAATCACTGCCATCACTATCATCTGTAGGATCAGAATAATCAGGGCGATCATTTGTTACTCGTTTTGACATCTTTTTAATATTTGCAACCTAAAAAAAAATGTAAATAACTATTAAACTACTATGCCTACATAAAAAAAAAAAAATGCATAAGTTAAAAAATAATAAAACTTAAAAATTGAAGTCAAATTTTGTAACCATTTCCATAATCAAATTTCATATAAAAATACAAATAACAAGTTTTTATAATTAATTATTTACACGTGCAGTTGTGTTTATTATTAAATCGAGATAGGTACAATCAAAATATATAACTATTATTTTCTACTCGCTTATTTTGTGTTGTAATTATACTATATTAGTTTTAAATATTTAACAATTATTATTAATAACAATAATAAATAATATTAACGTTTAGTACAATTATTATCTATTAATATTTAGAAACGATAATTGGAACTTTTGCTAGTTATTATAAAATAAGTTAAGTTCTGTATTTAAAGATATAATAGATTATTTATTATATAGGAACTTATTCCTTTAAGATTTTATGAATCTGAATTTTTATTAAAAAGTATAAAAACCAACTAATAGTAATGAAATATACATTCAAAAAGTATTAAAAATTACCTAAATATTTTAAAATGAAAATTATTTGATAAACTACTGTTAAATGATTATAATAAATTGACTTACCTAGAATTTAATAATAAATTCAAAATTTAATTACTATTCCTTCAGGGAAAAATTTTTTTCGAATGGAGTACATTCAACAAGAAATGTATTTAATTGCCTATTATCTTAATACAATCAAGTTAAACATAAAAATATTAGCTAAATCTTGAACATTCTTAACTACAAAAATTAATGAACTCATTGTTTATAAACAATCCAATGTTGCCAAATTCTCGATTCCCGATAAACATATGTTTTATTATGTTGTTTACTTTTACATTTAGGTATTTCTATCCTATCTAAATAATATTTTCCATTACAAATAATATTAACGATTATATAAATTATTTAATATTTAATTAATAGTAAACACGATTTATTTAATTAATTCTATGTGTGATATTGACATTTTTTTTAAAATAATTTAATAATAACATTTTTTATTATTATATTAATTATTATTTGAGCAATTGATACTGTTGTAAAAAACCAAAGAATTAACACTGAAAAAATAAAGATAATATATGTGATAATTGATAATACAAATACTGATAAGGTTACAATTTTGTATTTACTTTTCTATGATTTTAATATTTCATGATAATTTCCAAATAATTTTTACATGATAGAAATTATTTCCATCGTGATTTTTTGTTTTAGTTTATTAATAACTAAATTCACATTACCAGCTTACTAGTTTGTTTTAACAACTTAATACTATTTTCGTAATTGTTTCCAACATTGATCATGGGTAAGAGAAATATTTAAGTATACCAATATTTGTATTTTCTATTACTTCTCTACGTAGGTATAATAAGTTTTTTTTGGGTAGGTATGTGCCGTAATATATTAATTTGAATATTATTTATCTATTTTTTTTACTGAGTAATATCTGTTTCTAAGTTTGTTTTTTTTTTTTTTTTTATGAAATTTTACTTCTACATTTTAATTCCAATATGGTATATTAACTTAATTACCTACCTTTACAGATATTGCTAATTTGGCATGATTCGTCTAATGTTAATTTTAAGAAATCACTTAACAACGTATTTAAATTTTGAAATATTAAATTAAGTTATTAGTTTCTATTGTTTATAGTTTTGAAATTGCCTGTATAAAAAAAACAATTATAGATAGTTAAAATTATTATTTATCAATAATTTAATCAAATATAATTTTAGATATTTTATCAAACCCAACAACTTCACAATCAAATGAAAATCAATATTCAGAAGTAACAATTCATCAAAACCCTCAAGCCCATCATGCATCTGGTGAAGAACCAACTGAACATAGACCACCCCCAAATTGGAGAACAAACATTAGAATGGATGAAAAACTTACAATCTGTCGTAAATATTATATTGCAGGATTTTTCTTATTGCCATTATTTTGGTTAGTAAACTTCACATGGCACTATAAAGATGCTTATCGAGCTGAACCATTTGAAGAACAACCTCAATTTAAACATTATGTTTTACGGTCAGGTATTGGATTCATTTTTTGGACCGTGTCGATTATTATTTGGGTGTTTTACTTTCAAACACAAAGATATTATCATGATTGGGATTTTTTAACTTTTAATTTTCCTACTGGATCGGCTTAAATGTATTTGTTATACTATTAATTTAATATTTTGATTTTTAATCGTTAATGTACCTACTCATAATATAAAACATCAATTTTTATATGGTTTTTATAACAACAAATATTATTAATTCAATATAATTTTATTTTATTTTTTATTTATGTTTTATTTTTATTTCATTCATGTCACATTAAGAGGACACCATAACCGCATTTATTGTCTCTGTCTTACAAATGCATGACGTAACAAATTGTCTTTCAGTAGGACAAATTTTGTGTTGTTAGTTTTAATATTAAAGCGAATTGACCTATTACCAGATTTAAAGTTAAGAAAATTATCTGTGCCCTAGCGTTATTTTTTATGAAAGATATAATCATTTTTTAATTGTGATATTCACATACTTATATCTCACTTAAAATCATTGACGCTAAGTCACATATAATTTCCTTATCTTTAAGTTTGGTAATAAATCAGTCAATTGGCTTTAATATTAAAACTAATGGCACAAAATATGTCCTATTGGGCACAAATTAGGTTATCCTGCGCTTGTAAGACAGCAGATGTTGGTATGACATCCTTTTAAAACATCAAAACTGACTTATCCAAGATCTGATTTCTAAAACTATTTCTGTTGGATTTGAACAGTCCAACATTTAAGGGGTTTATGAAGAAGCTAAATGTACAATTGAAGAGCTGTGTTTGTAGTAATCTCCCAAATTTGTACTTAGTGTATCAAATAAAACTACTTGTTTTTTATTTTGTCCTTAATACAGAGGTGGCCAAAAGTCGAGCGAAACAAATTTGCAACACAATTTGTAATAGTAAAAAAATCATTTATTTCTTCAAATAAAAAAAATGATATAAAAATGAANTACGAATAATCGGTACTCAAATTTTGGATTGGCGTTTTGTAAACTCGATCTTTGATAACTCCCCACATGCTGAAATCACAAGGTGTGAGATCGGGTGATCTTGGGGGCCATTCCATCGTCCCATGGCGACCAATCCACTCGTTGAAGTTTTTTATTCAAAAAATCACGAACCACAATCACATAATGACATGGGGCTCCATCTTGTTGCCAGATAATTCGCTTACCACGAATGATATACGAAACAAGATAACGAGACCAAAGTTGCAATATGACGTAACGGAAACGACGTGAAGGGAAAAACTGCACCGTAACGCGCGTTCTATACAAGACGGTAGGTGTTGTGTGACTCTTGGCTACCTCAGTATGTTTTCTGAATAATTAAAAAATATTACCGCCATAAAATTGTACTAAGAATTCTTGTACAAATTAATATTATGCAATATTATTTACACCACAATTTACTAACAAATTAGTCATATTCAATCTTATAGCCTATATGTAACTATACTATACAAGTATAGGTACAGCAATATAAGATAATGAACTATCAACATTAAATCTTTCAATGATGTGTATATTATAACACCAACCAATGTACTATGATAAACAAATTATCAAAGCCAATAATTATTTTTATCTGTTGACATTTTATTTTAGAATCAACTGATCAGTGCTTGAATATAACAATAATAATAATATATAATTCATTAGCTTTTATTAATTAATGTTTTTATGAAATATATAAAACATTTTAAACTCATTTGATAATAATTTAAACAAATAAAAATCATTTTTTGTTACTACCAAATGTAATCATTTATCTAGATACCTATTTGTATTCGTCCTTTCTATTATTTTCACATACTAAATGATTTGTTTTAGATCTGTATTATTCTCACTTAATTTTCATAATCCAGTAGATTGAAAAATGAATAACCTGTTCGGAAGTAAGTAATTAAAGCCATTGGACCACTTGAATGTCCTAAAGTTTATAAATACATTATTACATATATGTTTACATAATTTTCGTTACAATTTAAAAAATATAATTTATCTAAAGAGAAAATTATTTAATATTATACAGTAATAATGATAAAACAGTGGTTTACAATATACCAACTAATAGCAATTAGCTATATCTATACAACATAGGTACTTATTTTAAATTTTATTTTTATGATAATTTTATGTTTGTGTTTTGTTTAATCTGTATTAAAACATACCTACTTATTTGTAATTCATTTTCATTTTTATCAAATTTAATGAAAACAGTTTATAAATTTCTGATTTAAACAAAATACTAATTACTGAATAAGTAATAATTAACTCGCAATAATGATGAGGTAAATATGATAAAATATCAGTACATTTTAAATTAACGAGAATTGAACTATGAACCATCTCACTGCAATTTATTTTATATCAGCTTTTATTAGTGTTTAGGTAATATGCTTGTTAGTTGGTTTGTTATTGTGATATTCTGAATTTGGGTTAGTAATAGATCCATGGTTGTATTAATAAAGTACAATTTAAATGGTTTACTAACAAATTTTTAAAAATATACAGTACAAAATTATACTAATAAATTTTCCATAACACTATTCAAATAAATACTTAAATAATAGATTAGGAGTAAGGAATTGTAGATAATGGGTGGGTATATTTAAAAAACCACCCTATACAATAATTTTGCTACCAAATATTTTTGGATTTTTTATAATTTGAAGTTATTTCACTAATGAACTATAAACATACTATTATTAAATAATACTTTCTGATTTACCTAAGAATTAACAATCCTTAAAATTAGATTTAATAACAATAATACAATAAAAAGTTACACATTATCTCACAGATAGATAGGTATCTAATCTGAATATATGCATTACTTATAATTATCATTTTTACTTTAGATATTAAATATTTAATATCTATGATTTTATGATTTTATTTATTTTACTGACTTTTTTTTTATTAGTTATAACGTATTACTAATGAACTAATAACTATTGTTAGGTATCACATTACATTGATATTTAAATAATATGTAATTAATTGATTAAAAACCTACAGGTATAAGTGGTACCTATATCACTTATCAGTAAATTCAACATAATACATTTTTTAAATAAGAATACCTATTAAATTAAAAAATAAATAACATGATTTGGTCAATAATTAATACGTATACAATCATAATACTTTACAGATACCTACCTAATAAATTATGTAATAAATCACGTGATTTGAAAAATATGATACCTATCTATACGTTAAATTTTACAAAGAGAAATATGATGTACAATAACATCCAGCGGAGGGGCGATAATTTTTCTATAAAACGACGATCTATAAAAATATTGATCATACTATAGATTATATTGTTTAATTTGCTCTTCGTATTTGTAATACAAGTCAATTTTAATTTGTTAATAGTGACTATAGAATACACACTAGAAATAATGCCTGTCGGTAAGTATTTAATAATTTATTTTTGTATTACATCTATACCTACCTATAAGTTATAGCTAAGCGTGCTTGCCCCATTTTTTTCGGTTAAATTTTGCATAATATATTCAAATTTTGATTTTTAAAATTTTTAAGTGTAGTTAAAGCCGAAATTTTCGAATATTTAGATTTTTCACAGCATTTAAGGAGTATCCTGTGGCGATACTAACTTTGGTTTTTCAATTGAGAACCTATATTAAAAATTCCCTAAATAGACGGAGTATTACTTCAAATAAATTTTTGATTTCCGTCAACCCGTTAACGAGATGTTCCACTTTCAAGTTTAAGTAGGGGAAGAGTAGTGGAGTGCTGAAACTTCGCACACCGTACCGCCACAAAAATGATAGTGCTAAACCAATTTTGGTATAGAGAATAGTTATTCGTAGGACCTTGGAGAAAAACATAGGCCATTTTTTATCATGAAAATAAAACTTGAAGGGGTTGAAAGTATTTTTGGTACGAAAATTATTGTTGTTGAATTATGGACTACCTTAGTAACACGGATTAAATAAAAAATAATAATCAACAGAAATAAAATTGCTATAACAACTAAAAATAAGAAGTCTATCTGACTGTCGGTCCATTACTGGCTTAAAATAGGGTGGGACACCTTTCTATCTTTTAGTAACATGGATGAAAATAAACAAAAAACTTTGTATTGTGCACCTGCACTGGGTGAAAAGTGAAACGTGTAAAACGTCGTATTTGCATCTGTAATTGTTGGTACATTAAACAACTCGAGTCTGGGGAAAAAAAAAAAGATAAAAATAATATAGAAAGCACAGTTGTTTTCAATATTATAGTATTATTTTTTATGTATAAATCATTGATAACTACCTATATGTAGGTAAGTACTTTTTGGATTGCTTTACTGCGGACATTAATTGGTATTGATAACTATAGATATTTCTTAAACTATCAAATAGTCAGTTCTAATAATTTTATAAATTAATACCAAATAATATATATATATATAATTGTTTTTATTATAATATGTTAATTAGAAAAAAAATACAAAAAGTCTGTCGCTATAATTGGTTGTGGAGTTGCTGGATTAGTAGCTCTTCGACATTTTTCTGCCGAAGGGTCACAATTTAAGTGTGTAGCTTATGAACAGACAGACAATGTTGGTGGTACATGGGTATACACCGACAAAATAGGCACAGACAAATATGGCTTACCAGTTCATTCCAGCATGTACAAAAGTTTGAAGTAAATACTTAAATAAAAGGCTTTTTAATTTCATATTTATAATTCTATCTAATCGGTTTTGTATTTAGAACGAATCTGCCAAAAGAAATTATGGAACTTCCTGGATTCCCCCACAAGGGTCCCGAAGACAAATCTTACGTAGCAGCCAATGAAATGTTAAAATACTTGGAAGATTTTGCGGATTATTTCGACTTAAAGAAACATGTCAAGGTAAATATATTGGTTATAATAATCAGTACCTATTTAGTACAATACTGAAAATACGAGTTCTATAAATGTATATAATTATCTTGTAGTTCCATCATCATGTAAAGAACATTAGTCCTTTGGACGGAGACCGTTGGCTTATAACTGTAGTTGAATTGCAAACAAATATTGTGGAAACATTGGAATTTGACGGAGTTATTATATGCATTGGGTATTTAATATCTTTTTAATCTTATGGAATAAAATTATTATCTTATTAATAAGTGTTAAAAATATACTAGAAATTATAGCAATCCAGTAATTCCTGATGTTCCTGGAATAGAAAAGTTCTGTGGAATGAAAATCCATAGCCATGATTACAGAGATTCTTCAGTATTTAAGGACAAATCCACTGTAGTTATTGGTTGTGGTCCCTCTGGCTTAGACATATCTTTTGATATTTCAAAAGTCGCTAGAAAAGTAATACCTAGCAATATAATATATTTATATTTTTCATTATTTATTGTTAGACAAAATTAAATTCATAATTTATTTTTAGGTATACTTAAGTCACCACAACCAGCGTGTTAAAAACATGGAGTGTCCATCAAATATGGTTCAAAAAGTTGACATTAAAGAAATAGTAGAAAATGGTGTAATTTTCCAAGATGGATCTTATGAACAAATTGATTCAGTTTTATATTGTACAGGTATTACGCAAATCATTGGAAATAACAAAACATTTTAGCAATTAACTGTATTTTGATTTTGTTTTAGAAATGTAAAGAAATTGGCCTACTATGGCTTGAAATTTTGTGGCCTTTTTTGGCACAATATTATCATCAAAGTATTCATGTAACTATATTTTGGATTTTCTTCATTTGAATGACCTTTTAAAGGTCTTAAACTATAAGATATTATTTTTAATAATTTAGCTGTAGTTAAACATTTTAAACACAATGTTTGTCATAAATTAATAAATATTTAGTTATTAAAGGGGTGTCATTTGGGAGGAGGATGTACGGTTGTATCCCTTACTTTTAATATTGTTCAAGTTGGCTTGCTAATTTATTGTATTTCCTAAAAACAAAATTATTATTTTATTGTCAATGGTTACAACATACTTACTACATACATGGGTTAATATTCTAATAAGCTTGCTACTAATTAATTGAGGAGGCTATAGATGACATTTACAATTGTTGTTTATCAAAACTGAACCACAGGTTAAATAATTATTGGAGTTTAAGTTCATGGTAATTCTTTAATCTATATGCTAAACTTAACATTCACAGGTATCCTCTTATTTCTAATAAACTTTTTTTGTTTTTTATATAATGTTTTACTTGTAAAAACTTAGTCATTTATAAATTTAAATAGTAAATGTTTTTCATTTATTTTGTATTTATTTTTATTACCTAAGTATTGCATATAATTATTTAATATATTTTCACAGCTAAAGTAATCAATTATTTATTATCTTTAAGTTTTTAAATATTCATTTTTATTATTTATTTTGGTAGAAAATAGTGAATTGAAAAATTAAAGGCAGGATAGTGCACATAGGTATATCTATATTATATGGTCAAGTGAAATTTCAATATGGTCTACTTGAAACCTCGCACACCCAAAAAGAAAACTGAAATGACACCCCTAAGTTATTATTTTAATTAAATTTTTTTATTTTCAAATAATTTATTTAATTAATTCTATAAATAGGATACCAATATAAATACCCGTTTCTGAGCTCTGAATGTGGGATTTATGTAGAGAATAATCATGTTAAACCACTTTTCAAGCATACACTGAATATTGAACATCCTTCAATGTACTTTATTGGGATTCCAACCAATATTGCTGGCTTCTATATGTTTGATTTACAGGTACCTAATTTAACAATAATTAGTACAAATGTCATTCACTTTTAAAAATTGTAATCATTTTACTAATTAACTTAATAAACTGACAATAATCTAATGTGTAAAATAAAATAAAACATATCAAAATCATATTTTGTTCATAGGTACGATTTGCCAAAACCTTTTTAGAAGGACGAGAAAAATTACCGAGTAAAGAAGAAATGTTAGAGGATACCAAACAGGATATAGAGTCAAGATTAGCAAGTGGATTACGATCTAAAGAACTACATATGATGGGGCGCAGATCAAAAGATTACTACGATTCACTATCGTCTTTAGCAGGGCTAGAGCCAGTTCCACCTGTTATTTTACAAATCTACTTTGATGGATTCGATAGATTCATGTGTGATTTTTCACACTTTAGGGAAGACAAATATAAATTATTAGATAAAGATCATTATATGGTTAAATTTCCAAATGAGGATGAGCCTATAATGAGGAGACAAGAAATTGTTTTAAATTAAGTTGTTTGTCAAAAATATTTGTTGAATATTTGAAAACTTATTTATTTATTCAAGTTTATTATGTATTAAATACCTACTTAAATTATAATTGTTATATTATTTTAATTATAGGCATTACATAATTTGTTATTTTTTTAAAATTATAAATAAATTTTTATAAAATATACATATATTTTTATTTTTTCATAATATACATAGATACATTGCAAATTTATAGCCATGTTGAGTTTCGAGTGTATTCTAAATATGCTATGTGCATAATTTGTTTTGCTAAAATATTTTTGATATTTTTTTATAACTGAAGATTTATTACACGGGTTACAAAACTGACATTTTCTTGTTCGAACTTAATAAATTTTTGCATTAGATTAAGTTATTAATAATCTATATTATACAATCTAAATGTTCTCTTTTCTATCTGCGTAGATTTATAAGCTCAATCATAGTAAGATCTTAGTTGGATTTGTAATTTTCTAGTCACCAAGCACAAAAACTTTTTTTCCAAAATTCTACCTCTAAAAAGGTACTGACAAGACTTCAGCCCTTATATGAAAATTGAATATTTTAGTTTCTGAGTAGAGCAAGTAATGTATTGGTTTTACAGAGATATTTTTTTTTTATTTTTTTTTTCTTCTGTGAACAATTTTCCCACCAAAAATGTTGCTTCAATTTTCAAGTTTAGCACTTTTTCTAAAAGGAAATTGAATTGGGATGGTACTTTAGAGAAGTTATTTTTTGATTTTGAAAAAAATCGGAAAATGTACGAAATATATTATTTTCAAATCGTAAATTTACAGCCTTTTAAAAGATGTATAACCGGATTTCACTTAGAATATTTTTTCATTATTAAAGATTAATCATTGCGTACAGATGTACATTAAATTCTACTCTATATCCTACCTTCCCAACTTCTCACAAATAACAGTGGCCCACTCAGTGGCGTAATTACGGGGGGAGGGGAGAGATATGAGAGATAGATCCTCCTCATGAGCCGTATTTATATATTATATTGTTATTTTATACAAATTGGAAGTTCAAATGCAAATTTTCAAAACTAATACGAAATTAAAAAATGTTAAATGTTTAATTGTCTTGGTAGGTACCAAAATATTCATGATTTATTTTTATAGTTTATGTCAAAATAAATGATAAATTTCACTTTAGGCTTTACATACTACAAGTTCAAACGTGATTAGGACGTTGCGATTTTAAAAACACATACGTGCCATTTGAAGGTGCAAGGTCCTATGATGCAGTGTACTGCTTCCGTGTTATGCAATGAGTACGTTTCCCTAAATGCGTCAACAACTTGGCGGTTGCCGGTAACCGCTAGAGCCGCACGGACCGTCTGGTCGGCGAGCAGTATAAACGCAGCCGTTCACGCAATCGTTAATTTTTCAATGAAATTCAGTACGTAATTAAACTGGTCAATATTCAGCCTGAAAAACTCCCGGAATTTCTTATCATCGTATATTAAATTCCGGTTAATTAGTATTGCGAAAAATCCTTCTTCCGGTCTTGGCGTAAATAAGGGATGTTCGTTTGCATTCCATCGATCTACTAATAAATGTTCTATATTATAGGACCACTAAGAAGTTCTTCTTTATCCTCTTCAAAAACTTTATTTAGCTATATTGACTACATAATATAGGCTATCATATTCGTAAATAAGTATACTAATAATACCTATAGTACACAAAACTAAAGGCATTTTTGATCTCTGAACTAGTCAATCTTAATATCAACATTCAAAATTTTTAGTCATTGTCTCAAAAAAACCTACTTCGGCACGCCATTGGACATATTTTCGGAGCGGCGATATTAGCTACTTAAGCGCTGATAATATTAGCGGAGCTCAACGTGTTTTAGCAAAATAACATTATTATTTATATAATTTATTATTCACGCAACTCGCAGCAGTTCACAGTTTCCCATTTCACATGCATTAAGCAACAACAATAACGAAAAGAAGAAGTAAGGAGTATAAAAAAGATAAAGAGGCCGAAAAGTATAAGTCCCCTTATGGAAAAATGTCTGGCTATGTGCCTGATCTAGAAATTATTGAAAGACGCGCAGACGATTATCTGTACTTTTATGAAATATGATTCTTTTTGTTAGATCAATAAGTATTTTAATGGCATGCCATTGACTTGCTATAAACCTACGCAGACAGACATAAGAAGAATTGCGAACATACAAAATTCTATATAAATATGTAGTTACATTAATGATAAATTAATTTACCAATTAAGTATATTAACTTTTACTTATTAACTAATCAAATGTAATAACTGCAACGTGTTTTATTTATCTCGTAAAAATATAAAGTACCTACATTTGAACAACACGTGATACACTGCCATGGCTGTTTTATACATATTTTATGAAACATTAAAACATGTTACGCCTATTATGTAGTCATAAAATGAATGACGTAAGAATAACTGTAGAAGGTAATTTGATTTATTCGATTTGAATAAAAACAATATATTGTTTTTATTCAAATCGAATAAATCTAATATTACTAATACAAATTGATACCAAAAAATATCAGAAAATATTTGCGTGAAATCTACAACAGTTGTAAGTATGTACATAAATATTAATAACTTAAGTACCTATCAAGATTTTAATTCGTGATTTAACATAGGCAAATCTTCTCCTTCACTTCTTTACCAACTATTTGAGGTCGGTCACCTTGGTCCTAATCCTAAATCTCCACTTGACTCGATGTACGATATAATTTATACTTAAGGCCTATTTAGTTTCTCATTTCAACTAGTATAAAAACAATGAAACTAGGTACCTACCATTATATAGCCGAACATACGGTATTACGGTACCTATACCCAGTGGCGCCGAAGTAGTTCAAAAATATTCGGGAATACAAGGCAATACTGTATTCTACTATTAAACTGGTCTACTTTGAGTGTAATCTATTACATAATTATATAGTTAGGTATATTTTCTACAAATACTTGATTACCCAACTTGATCGGGCGGTCACCCGACCTGTACCCAGACTTCAGTGCCACTGCCCATACCTATAACCTACGAAAAGAAATTAATAATTTACCTTATCGCGTTCCTTGGTCATTACAATATGTTTATAATTTACTGCGTTTTCCTTGTCTTTCCTATTATACTTGAAATTTAATTAAATTCTAGAATAATTATTAGGAATAGGGTAAATACAGGACCGGTTAAAGGCGTATCAGTCTCATATACGGCATACTCATACCAGGCGATTCATTTAAGTGGGTACACTCATTATTTCGGAAAGTATTAACTTTTTCCAGAATTAGTTTTTTAGAACATTTAAGAAACAAGTTGCTCTACAATTTTATATTTGTGTTATTTTTTTTCACCGTTATTTTTGGGTGTAAAACAACTACCAACTTTTGATTTTCAAATGGCATCCTATATAAAAAAAAATCTATAAATAAATTGAATATAAGTTAAAATAAATTTTAGTGTTGAAATTTTTTATTTCTGTCAAGCCGTTAACGAGATATACCACTTTTAATTTTAGGTTGGAGGAGAGTAGTGGTGCATTATTAACACGCCGTGCGCCGTACCGCCACACTATCATTGGGGTGGAGGAGAGTAGTGGAGTATCATTAGTGTTGCAGTAAAAATAAGGGTGACAAAAAATAACACAAATATAAATTTATGGAACAGCTTGTTTCTTAAATGTTTTAGAAAACAAATTCTGGAAAAAGTTAATACTTTTCGAGATAATGAGTGTACCCACTTAAATTAATCATCTGGTATAGGTCGTATACGGCGGCATTGTCGATCGCCCGACCGTTAACACTTTTTATAGGAGTGGCATCATTTTTCGATTCAGTTGTAGAATCTAAAATATTAATGACTATTGTTCAATGTACAAGTCAATTTTTTTTTATATTTAATTAATTTACTAGTAAAAACATGATGGCACAATTATTGTTTTTTGTGTTGTTTTTGCATGTGGCATACAATGTCTATGTGAAAAAAAAACCAATAATAATAGTTAAATATTTTAATGGTGGTGCGATAAGGAATGACGTGCCACTGACAGCACGTCCTACGCGAATAAAACATTTTAAAACTCGCAATCTTTTTTTCATCCACTTGGCCACCTCCTGTGGTTCGATCAAATTCGACGTTCATGTCCTCAGCCACACAATTTTAACATTTTTAAATTTTTCTTACACCATCATTTAGTAGTCAATTGGTAAATATTTTGTTTAAGAAGAAATCTTATTTCATCAGGTGACGGAACAGAGACATGTGTCTTCGACCCCACCGATGTTACCTGTACAATTTAATAATAAAATATTTATGCCATCAATTAGCACCCAATTAGCAAGCATTTGCAAGCCAATCTTCAACATTTTCGAATCATTATTTCCCTTTTAAATTACAATTTTTCAAATTTGATCATGTCATCGACCCCACTCATTCATGAAATAATGTAAACTACTATTTTACCAGAAATCTTGTTCAAATCAAAAAAAAAAATATGAAAGATTTTTGTAGCATTTTGGAACTAGTTGTTCATTGGGGAGAGGGATAATTTTCTATTTTCCGAGTAGTTTTCTTCTAATTGTCAATTTTTGGTAGAATTGTTGTTAATTTACTGGTTACCATGGAAACAATGGAAAAAAGCTATCCTAGGATAATGGAGATGGGTTCAGCCACTGTTATAAGTAATTTAATATATACCTGTAAGCAACGATAAATCATTACTAACGGAAAAAGGATTCTTTAACAACAATATATATGTCATATTATGGTAAAACAATTAAATAGGCTTTTTATATTTTCTTTAATAATATTTGTTTAATTTTGTATACCGATTTTCCCTTTTACCGAAGATTTTCTGGGTTTTTCACATTTGCTGGGAAAACTCCTGAGAAAATCGAAAAATAACCTTTCTAAAGTACCTCCCCACGCCGATTTTCTTTCAGTAAAGGTGTCACACGAAGAAATCTGAGCCAGTCTTCTGGTAGAAAAGTTGCGCACATAAAAAAAAAAAAAAAAAACGGAAATCAAAAATGTAAACACCAACATTTGTTGAGACTAATACTCCATCTATACACGGAATTTATAACATAGGTGGGCATTTGAAAATCAAAAGTAGATAGTCGTTTTACCTTCAAAAATAACATTAATGTAAAATTTTAGAGCTGTTTGTTTCTTCAATGTTCTAGAAATTAATTTTCGAAAAAAGTTATTTTGCGGAATAACAAGTGTATCCACTTAAATAGATCACCTTGTATACATTATATTATATAATATGTACTCTGCGTATCATATATTTTATACTCGTGTTTACAAAACACTTGTATGTATGCAGTTATTTCTAACAGGTTACACGAAACTCAGATATAGGTATCCATAATTTTGTATTTAATTAGTTATTGGTAGGTATGATATAAGTATATAATAATATTTAAAAGGAAACTATGACAATCACGTGATAGTGGTTAATTAGAACACGTCGAAATCATAACGTAAGACCCATTATTATTGCAGTAAACATGTAGGTACCATTAAATATCTACCGGATAATACTTACGTATATAAACTATTAATGCGACGTATATTAAATGTATTACAGAAACGATTATTGTAAAATAAACGATAACTGCTGTATATTATATTTTTCAATAATTATTAATTTTCACTTTCTTTTAATAATTTGTTATACTTCTTCTAATGATATTTTACTGATAACCCGGGAATTAATAATACTGATACCTAACCCGAGTAATTTTTAAAAATTCAAGCCGGTGTGTTTGAATGTCAATCGTTTATACTTTGTCTTGAAAACAGAAATGTTTTATCGAGTGTGTTCATGTATTGTTTTGTAGTAGCTTAACCATTCATTTTAACCTAAATCACCTGTCTGTATCTACTTAATATGAATAAATTTTGAATTTAATAGGCATACCGTGATCATGATGATTGTGTACCTATATAATTATTTATAATGATGGTTTTGATTTATTTAATATTAAATATAAATTATGAGTAGGTGAACATACTGGCAAATAGTGTATCCCAACTTTTTTTTTATTATACGCCTCCATTAAAAATTTTCAAAAATCACATGCCTCCAGTCTCACAACTTGGAATTATGGGGCTGGTGTGTGCAAACTTTCATTTTGGGATCTAAAGAATTTGACTTTTCTAGATGTGGTAAAATTTTCAAAACACTCAAACCGTTTTTGAGGTATTTATAGATATTTTAATTTTGCGAGGTTTGTACGTAATTTTTATTCGGTAGGTACTCTGTGGTAAAATTATTAGAATTAACAGAAATGCTTGAAAATTTAACAGCAAGTTCATTAAGAGTCTTACTATGTGGTCAAAAAAAGAAAATTTTTGTTTAATATAGTATTTTTTTTTATAATGAAATTTTAATATCAAATATTGAGGAAAATTGTTGAGTAAAAAATGATGTGGAACAAATCTAATTTTTCAATTTTTTTTTTTTCTAAACATAAGTATATTTACGATTTAAAAACAATGGTGAAGTCAAAATTAAGTGAATTAAAACAAATAATAGTTATGGTTTATTGGTTTCTATTCATTTTCTGAATATTCCTGTTAAATATATTAATAGGCAATAATAGAATGATACAATGTAATTATTTATAAAACAGTTTTCCTAATGTTTTGTAGTCATTTTAGATTCTGAGTGTAGCGAAGAATGTATTGGTTTTACTAAAATGTTTATTTTTTTATTCTGTGTACAAAAATTCGATCATAAATCTTACTCAGATATATACGCGCGGCACCAGTACTTTTGGGAGGTCATTTTTTGATTTTCCAAGCGGTTTTCATAATATTTGGGAAAAACTAAAATAAAACGTTAGAAAAACGGGAAATTTACGAAAATAATTCCATTGTTGTTTTTCAATATTATTATTTGCTGTAATTCAGTTAAAAATATTTGTTATAAATCAGTTATAAATATTTTAATATATTTCTAAACGAGGTAAAATTTTCAAATAATTTAAGCCAATTTTGAGGTATTTCGGTAGGTACTCTGTAGTAAAATCGTTAGACTTAAACAGAAATTCTTCAAAATTTAACTGGAGGTCTATTAAGAGTCTTACTATGTGGTAAAAAAAAAATTGAGTTTAATAAAGTATTTTTTTTTATAAGGGAATTTTAATATCAAATTAGGTATTATGTAGAATCCGTTCCATTAATTCGTTGTTCACGAATGAGGCTATTTTGATGGATAAGTGTAAACCAGCTTTTAGTAATTTCACATTGCATAGAACCTAATAATATATTTTTAGGACTTTTACAATTATTGGAATGTTTCTTTTATTTTTTTTTTTTTTTTGAATTTTAAGGCCTAAATCAGCTTGGGGGCCGATGTGCAATGCACACCTAGCACACCCGGTAATTGCGGCACTGCATGCCTCCTATTAATTAAAAAATGAGATCAATTATTTTCAATGTTAGGTATGATAAATTTGCACATTTTATATTTTATTTTTACAATTTCGTCTTCGTTTTATTACCCTCTACGCAGTACCTAAATTCGTCCCTAGGGAGGAATTTTCCACCCGTTGAGAAACACTAGGTTAGGTGAATAGGTACATTCTATAGCAGTGGATATACTTTAAAACGCTCATGAAAAGACTATGCAATTATTCTCAATTTGACACTACCAACAAGTATACAACTAGATGAAATATGATGAAAATCATTTAGTACAATAACAATAGTAAGTGGTACTGAATTTATTATTATTAAATACTTATACTGTAAATTTTTTTAATAAAAAAGGAACATTAATTATATATATTGGTTTAAAAAGTTGCAACCTATCCAATTCTAATTTTAGAATTAAATAGACTTAATAATTATCTAAGAAATTAATTACCGTAGAATATTTAATGCATTTTAACTTTAAAATGTAATTGATTTTTGGTTACTTAATATTATTAAAGTAAAATACACTAATTGTATTGATAAAGTATGTAAACTAATTGTGTAATTTTTATTGGGCCTTGACTTTCTGACTTTTAACTACGTGGAAATGATGACGTTAATTTGTTTGTGTTTCGTTTTTTTTGTTTTTGTTTTGTGTATACAAATAATCTCAGACAAATATGATTGAATGTTTGCCAACATAACATTATAACAATATTTCTATACAATACGTACTAACCCCCAACATTAAATTTAGGTACTTTATTCGGTATACGTAGATCGAAAAATGTCGACGAATTTAAATATTTTAGGATTTGCTTTAATTAACTTACATGCAAAAATGTCAACAGTATCGATTTTCCGAATTTTTGTCAACAAACATTTAATACCTAAAAAGCACTTCTGCCATAAGTACAAGGTATTTAATGTTTATTTAAGATAGAGAAAATAATAAGTAATAACTAATATTATATTTTACTAATTAAATTGTACAATATTGGTTTATTTGTTAAACATTTTTTTTTTCGTTTTTACACATTTACGAGTAAGTACCTATCTATTAGAGATAAACATGTCAAATAGCATATCACATATTATAGGTAAGTATAAATGATATAATGTGCGCGTAAACTGTAGTCTTATTATTTATAAATAGACGAATGACATACCGACATATTTTTCTTCTTCTCCTTCGCCTTCATCCCAACTATTCCGAGTCTGCCACCCCCGTTCTAAACTGAAATAAACTAAATGACATAGCTACATATTAAATTAATATATTATTCATTGATATTACATATGTATTTTAATAACATCCAAATAGTAATTTTAAGCATCTACTTATAGTTTATTCTATCTCACTCACTGCACCTATCTAAATATAGAGACGGAAGCTATTTTTTTCTTCCTCGATAATACGGATTCAGATCTATCCGTGCTTGATAACAAATACCATTCTTAGTAGTTGGGAAATGTGAAAGTTAATACGTCGTATACCCGCATTTACTGTCTCAGTCCAACTACCGGGTAACATGTAAAAACAATGCTTACGCAGTATAAGTAAAACTAGTTAAGTTTTGATTTTAGAGTAAAAGTGTCCATTATGAAATTTATAGAGACAAATAAATTGGAGGGAATGACATAGGATTTTTGTATTATTAAAAATATACAGCTCGATATAAAAGATAGAAAAACCTTTATTTTTCTTTTTTAATAGTTCATAATTAAAAAAAAAACCTATGGTATTCCCTCCTAAGCAGACATTTTCTAAGCATCAATTTCATTTTCAGCATAAATCATGATGTAACTAGGCATGGTCGTTCTGGTATCCGCAGGAAGGAGCAATGTAGGGTATTTTTACCACCCTTGGTTTTTTTTTTTAACCACAATGTAGTAAAGAATGATAAGTACAATTAAAAATGTCCTTGTAGCTTGTCCTAGGTACCTGCAGTATTTAATTTAGAATTTAATAATTAAATCGGTTTTTATTTAGATGCATAATTTTAATAATTTTATCTAATGGTAAGTATTATTTTATTAACTTCTACAGCTCGATAAACACAAATACCTACCTATGTTAAAAACTATATATCATAGATATAATAGATTTAATTATATATAATTATTAATTGTAATAGCTACACGATTACTATTTACACCGTACGAATACAATATTTCATATAGAAAATAACCAAATCAAACCACTTACTAGTAATCAACAAGTTTCTGTATCACACGCGGATATTTGGTTTCATTTTTGGGGGGGGCTTAACATTTTTGTCTTATTCATTAGCGGAAACAAATATTTTTAGTCGCTTCCGACGCTTCCACCTTACTAACTGTAGTGGCAACTCCTACTTGATTCTAGCTGATGCACGTATACGGTCCAAAAACGTAATCGACACTAATACTGTGGCGGTCTGCAGCTTGCGTATTTATAATTTTACAAGTATCGCAAACAAGTTCTAGAATATCCGAAATTATCAATATATACCTACAAAATATGATTTTCCCAACAACAGAGCAAGATTTCTGGTTGAAAAGTTGTTTACGAATAGAAAAAAAAAAACCACTCTTATATCATAGTAAGCAAACCCCAATAGATCCCTTCGGTCAGAATCTAAAACAATCAATTATCAGTCATTATATAGATAATAGCAAATAGGTACTAGACGTCTATAGGTACCTAAACGACAAATGTCACTGGTATATTAAAACCCGTGACGGTAAATAATAATTACAATATTAACCTTCATTGATAAATACTATTAATTACTACTAGTATTTATAACAATTGTACCTTCTACCTACTTGAAATAAATATAGACAAAACGAAATAAAATCACTCTGTAGACATGTAATATGGATAACGTAACGAATAATAAGTAGTAACTACTAAGAATAGGTAGCATAGATAATAAATAGTATGTACCACTTGTTTTTTTCTTATTGTTCAGATTAATTTAATATGTTCGTTGTTCTACAACAAATGTACCTCGCTCTTCTTTGACTGTAATGTTACATGTAACATCGTAATCAAATTTATTATCTGTTAGACTATTATCTAAACATTTCAATATTATCTGTTGACTGTTATGACTTACGAGATTATATTCTGAAGTGTAAAAGTTTCGTCGCATTATTTCTACAAATATTTTTAAATAAAAATATCCATTCGATTTGAATTGAACGTTCACTACTAACCGATTGGATGTACCTATATAGATAATTTTACTTCGTCGAATATTGTCTAAACATTTTTTTTCATATTCATAATACCAATCATGTCTTTTTGTATCGAAGAAACGTCCAAAAAATCTGTTGGGATTATTGGTTGCGGAGCATCAGGTTTGGCTGCTCTTAAAAATTTTGCTACTGAAGATTCGCAATTCAAATGTGTAGCATTTGAACAAACTGAAACTATCGGAGGTACGTGGGTATATACGGATGATATAGATATAGACCAGTATGGTTTACCAGTTCACTCTAGTATGTACAAAAGCCTAAGGTATGCTTGAATAAAAATATTATTGTATTGATACTATTTTGTATATTATGTTAACTTGTATAATTAGGACAAATTTACCAAAAGAAATTATGGAACTAAGTGGATTTCCCCATAAAGATGTTGGTGATGCTTGTTACTTTCCTGCTGCTTATATACGAAAGTATCTGAATGATTTTACTGATCACTTTAATTTAAGGCAATGTATTAAGGTACGTAAGCTAAATAATATCAAAAAATAATTATATAAACTATTATACTTAGCTACATTTATTTTTGTGTTTACATTTTATCAATTTATAGTTTTGTCATCATGTAGAAAAAGTAAGCCCTATCAACAATAATCAATGGGAAGTTAATGTTATCAATTTAAAACAAAACAAGAAAGAAACTCACATCTTTGATGCTTTGGTAGTATGTGTTGGGTAAGTGTTATAAATAAAACATACAAACCAATTATTACAAACCATTATTACAATTATTCTTTAATCATGGGTATCTATTTGTATCAAAGCCAGAAAAAAATTCAGTGGGAGGGCGCACTAATAATTATTATATTCCTTACTAATTTTCAGAAAGATAAAATACACAAATATAATGAATAAAACAAAAAAATGATGGTGTCATGTGCCTCACCTTAATTATGGCATTAGTGTCTGATATTGAGTACTAGATAAGTTATATTTCCATAAAAAACCACTTCTTAATTATAGTTAGGTAAGTAGTCTAGTGGATAGGGCATAAAGTTTAGTAGGTCAGATTAGGTTAGGGTTGTAGGTTAAATAACTGGCAGAGTATTCTGAAACAGTAGAGTTTTTTTTCTCGTATTTTCGGATATTTGCACAATACATTAACTGACTACTATGCAATTGTACAACTGACAAATACCCAAATAGGGCATAGTAAAATACTGAACCATAAAACACTGTTTGAACTGATAATTAAACCCACACTCAGAGTGTATGGTGCTTCCCATGTAAAATTCAATAATTAAAATTACAAAAAACATTACATGGATGGTTATGTAACCATAGGTTAAACAAACAGTTCATCAATGAGTTTACCCATTCTATATACAAAAAATGGTATTCGGGCAATTGAAGACATAGGTGCAACAATATTATATTCCTATGAAAAAAATTCCTTCGATTGGTGCAACGGTCGGACAAATCCGATTGTTAGATACGGAAATTATATACAAATGGAGATATCTGTTTTACTTTTTGTTACAACAACAAAACTTCTCCGAAGATAGTAATTTTGGTAATTTGGTAATTTGAAGATGTTTGATTGTTGTGCCCACGTCTTCAATTTCAGAAACATTAGTATTCATTTATTTAAATAAATTGATGCTAATATTTTTATGAGATAATTTACTAAAATATGTTTATTTTCTAGTAATTATAGCAATCCTGCCATTCCAGATATTACGGGATCAGACATATTTCATGGGAAAATTATGCATAGTCATAGCTATAGAGATGCAGATCCTTTTAAAGACAAATCAGTGTTGGTTATAGGCTGTGGTGCATCCGGTTTAGATATATCATTTGGTACATCAAAAGTAGCAAAAAAGGTATATTTTATTAATATTCACAAATTTAAAACAGAATGAAACTTATAATATTATTTTAAAAATAACTTAGGTTTTCCTTAGTCATCATAATCCCAAATTATTGAAGTTAAAAATTCCTTCAAATTATTTCCATAAGACAGACATTAAAGAAATTGTTGAAGATGGTGTAATATTTAAAGATGGCTCATATGAACAGGTTGACACAATAATATATTGCACAGGTAGATTTAAATATTTTTTATTATTCTATATTTTTGAATAAGGTTTTTTTTTTTTTAGGTTATACTTATAAGTATCCATTTTTAAGTAGTGAATGTGGTATAACTGTTGAAAATAATGTAATTAAAAATCTTTTTAAACACATGATTAATATAGAATATCCAACAATGGGATTTATTGGTGTACCTCGAAATACAACAGGATTTTACTTATTTGATTTGCAGGTAGTATGATTATAATATTTATATTTTATTTTTATTTTTATCAATTTACATAACACAAAATTTTTAGTCGAGAATTTTTAAAAAGATTCTGGAAGGTCGTGTTAAAATGCCTAGCAAAGAAGAAATGTTAGAAGACAGTCATAAGGAAATAGAGGCTCGACTAGCTAGTGGGCAAAGACTAAAAGATCTCCATGCGCTAGGCAGAACAAAATGGGCTATGGAATATTATACTTCTGTTACAAAATTTGCTAATGTAGAACATCCACCACCAGTGTTGTTACAAATTTATTTTGATGGTCTTGAAAGACTTTCAGAAGATTTTCTGAATTTCAGAGGTGACAAGTATCAAATTATTGATAGAGAACATTACAAAGTGCAATATTATGATAAAAATGAACCCATTACTAAAAAGCAAATTTTGTATGCTTTGTAATTTTTTAAATAGTTACAAATTTAAATTATTAAATTATTAATAGGTATGAGAGTTTATAATTATTGTTAATTATCCTTGTTATTGTAAAATATATAATAAAATAATAATTTGTATCTGATTTAAACAGAGATATTTAATTTTGATTGTGTATTAATATATTTATTTTTTTCTATTAAAAAAAAATAACTTGTAATAAATCATAATTCACTTTTATAGTTATACAAAATTTTAAAATTGTTATAAGATAATTCTAATTCTATTACTTACTTGGCAAATTATAATATTATTCATTTATATTTCATACAAGGTAGATATTAGTGAATGAAGAAAGGTAAAACTTAAACACTGTACAATATTATACAGGTAAAAATAAATACCCTCACCTAGAAAAATGCTTGATACAGACTTCTAGTAAAATATATATTTTTAGTTACGAATGTGCACAAAAAATAATTCATAACTCAATTACTCAACCAATACAAATTAATAGTAGTAGTATTAAGTTTACATTTACTAACAAAAAAAAAACCAAGTTTATTAAACAAGTAAAAGCCTTATTGTTATACTGGGAATGTATTCATTTTACTGTTTTAAATTCTGAGTGCAGTGAAGAAGCTTATAGTTTTACAAAGATGTTTTTTTTTTTTTTTATCTGTGCGTAACTGTTCTACTAGAATACTTGCTCGGATTTCTACGTGTGGCACCTTTTCTGATAGGAAATCGAAGTGGGGAGATACTTTAGGGAGGTCATTTTAATGGTTTTCTCATCAAATTTAAAATACCGTAAAAAAATAAACTGGAAAATGTACGAAATATATTACTAAAGTATGACTTTCTTTTTCCTGTGCATAACTTTTCTACCAGCAATTTTGCTCCAACTTTTAATGATAGCAGTATTTCTAAAAGGCACTTTTACTAGAAAGGTACTTTAGAGATGTGATTTTTCAATTTTCCCAGGAGTTTTCCCAACAAATTGAAAAACCGGGAAAAAACATGGGAAAACCCGGAAAAACTTACAAAAACTGGGAAAATCGGTGCAACACCAAACAAATATTATCAAAAAAAATATGAAAAGCCTAATTAATTATTTTACTATAAAATGACATATATATATTGTTGACAAAGCATCACTATTAACTGAACTCCGCTCAGAATCGTTTTTTCGTAAGCAATGGTTTATTGTTGATTACAAGTATACATTAAATTATCAATAACAGTGGCTGCACCCATCCCCAATATCCTAAGACGTTTTTTTTCTTGTTTTTGCGTATCATGTTGCAATTATCAACTGTAGTATTGTAATAAAGTAAATAAAGGGGTGCAACACAAATGAATGTATAACCACTAATCACTTAAATTACTTATTACAGCCTACGACGGTAAGAAACAATTAATATAAGATACACTGTGAAGGGTAACAACAATATACTTACCTATCCTGAACGGAGTATCCCCAGCAACAATGTTGAGTTTGAACACAGGTATAATTATATTTATTTATTATGTTGATGAAAATAGATAGTAGGTATGATAAAATAAACACTTGATTAAGTTAAAAATGATGACATCGGAATGTTAGAAGACGGTACAACACGCAATCGCGGGGAGACGAAAAAAATGACGAGTCGCCAAGGCAGGATCCGGTGGCCGAATGAGTCGAGGAGTCTCTTATGAGAAAGAAAGGGGAAAATAGTGGAGTGGTGTTGTCCGGTTCTCATTATCATGTTTTATTATTATATGCGATATTTAACTGTAATACATATTATTTTGTCTTAATCTAAATTGACTTATAAACTGATAAAATAAAGCGGTGTCACTAAAATAAAATGTAGTGTAGATAATATTAATATTATACTATGATATATACCATATTGTATATGTCATTACATGCACCCCAGTATTTTTTTTTTTTTTTGTTATGCCCTCGTAACTGCATATTTTGTACAATTTTAATTAACAGTAAATTGTATAAAATATTAGTAATAATAATAAACGAATACAATATGTATATAAGAGCGGATCCACTTGCGTGCGATGTGTGGTGGATGCCTGCTTCTGTATGGCCATTCTTCGTGGAGTAGGCCGAGTAGGGTGAGTGGTTTTATTTATGGCAGTGTTAGAGATCACTCCGTATCTATTCGAGTTTTCCTTGTGCATTAGATAACGCGTTATGTTTGGAAAAATACCAACTATTAATTTAATGCTCCAGCCACATGTTTTGTATAGGATGGACACATTGAGTATGGTGTTAATTGTCATTAGCGAAATTTTTCCTATGACAAATACGCTTAAAACGCCGGACGTTATATTTCCGATTCCAGTGAACCATCCCCACGTTTTATGCAACTCGGAGTGGACGATATTGCTTATAGTTTGTTCACTATTTATGTTCCTGGTGTCAATGCCTTGGTTTATAACTTCATGGCCTGTTGTTTGCCTTATTAGGTTTTTTTTTTTTTTTTTTGAGCTGTCTCTGTTTCTCGTGGGTACGTGAGATGTTTTTGCAGTGCGTTGATCATTTCTGGAGTATACATTCCAGCAGTCATAAAATTATCTGCACTTTCATAGGACCCGAGTAGTATAAATAGCAGAGTTCTACCACAGGATCAGGAGCAGGAGCAAGGATTTTTTTCTTCTTTTTCGAGTGCGTAAACATTTACGGATACATTATTATTATTTTTTTCGAAATTTTTAATGTCTGCCATAGGTGTCGGGTACGTTAATCCGCTGAAATCGTATTTATTTTCGTGTTTCGTATAATTGTGATTGATACGATAATCATGGACCTCCGTCCATTTAAAGCATTTTTCGCCTATATTCTGCGGGTTAACTACGGCACGTTTATTTATAATATCTTCGGGTAACGGTAAATATGACGATCCGCCCATGGTTTGATATTTATAAAATCCTAATAATATCCCACCGATACAATTTAGGGAGAACCCACTTCCTTGACCCTGATAAATATCCTGTTCGGAAATTAATTTTCGTTCGACTATGTCTTCTATCTCGCTATCAAAATATATGTGCCTGGCTGAGGTCTTGAACGCTCTGTTTACGGCGGAATGTTCTACCTGCGGTTTGTAATGGGTTGCCTCGAGTTTCGAATTGAATTTAATCGGATTATTTTTAACAATATTTTTGAGTAGGTCTAAAAGTGCTGGTTTGATTGAACGGAGAAATTGTCTGTAGTTGTATATATTATCAATATTTTTGGCGTAGTGCCAAACGATTTTACGAGAAAATGACGTGTCCACCTCCACAAAACCCGGAGCATTCAACAATTCCATCCTACCTTTCTTCATTCCAGCGGAGGTATCTTCTTTCAATGCGCGTTTAAAACCTATCAAGGGACAGAAAAAAAAAAATTAATTTCCTCGCTACGTGATGGGGGCATAATAAAGAATACTTACCTTCGTGGTCGAATCCCACCATATCATTGATGGCCGGACATACATCTGCCAACAACGCGTCATTTTCCTCGTCCGTAGTCCATGTCGTAGTAGAAATCGACGGCCCTGTAGATGTTCCGGCGATAGTATTAGATGGCCCGACTCTTCCATCACGGTGGACAAGTTTCGCATGGATATCGTGGCTGTTTTTACGCGCGAACGATGTCGGGCATAGAGCGCATTGAATTTTTACATTACCGTGGGATTTAGCGTGACGGGCCATGTTACGTTTAGCGGTAAACACTTTTCCGCAGCCGGCGAAAGTACATTCGAACGTATCCATTTTTAAACGTATATAAAAATGAACAAATAAAAATAACGAGTGAATGCCTGTTACAAAAAATAGCGCACTGATTAAAATAATAGAGAAAAAAATAAACAGAGAGAAAACTGTAAAGCACTTGGACACTGGTGTGTAGTAAAATTACTGCCGACGATCGGTCGTCCGTCCCGTCGTCGTGATCATGGACAAATAATAGCAATCGAATGTCAACAGTAACAATCGAAATGCGCGATAAGAGACCAACTCGCACAGGATCGTACAGGGTCTGACAGGCAAGAAACGTAATGCGCGCTGCTATTGATGTGTGTAAATATGTATAGATAATATTTCCTTCTCGGTGGGTAGATGTGCGGGGGACAGGAGGACGTCACTGACCCTTGCCATACAGGCCTGTGCAGGTCCGTTATATATTATAATTCTTTGTGCGATGTCAAACAACATTTTTATATAGGTACTTTACGATATAGACGAAAAGGGTGTACATGCGGGGGTGGTTATTAGACGGTATGGTAGTGCACGCGAAGACACGATTATGTACATATATGTGTTCTCACGAGTGAAAATGTGTACGTTTATGGTTAGAGGCTAAGAGACCAACTCGTACAGGATCGTACAGGGTCTTACAGGCAAGAAACATAATGCGCGCTGCTATTGATATGTATAAATATGTATAGATAATATTTCCTTCTCGGAGGGTAGATGTGCGGGGGAGAGGACGCGAGCTCGCGTGGGGGAAAATATTGTTCGACCAAGTAGCCGATAATAATAGTGTTTCGAAAAAAGGGACGTGGTCTTAATAGATCGAGTTCGTGGTGTATATAGAATAAAAAAAAAAAAAATCCTTGCTCCTGCTCCTGCTCCTGGGGTAGAACTCTCCTTTTTATACTACTGACCAGGATATAGTAGTGGCAGGTTTTAATTTTTGAGAAGGACTTATTTTATGTGGTTTTGGAGTCAATGCAGTCCATCTTTTTGTATCGCTTGCGAAAGCGGCTGGTATGTATTCATTAGTCTATTTGCGCGCCAAAGTTTTGAAGTATATGATTTAGTATGAGTATATATAGTGTATAGTATAGTATAGTATAGTATAAGTATGAGTCGGATAATTTTAATCTTGATCCATATGGTAGGATTATAACATTTTCTTTGTTATTGGCTGTGGCTATTCCTTCTGATAGATGTACGGAGTACTTAGCTTGAACTATGACTTTGTGCCAGGTCCCTCTTGAATTGGTGAAAGTGGTGCCTTGACAATTTCCCTCCCTGTCGAATGAGCCACCACTAGTGTGAGATACTAATGTTACATAATATTATATTATGATGTATACCATATTGTATATATCGTTACAGTATGTTTTCTAAAAGGAAATTTTTTCTAATTAGTGTATCGAGAAGTCCGCCCCTGCTATACCTACATGTTCATATTTTATATCTAATTGCATTAAACTTGGATATTAACAGTTTGTGAGTGATGGTCATCCGCCAGTTTATGATGCCGACTATAAATATTTTTTTGCAAATGTACACCTACATTATTGTAATGTATACATTAGTAATAATGAAATTAAAGTTCATAATCTATTTAATCATGTTTAGTATTGGTTGACAAGTTGTCAATGATTTCTATGGTTCTGAGTGACATTACCTATATTACCTAATGTTTTTATCAAACAGACCTTTTAAAGTACCTAATTATTAACTAACACATTGACGGATAATACTGTTGTAGCAGTAATATGAAAAATTGCTTATTATGTCAACACACTACACTGTAGCAGTAATTTTTTCGATAATATCAAAAGACAAAAACATTGAACCACAGAGGTTTCCTTTCAGAAAAAGTGCTATCATTTTAAATTGGAGCGAAATTGCTGGTAAAAAAGTTATACATAGAAAAGAAAAGGCCATAATATTTTTTTACTAATACCTACATTTCGTACATTTTCTGTTTTTCGGACATTGTTCCAGTTTTTCCTAGATATTATGAAAACCGCTTGAAAAATCAATAAACGACTCCTTTAAATTATCATGAAGATAAAATTTTCTTTCAGAAAATAAACTACACATGATATATCGGAGCAATATTTCTGGTAAAAAAGTTTGTACAACAAATCGAGGGGTATTTTGTAATTAAAATAGTCCGAGGGAGCGATGGCTTGGGTTTCTTGGTACATCCAAAATGCAATTTGGTTTTTCCTTGTTTAGGTAAAAGGGAAAAAAAATGCAAACCATTTTTATTGGCACACTGGTTTGAATTCGGGACCCTTAGGATGATAATAGGTATAAATTAACCCGTAAATCACGACAAATATACTTTAATGACAATATAGTTATTTAACATAACATATAATATCCGCATAATATCAGAACTTCAAAATGCTATAATTTCGAAACTTAATCAGTCAGCTTAACTCTGACTTCACCATCATTCTTATATAGACAATATATATATATATATATATGTTCAAAAGACAAAAAATTGAAAAATTAAATTTGCTCCACGCAATTTTTTGTCAAAATTTGATATCAAAATTTCCTTATAAAAAAAATACTCCATTAAACTCTTTTTTTTTTTTTTTACTACAAAGAAAGACTCTTAATGAACCTCCAGTTAAATTTTGAAGAATTTCTGTTTAAGTCAAACAATTTTACCATAAAATACCTACCGAAATATCTCAAAAATGGCTTAAATTATTTTAAATTTATACCTCGTTTAGAAAAGGCAAACACATGTATTCTGTCCACATTTCAAGTCTCGACAAATATTTTTAACTGAATTACAGCAAATAATAATATTGAAAAACAACAATGGAATTATTTTCGTAAATTTCCCGTTTTTCTAACGTTTTATTCTAGTTTTTCCCAAATATTATGAAAACCGCTTGGAAAATCAAAAAATGACCTCCTAAAAGTACCATCTGGACAACATTATCTTTCAGAAATGGTGCCGCGCGTATATATCTGAGTAAGATTTATGATCGAATTTTTGTACACAGAATAAAAAAATAAACATTTTAGTAAAACCAATACATTCTTCGCTACACTCAGAATCTAAAATGACTACAAAACATTAGGAAAACTGTTTTATAAATAATCATATTGTACCATTATTTTATTTCCTATTAATATACTTAACAGGAATATTCAGAAAACGAATAGAAACCAATAAACCATCATTATTAATCATTTTCCTTTCAGTAGACTATAGTTTCTTTACAATAACATGACAAATTCTTTGGGTGCTAATTTTAAAACTCAGGGTACTAAGCACACCCAAGCCCCCCTCCCTAATTGCACCTATAGACAAGATATCTATTTTTTGCTTCAATTATGTAATAAAACGAGAAAATTTACGAAATTTGAGATTTTATTATTTTCGATTTTGTTTTTTTGAGACCTGAAATTTGCACAAAATACGTATATTAGCCCTTTCACGAGGTTCATTATAAGTCGACTTAGGAAAATACGAGTATACTTCGCACGATGGGTGAGACATTTTAATTTTTTGAGTTTTACGTAATTTTAATATTTGGTAAGTATTGTGTAGATAAAATTGTTAGACTAAACAGAAATTTTTGGAAATTTGACAAGCAATTCTTTATAAGTAGTAGTTAGTAGTTCAGAAAAAAAAAATGAGTATAATAAAATATTTTGTTTTAAAATTAAATTTTGACGAAATCTTAAATATTACGGCTTTTCAAAATATGTATACTACCGAATTTTGCTCCAAATAGATTTTCGTTAGCAATAATGGTTTATCGTTGATTACGGGTTTATGGTAAATTAAAAATTCAAGCGCTTTAGTTCTCCCATAGATTACTTAATATTTTTTGACTTACGAGCCAAATGTAAACAACGTTCTAGCTTTGATTACTGTACCTATATCAAGCAAACAGGAGACATTATTATCTTCTTCTTCTAGGTTCTAAAGTTATATTAGGAATCTTAAGAAAACACCCCAAATATCCCATGCCGTCCAATTCATAAATGTCTCCTCTAGTTCTCACACTGACTCTGTTAATCTTTTTACTTCCTATTTTTTTTTTTTTTTTTAAAAAGCCAGAGGGTTGCGATTGCATTAATGAAATAACTTTTTATCCCATTTTCCCAACTTTTTTTTATAATTGTATATCTGCTCTACCAAAAATTAGACGACCTGCAGTTGGCCCTCTAAGCAAAAATTCTGACGCCTCTAATGCTGATTATCAATAAAATACAGCATGATCACCACGACACCACGGTTTCGTACTTATCATAGAGTAATTACTCTATGGTACTCATGTAGACCATGATCACGAATCATGATTATGATAACGCTCTAGAACCGTTATCAGTATGATAAACAAGTTTTAAAAAAAAACACATGTTATTTCAAACATTACAATTCATAAATGTTTTAAAAAAACTAATAGTTCAGCCCAACAACCGTCTTTGTCGTTCAACAAATTCACTGTTTATAAGTTTTCGTATCTGTTTTCTAAGGACGTGTCCCTTCCATATTTTATTATTTATGTGAACTTGAACTATGGATATTCATTTTTATGTGCACTTGAATGACATTTTAATTATCCAAATACCGATTTTGTTTTGTAACATATGATCTATAGTCATATTTATAATAATTGATTATTCAAACACTTAATATCATAAATAATCAAGTTAGTTTTTTGTGTATTGGGCTTACAGACGTTCTCTAATATATTACAAAAAACAATACGAGACTTACAAAACTAGTTTGTGTGTATAGACTATTTTAGAATTATCTTTAATTTTAATTAATATTAAGTATTTGTAATAGATGTATGTTTGAAACATTTAACTAAAGAGTAATGGATTACTTGCAACAAGGTTGGTTCACAGAGTCAGATACATGGCCAGGTGCTGGAATTTCATTGCAAGTGGAAAAAATATTGCATAAAGAGAAGTCTCAGTATCAAGAAATAATGGTATTGCAAACGTAAGTACTTAACTGTTATCTATACATATAACAGTAATACTATTGATATTTATATTAAATTATAATTTATTCGTGTTCATAGTAAGTCATTTGGAAAAGCATTGGTTTTGGATAATATTATTCAGTGCACAGAATATGATGAATTTTCATACCAAGAAATGATAAGTTTCTTACCACTTTGTAGTCATCCTAATCCAGAAAGAGTTTTGGTAGTTGGTGGTGGCGATGGTGGTGTAGCTCGTGAAGCTGTTAAACATCCACAAGTACGAAGTGTTGATGTTGTTGAAATTGATGAACGAGTTGTTAAACTTTCTGAAAAATATTTGCCATTTATGACGTGTGGATTTCAACATGAGAAAGTTACTTTACATATAGAAGATGGGTTTGAATTTATGAAAAATAATGTTCAACAATTTGACATCATTATCACAGATTCCTCAGATCCAGTTGGTAAGTATATTGAATAATAATATTTAAATGTGTTACATAATTGTGCAATTTATATTTTTTTTAGGTCCAAACGAAACATTATTTCAAAAAACATATATTGAATCGTTGAAAAAATCTTTAAAACCTGGAGGAATTATATGTTCTCAAGCTGGATCAATTTGGATAAAAGAAGATCAGGACACAATGATCAGACTATCTAAAGATTGTTCAGCAAACTTTAAAAAGGTGACATTAGCCACCATGTCTATTGCATCCTATCCAACTGGCAACATCAGTTTTATTATGGCTACAGATAATGAGGTTTAAAAAACATTTATTAGAACATTATAAAATGTATAATATTGTTTATTTAATGTACGATTTCAGCTAGTCAATTTCAAAGTACCTGCTTACAACTTCACAACAGAAGAATTAGATAAACATAAACTTAAGTATTACTCGCCAGATGTACATTCAGCTGCATTTAGTATTCCTAGATTTGCTCGAAAGGCTATTCCTCATATTAATTGTTAACATTGTTTTGTTACATTAGATTTTTTTCGACCAATTAGCTATTAGCATTTGATTTAATTGTGTTTCAATTTCACCTAATTGTTATGCTTTTAAATATTTTTAGTATATTTGACTTACAACTGATACAGCTGAATACAAATGTATTAAATTGTTGCTTTTAATAATGCAAGTATATGCAAATTATTGCATTATTGTTTTCAGTTCTTTTTATCCTAATTAATTTGTATTATTCTGTATTTTTTAATTATTAAAATAATTGTTTCTCATATGATAGTTTTAATAGTAAAATAGATACAAAATAGTTTTTAAAAATTAATTAAGAAATAAGAATGTTTTTATGTTTTAAGTATGAAATCTATTAAAGAGCATATTAATAAAAGAAACGCCTTGTCTTTTTAATAATTAGTAAACAGTAAACTTTATAGGTTCTATTATTTTTGGATATTTCTAGTGAATGGTATACTCTAGAAAAAATTAACAAGCTCAAAAATTTGAGTCGTTTTGTAGGTGGATTGATATGATAAAAGTTGGATTGAATTTGAATATGAATTTAACCATGTGTGGATGGAGGATGTCTTATTTTGGTACACCCATACAAGCTCTACAATTAATGAAGTTTATAGGACTATAGAATTGGCCCAATGACCCATCTTAATCAAAATTGTGCTCTCGTAATGAGCTGTACATAGATAGTAAGACTCAAAACTATATACTGACAAAATCACATATGACTGACGACTCTTGGGCATTGAAAGTTTTAAAGAAAGTAAAACATTTAATAAAGATAAAAGTTTAATTTATTTACTGAGACTTAGTTTGATACATCATTTAAATGTAAAAAACAATGCCAACAATCTGTCCGTTGTTCTAAGTAAAGATTAACTCTAATTTTCACATGGTACCTGTACAAATATATATAAACTAAAAGTAAAGAATGTCGCCCGACATGGATAAAGCAGAAGAATTATGAATGTCACATGTTTGGTGAACCAATAGTGATTCTTCTGGTGCTAAGTTATCCTAATTGAAATTTACGAGTGGTGTCTATTACTTAGATACTCATCCTCAGAAAAGATTGATTGAATCACAAAAATACTGTAAGTCAAAATTCGAAATTTACTTGTATAGAAAATTACTATTGTGTCATGTTCGTACAACAGTAGATATGTTAATATTGAATAAAAGTTTGTAAATACACAAATTTTGAAAAGGAGATAAGTTAAGAAGAGGAGTAAGAAAAAGTGAAACGTAGTTAGTAGGAATTCAGATTACTACATTCAGTAACCTGTTGTCTTTTAGCTTAAGTATAAAATATATGATATAGTATCACATTGGTTGCTAATAACAACGAAAAATTAAGTTTAATCAATATTTATTTAGTTTATTAAACATGTCGAGTTGCACCTACTTATAGACAACATACGAATACAGGTGTATTGATAGATTCGAAATACTTTTTAACCAATACCTAATGTTAACAAACTATCAAATGGAAATTGTTTACATTGGCGATCGAAATCCGAATAATCGTGCACTTCTAATATTGAATGAAGAATGGAAGAGATTAGGGAAAATTTTAACGAAAAAAATGGACGAAGAAGTTACGTTGGAGGATGGAAGACGACTAAAAGAGATGCGCCGTGAAACGTCAAAAAGAATGATAGATGGTTGGAACAATACAAAATTGGTTAATATTTAGTATTTTAAAACACTTGTGCAAATGTTTGATATACCAAATATAATGATGAATTTAACATATTTATAGAACAAGACCAAAAAACTATTGGAACAAAAGCAGAAGAAACTTTCCGAGTTGGAAGCCAAACAACGGCAAATAGACGAAGAGATGAAGCATGAAGCTTTGAAAGCCAGAAACAGAATTATCGAGAAATCACGAAAATTAAAATTTGAAGAAAAGGATATTGTAAAAACGTTTAATAGAGCTCTTCAACACTCTGAAGTTATAAAGATGATATATAAAAATTAATAATATATTCACAAAGAGTAAACATTATGTAGTTGAAATACAAATATTGAATTTTTTCAGGTGTTTAAAGAAAGGGCAGTTCAATTAAAATTTAACGAATCCATGAGAGAAAATAAAATGGCATTTGACCTTATAATCGCCCAAGAACAAAACAGTGATGCGGAACAATACAGAAAAAACCAAATGAACGAGAAACAGAAAAACAACGAACTTAAAAAGACTAAAGCCGAATTATTATTAAAAGAGTACGTAGGCACTTTCTTTTACTTATTTACATCTAGAAAATCATTCATATCATGATTAACGTGTTAAACGGCTTAATTTTAGATTGAAAGAACGCGAGACTAATAGACGTGATGAAGATGTTGCGTTGTTCGAGTCCGATAAAATGGAATTACAGAAAATCACTGATGAAATCGAAGAATACCAGAAGAATATCAAAGCCGAGGTAAAAGTACATAGTGTTAAAATTAGTGCATAGATTCCCCTTCTACCAATGAATAAAATGTTTTGTAAGTATGTTACGTAAGTACCTATTTTAAATAAAGAACCAATATAGTAAATGCTTTATTCTACTCTACTTAATAAAAACAAATTTGCCATTACTATAAGTAGGTACCTAGGTATAAATAAGAATATTTCATTATACCTATTTAGAAACTGCCTTGAGCCTGATCAGTACCTACCTAGTTGTATATGTTGCAATGTAGGTTGGTTAAAATGAAACGCAGATATTCTTAGTTTAGTCCTAAGCTGAACAACAACGCTGAATTCTTTTTTGGCTAGTCACATTTATGGGAGGGAAAAATGTAACAACTTAAGTTTTAGCTATACCTAACTCACTGTACCCCCAATATAGACCAAAATGCTACCATTAAAAACTAGGTAGGTACTAGTTTAGTGCATTATTTAGTAATAGAGCAATCATCCTACTGGCGAAGGACTATTGTTCGAATTCCAGATTGAAGTAATATTTTTAGGGTTTTTCTGTGAAATCAACATGCTTTAGTAATATAGATGTTTTACATTTACTCATGTAGGCTAGGACAGCAAGGGAAAAACTTCAAAAAGTCATAGCGGACAACCAAGAATCAACTTCTAGGTATAATGAGATACGTAGGGTGGAGGAACAGGAAGAGGCAATGATGACAGCGATCGTGGCGGAGACAAAGAGAACGTTAGCCGGAATGCGGAGACTAAAAGAAATAGAAGTATATATAGTATATATTATATACTAAATATTTATATAATGCTGTATGTGATGTTTGATTATAATAAGAAATTACCATATAGATTATAGATATATTGGATATAAAATTTAAACTATATTACAGTGGATAATTTACTAATTTAGACTGTTTGTTTACAGTTAATGAAAGCCAAACAGTTAGCACTGGAAGCGATGAGAACAAAAGTGGCTGTTTGGCCTAAAAAAGAAAGTGGATGGACAGAGACTGACATGCAAAATGCTGTTGAAACCAAGGAAAAACGGTACCAGGATGGACTTGCCGAGAAAAAAGAATGGGCCAAGAAGAGAACAGATTATATGGATGATGGTAAGAGGCTGTGGGTAAAGGAAACAGCTAGACAACAGAGACAATTGGCTCAAGATCATGAATTGGAAGCTAAGAGACTTGAACGTGAGAAAAGATTATTGATAGAGTTTGCAAAATTGCGTGAAAAGACACAGATAGAAACCATCAACCAAATCAGATCGCAACTTGATCAACAGTGTGTAAGTATAAACAACTCTGCATGGTAATAAGGTCATTATGTACAATTATAGTTTTTAATAATGGCTACAAATTATAAAAATAATCTAATACCCACTCATATATTATAATTATTATATCTTTGTTTTCTGCGTTGAGAGTAGAACGACAAAACAGCTGCTGTATTAGCAGACAGGCAAACTGACATCAATCATCATAAAATGATTGAACAGTTGTGGTTTGAGGAGGACAAAGAGTTTGTTACATATGCCAGAAATATCATAGAGAAGAAGAAATTGGACGGCAATCCCATTAAGCCACTTTTAAAAACAGTTAATGTTAGTAATATAGTATTAATTATTAAACCACAATAAACAGTTATGATAATTATTTTGTTTTTAGGATTATCTTAAAAAGAACAATTTGTATATAGATCAAGTCAATAAAGTATCAAAAAAACAGCCAAAAGGGTCAATTTACACATCAAGAATTATACAACATACTGATTAAATATTGTTTGAAAATATATTTAAAATGTTAAAATAAATACCATCATTTAAATATAAGGCACATTTTCTGAGTCTTCTCTTTAAAAATCAATTATTTACACATATCACAATAAAATTGTGTATGAGAAGTTAAACATAAAATTTACATAATTATAATATTAAATATTTAAAAATTACCAATATAAAAATGTATAAGTTTGTACTATAAAAAATAATATTATACATACAGAAATCTAATTCTAATGGCACATGATGGCAAAAACCTTAAATTAAACACATACATTAAACATTATTAACATTTAATCCATGGCATTTTTCTTGGTAAACTGTAATGTGTTAGATCAAGTTGAGACTGTGTGAGATCAAGTCGGGGATGTAGACGTTTCATAGCTATTATTCTCATACGCCTAATAGCTATTATACTAATGGCTGCAATTCTAGGAAAAATAATTTTATATATTATGTGTTGTATAAGTATAATATATTAAATTATATTAAACGGATGTTATACCTGCATGTACTGTTTCAGTCCAACTACCAGGTAACATGCAAAAACAATACTTACATAGAATAAGTAAACTACACTCCTTGCGCTGAGAAAGCACAACTCGTCTGCGCATACAAATGAAAGCGCTCCGCAGTGTAGAGGTCTAATTTCTCCCATCAAGTGGACTGTTAAATACCAAATGACCGAAAGATGGGCGGATTTCTCAGTGCACGGAGTATAGTTTAATTTTGATTTTAGAGTAAAAGTATTTAATATGCAATTTATAGAGAACAATATTTTGGAGAGAATGTCATAGAGTTTTTGTATTATTAAAAATATACAATTTGATATAAAAAATTCAGAAAACCTTTTTTATTCTTTCTAAATAACTAACTTTTTTATAGTTCATAATTTAAAAAACATTTATGACATTCCCTCCAAAATATTGTTCTCTATAAATTTACTCATAGGTACTTTTACTCTATAATCAAAATTAAGCTAGTTTTACTTATTCTGCATAAGCATTGTTTTTGCATGTTACCCAGTAATAGGACTGAGACAGTAGATGCAGGTATAACGCCTCTTAATGGTATTTGTCATTTGATGCAGTATTTACTTGAACTTGGACATCTTCCTCTTGGCACATATTTTTTGTATTGTCGTTTTGATAATGTTGTTGTCTAAATCTGGCCATTCTTGAATGATAAATCTGAGCAATTTGTCTTTGCCTCTGGCTAATCTTACTAGATACATCTTTTGCCACACTAATGAATGGTAAAGAGCCTCTATCCGTGTAATGTAATTATTATCAATAACTGGCCAAACATTTTCACCCTAGAGCACCAATATATGATATTGAATATTTGTGTATAATTAAATATTTCAAAAAATACTACTTTTTCCAATATTTTTCTACTTAAATCCTGATTGCAACATTTTAAATCAGAAACTTCCTTTTGTAGTTCATCCTAAAAATATAAAAATAATTTAAAATATAGTGAATTAATAACTTAATATTTGTGTTTACCCTTGTTTTGCAAAGATTGATATTTTCCTGGATGACACTTTTAAAATTTTGTTTTACTAACAATGATTTTATTTCTTCTAGTTGAACTCTACATTTATTGTACTTTTCACGAGTCTCTGTTAGTTTTTTAATTAATGATAGGTTTTCCGTCTCCAAATTTACCTTAAATATTTACAAAATACCAAATATATTATTACAATATTAAAATTTATTTACATTTATTTATCCATTACAATTAATTTTGAATTTCTGAGCTCAAAATCTGTCGTTATAGGGATGTCTTGAAGATCATTTTTCAATCTATTTTTATAGTGATCACTTAATGTAAGCTTGTTCTGCAACTCTGTTATTTTGTTTTGTAAATGACAACACTCAGCATCCAGAGTTTCAAACTAAAGACATTTTTATATATATTGTCGAAAAAAAACTAAAATTAAATTGTACTTTATACTTTGTTTTTTATCTCACGATTCTCATATAATAAATCAGTATATTTTTTTTGCCATTCAGTTACATTTTTCTCAGCAACTTCTAGTTTCAAATTAACATTGCTCTAAAACATATAATTTTTATCAAAATGTATTAATTTATAATTTGATACAATATCATTACGCAAGTTCTATTACGCATAGGTATTAGATAATAGTTATTGTGGTACAGTTAAGAGGATGACACACATACTAATTCAAACAAAGGAAATCATGAAAAACACATTTTCTTACTCAAGAGAACGTGATACCCCCATGTACTATCTCTGTCTTACAAACGTACACAACACAGCAAATTTGCACTTGACAGAAATAATTTCGTGCAGTTAGTTTTAATATTGGGAGAATTAACCTATTATTAAAGATAAGAATATTATCTGTACAACATTAGCAATATTTTAATTTTCAAGCAAGATATACTCTAAGTATTATTAAATTGTGATATTTCACATACATATTTATTTGACTTACCATAAAGACCAAATATCCAGAGTAATTTAAAGACCAAGAATAATTCTTCTTAAACTGTTAGTTTTCAAACAATACTTACATTTTTTTCAGTCAATTGTGCACTATCAGTTATTTGTTGAGTTTTAATAACATAGTTCTTCATAACTTCATAATCATTAACTAATTCATTGTACTTCTGTTCACAATCCTTAAGTTCTTTTTGTAAATCTAATAACTGTAAGTTACAATAAATTACATTAATTAATTTTACTGTAAATAAGTTTGAATCTTGCTATTTAATTACCTTAAGTTCAAATAATTGTTTGTCCTTATTAGCTTTAACTTGTTGATCCTTAATAATCATTTCAGCATTATTCAGCTGAAGTTTGAATGCCTCAATCATATGATTTTTATTTTCCAATTGTCCCTACAAATTATTAACCAGCAATTGAACTTTTAATATAAGTTTAAATTATATAAAATTAAATACCAATAAGGCTGTTAGTTTTCCTGTGCAAGTTTCAAACTCAACAATTTGATTACAAGCATCAATTAATTTTTTATCAGTTTCTTCTTTGATATCCAGAATTCTAGTTAACTCATTATCTAACATTTCATTTGTATTTAATACTTTAGCTAAATCATTTTCTAGTTTCTAAAGAAAACAACAATTTGTAATTAATTATTTTGTTGGTAATAATATACAATATTACCGACCTCAACTAAATAATTATTTGCTTGATTTGATTCTTGGATTTTAAAAATTTCAATTTTGTTTTCCAGTTCTCTAATATGATTTTCTAACTTTGTCAATTTTAATTCTAATTCTGTATTACGATCGGATTCAACTTGAATTTTATGCCTATAAAAAAAAATATTTAATTAATTATCATTTTAATATATACAATCATTTTCCTACATGTAATCGGCCATTTTTTCTTCTTGGAATTTTTTTATGGTATTCAAATATTCTATTTCAGCATCTTTATCTTCAATATATCTTTGATGTTCTGAATTTTTTTTACGTTCATTTTCAAGATCAATTTCTAGAACTTCTATAGAATTGTTGGCCTAAATTTATTCGTACAAAAAAAAAAAGTACATACAGAATATTATTCTCAAACAAACTTCATAGTGTTTTATAAGGTTTTAATTGTTCCTATTAATCCACCAATATTAGAATATTAAAAATTTTGTTACATTTAAAAAGTAAAAAAATAATGCCTTATTCTTTGTTTAGATTATGTATCATTCTAAAAAGATACCAAATTTACAGTTTTAATTTATATTTGAATACTCAGTATTGAATAATAGTTACTTAATGAAATATATTTTGATACATTATTGAGAAAAAAATAGAGAAATATCTAATATTCCTTGATTTTAACTAGAAACCATATTTGTATGCAATTACATGTTTTAACTGAAACTAAGCAGCTCTAATAGGTTGAACTTTCTACATGGTTCATTTTGCAATGAATTGATATTGCAACAATTTTTTTCACATAAAAGTTATATTTCACCAGTAAAAAATATTACAGACAATATATAATATATAAATATATTTTACAATTTTAGGGGAATTTCTCAAAACATGTATTGATTTAAAAAAACTTTACAAAGCGTATGTTTTTTCCCACTGCTTTTGAAAATGGAAAACAAAATTAAAGAAGTTATGTCTATTTAAAGTTTGCATCTTTACGGTTTTGTAAAACTGACATGAACTCTCCAAGAGATAGAAAGAAGGTAGCCGAAGGTCAAGTCTTGTGTAGCAATGTACAGGTTTACATTTAAAACACTATCCTATTTATAGTATCAGGTTAGAAATTTAGATTATATAGGTAAATGAGCTGTTCCCGCACATGCACAATTTGTTGTTCCATCTATTATGTATAGTAATATACAGTTTTCAAATCACTATAACTTCTAAAAATAATAGTTTCTGAAAGATTTTAATTGTGTTTTTTCTAAAATTTTTTTTTTTTTAGAAGATTTTTAAAGTTTTTTAACCAAAACTGCTCCAATAATGAACTCCAGAAAAATAAAGTTTTCTGGTTAAGTAGATATGTTCGAAATTTATTTTAAACACACCCGGTTAAAACATAAGTTGCTAACTCCAGGTTCATAGGTAAAATTAACTGAATTAACAAAAAAAAATTTAATTAGTTTTAATTATGGAGTTATACTTAAACTTTAAATTAGCCAAGTGTACAATTTAAATTAAGTGAACTACATGTTCACTTTTTGTGTACGCCTTAATCTAAATTTTTGGTTAAACTTAAGTTTAAGATAAACCACCATTGTAATATGGCCATAAATTTATCTATATATTTAGATGTCATGGGTATTCATAATATAGATTGAATAAATATAGGGCTTGAGCCCAGTAGATTTTATGTCTAATATAAATGACTAAAATATCTCAAATATTATAATTAGGGCTTAAGATGACTCAAGGAGGGCTAATACCTTTTAAGAACCCCTTTATTTATGTCCATAATAGGTGTTTTATACAAGAAAACAAGAAAAATAGAGATGAAAATGGTTTACTCCATGATGTATTAATATTCTATGAGGATGTAATTTTTAACTTTATTTTCTTTAAATGTTTTATATTTTTTTAATTTATACTTTAAGAGCTGTATATTTACTAGTTATACACAGGGAATAAAATATATATAGGTGTTTCTAACCAATCTAATATCTAATTGTAACACTCTGTAACTTAATAAACACATGTTCTTTAAAACAATGTATCAAAATAGAATTTGTAAGTTAAATTCATATTTTTAATTAATATAGATGAAATTTAAATAACTTAAACAATTGAATTCTGATTAATTTATCTGTTATTAAAAAGAAATGCTGTAAAATTTTAATCCCTAGATATTTAAAATGTAATTATAACAAAACTTGGTTAATATGAATCCGTTTATGATTTAATAAGTTATGTGTGATCACAATTTATATTAAGTTATACTATTTAAAAACTCGTATTAACCAAATTTTGATACTCTTATAACACTGTTTTAAATTTTTACATTTTTGTGGTAATTAATAAATTAATGTTTAATATTTTGTACTTAAAGTCTTACTAAGTTTGAGGTAGTATTTTCTGAACCAAAATCTGAAAGTGTGCATGTTACTTCAACTGAAATCAAATTTAATTAAATCATTTATGTAACCAATTATTATATTAATATTAAAATTTATTATTAAGTTACATTTTGTGTTTTCTTGTATATCAGAAATCAATTTTTGTTGTTCTGAAGATGTGTGTTTAGTCAGTTCTTCGAAGGTTTTTAAAAGTTCCATGTTAACTTGATGTTTTTTATTCTGTTCTTCAGCTAATAACTTTTGATATCCAATAAGCTCATCAGTATGTAGCTCTTCATTTTTTTCCAATTCTTTTTTTAGACAATCTTTATCCAAATTAAGATTTTCAATATCATTCATCAGAGTTAAATTTTTACTTTTAAGCAGATCATACTCATTCCTTAACTCTTCCAGTTTTTCAGCCACTTCCAGTTTGAACTTTTCAGTATTTAATAGTTCATTTTTTAATATCCAATTATCCTGCTGTAAAGATTTAATTTCATTCAAATTTGTCTGGTTCGTTTTTAAACGATCACACTCGTTTTTAAGTTCTTCATTGATATTTTCTAAACATTCTATTCTCTCTGATTGTATTTTATTACAATCTTTAAATGCAGAAATCTTTTTTTCTAAATTATCTTTCATATATTCTAATGGCTGAATTTCAGCTTTCAATTTAACTCCTAAGGTTTCAAGTTCAGTCAACGTTTCTTGTTTTTTTTCAAGCTGTATTACAACATTATTGAATTTGTTAATTAATTCAGTTTCATTTTTTACTAGTATTTGATTGTGATTTTCTAGAGCAAAATTTTCTGAATTTAATATTTTTATAGTTTCTTTGAGCTCCATAAGTTGTTGATCTAGGCGTTCAGCATTCTTTTCCATAACTTTGATTAAAGAATTTTTTTCTTCTAACTCTAATTTTGTATTAGCTAATGCTGACTTCAACTCATCCTAATTAAATAATATTATTTTTAATACAGGAAATATTTTAAATAAATATATAAATGCCATTCTTACACTGATTGAATTTTGCATGTTTGTATTATCTTCTGTTAATGGAGAATGAAGACTTAAGTTCAACATTGATGGCACATGAACAGAAGCTTCTTGATGATTGTAAGACATTTGTAATGAAGCTAAAGGGTTGGATTCATTAGAAATTGCACGTCGCATTTGTTCATTTTCACTTATTTGTGTGTCTGTCATTATACTTTTGGAAACGCTATGATTTTGTTTACCTCCAGCATTTTGACTCTGAAAACCAAATGGTAAACTTAATTAACAATTTTACTAACCTAGTATGTCTACATACCAATTCTTTATTTTGTAAATTGCTAAATTGAGTAGTTAATAATTCGATTTGAGATATTTTAGTTTTTAATTCAATCTTTATAAACAAAAAATTACAAATTAATTGTTGTAAAATAAAAAGCATAGAAAAAAATATATATATTTATGTAGATATACTTCTAAATTCATATTTTGTTCAACAAGATCTATAACTTTAGATTCAAGATTATTAATTGTATTTAAATCAGTGTTTTCTTTTTCAGCTAGCTCCGATTCATAAAAAGATATCATATTCTTTAGATATTTCGTTGAATCTTTCAATTTTTTTATCTAAAAATAATATTCCATCATATTATAGTAACTAGAAAATATAAAAAAATCTGGTGAAAATACTGACCTCATGATTTTGTTCTTCTACAAGACAAGAGCATTTATTAAATTCTGCTGTAATTTTTTGAAGTTTTCCTTGCAATTGAGAGGTAGCAGAATTGACATTATCATTTTTTAACACTCTTAATTCATCGATTTTCATTTTGGCAGTAGTTAATTGATCACTTTTTTCAGTCAGTCTTGTTCTCAACATGTTAACTTCAGATTCTAAGCTCTATAATATACAAACATATTATTATATTTGTATAATCCAAACATCATTAGATCATTCACTTTAATTTGCTTATTAAGTTCACTAGTTATAATTTGTTGATCTGATTCATGTTTAAAAATAGCATCTTCAGATTTGAAAAGTCTATTTAAACGTTCTTGTAGTCTAATAAACACATCATCTAATGTTGCAATTATGCGAGTAGGAGAACTATTTTTCTGAATACTTATATTATTAGGTAGTTCACACCGTTCTCTAAAAAAAAAATGATAAATGCTATTAACTAAGTAATAACTAAGTTAACTAATAAAAATCTTTCAAATTTCTTGCAACAGTCAAATTGTCCATAAATTATTAATTTTTTCAGTAAATGAACCATTTAAAAATATTTTATAATCATATTATTTTAAAATGATACATTATATTTATTTTTTGGGTTAATCAGCTATCTATTTTTAATTTTCAAATAACAACTTAAATTAAAAATTCCATGTATGAACAGAATATTAATTTAAATGCATTTTTTTTATTGAAATTCTTGATGTCTGTCAACCTGTTGACAAGAGATCTATTTTTTAACATTTTTAATATAGATTGCCATTTGAAAATCAAAAATAAGGACAATGTAATATTTTAAAATATAAAAGTTATTTTTTGGAAAATTTGACTGTAATAAAAATTTGGAAGACCCTTTACATAGATCACAATCAATTGGATACAAGACTAATGGATACAAGACATACGCAACAGAAATGTCTTCAGACATTGGTGAACCACACTCTTCAGAAACCCAAAAAGTATCAAGATCTTTAATTCGCTTAGAAATGACTTTTTCAAAATCTTTTAACTAAAAATAAATTTAAAAATGTTTGTTCAATCATATAAAAAAATTAATCAAATTAATTTTTTACCTGTAATCTGATTTTATTAATAACAATTTCAATATCAACAAATTCAGGACTATCACTTTGATTTTGTTCTTCTAACAGATTTTGTAACCGATTTAACTATAATCACAAGTACACATGTTATTACTTAAAATCACTCAAATAATAAATTATAACTTACTTCTGTAATCATGTCCTGCTGGGTATTTTGCTCTTCCTCTAACATATTGGTCAATCGATTAATTGAATCATTTTGAGCAATTTCATTTTTAATGAAATGTTCTATTCGATTTTCCATGTTAAGAATAATATTTTTTAACGACTGGACTTCAAGTTTAGATCCACTTAATAGTTCTTCAGTTTTAAACAGTCTTTTCTCTAACATTGAATACCGTTCTTTAGCCTCAGTCATCATTTGTTCAGTCTTAAAAATAAAATCTTATAAAAATAATAATAAATACAAAAATAAGAAAAATTAAAACATATAAAAATACATGAGATCTAAGATCATCAGTATCCATTGATTCTCTTTTTTTCCCTCTCAACTGGCATTTTAGTGTCTCTAATTTATTATCAAATTCAACTCTTTCGATTTCACGATCAGTTGTTTGGTCTTCTATAAATTTTTGAGATGACTTAAGTCTTGAATCTGCTACAATTAACTTGAAAAATATGAATAACATTAATGAATTTACATTTTTAAATTAATAATTTAGGTCAACTAACTTGTTGAGCAAGATCGTCTTTTTCATTTCTTATGTTGTCAATAATTTTATTACATTCAGCTAAATACTCATCAAATACATTTTGCAAATTAGGCCATTCATTGTGATTTTTCATTAATTCTTGAGCTACAAATTGTACAATTTATTGTTATTCATTTTTAATTTTAGCTGTTCCTGTGCACTGTTTTAAGTTTGTAATGAAATTCATAAAGTAATAAAATTTCATATTGTATAGAATGTAATTTTTTTATTGAAAATTTGTTTAGAAAAAACATTTTTAGTAATTAAACAATATAATAATTTTAACATATCGGTAGTATAAAATTCAATTTTTCAATACCTAATAAAGTAATAACTATACATGTATATTATAATAAAAAAAAAGTATCATATAAGGCTTACAAATAAAAAATTAAATTAAAAAGCAATTAAAATATCAATCTTTAAAACTTGGGTAACTATTCATTTACATTTATTTTATAGTAAGAAAAATAATATTTAAGTATAACTTATACACAATATAAACTTAACATTGCACGTAAAGGTGTTAAGAGGAAATGTACTGTTTCAGTCTAATTAACAAATTTTAGAAAATAGACTAATTTAATACATTACTTACAATGAAAATTTTACCATTTAGGTTGAAATTAAAGTCAAAACACAAATAACAAAATTTAAAAAGGATACATATGTTTTGTTATTTGTTACTTAAATTTCAACCTAAACCCCACAGACAAGAGATGAGTGTAGAATCCCCTATAAAGTTATTATTTATATTTTAAAATCAAAGCCAAGGGAGAGACTATTGTTACCAATGATGTTTTATATATTTTTTTTTTTTTTTGTGTCTGTGAATAACTTTTCTACCAAAAATCTTGCTCTGATGTATCAAGTGTTGCCAATTTTATAAAAAGAAATTTGATCAGTTAGTGTATGGCGTAATTTTTTAATTTTCCAAAGGGTTTTTAAAATAATCTGGCAAAAAATTATAGGTAAAGTGACAAATATTTACGGTGCAACATGGCATTACCGAAATCATTGTTTTTAATTTTTGCTATCTATGTTTTTTATCAGATATATTATTACAATAGAAAAACAAGAGAATTTTTTTGTTGAACTTTTAATCTAGTTAATGATTAAGAAAAACTTAAAAATAACTAGAAAATAAGCCAAATATTTGTATTATTTTAAATTTTGTTTTTTTGTTGTAATTCAATTAAAAATATTCATATAGTATGAAATTTATATATATTTAAATTTTCTAAAATTTAAAAAATTTTGAACTATTTATAGACATTAAAATTTTGTGAACTTTTTTTTTTTATTTAGTAGGTACTCTGTGGATACGATTATTTTACAAAACAAAAATATTTGAAAATTCAACACGAGGTTCATTATAAGTTAGTGTACTCAGTGGTAAAAAAAAGTGTTATGTAGTATTATTTTTTTTATAAGAGTTAATATCAAATTTTGGCAAAAATCATAAATATAATAGCTTTTCAAAACATGTAAAACCATGCTCACTCAGAATTTTTTTTTCAAAAAATGTTTTCTCCACAAATAAATGATAAGGCTATAAATGATAAAAGTGATAGTTTTAGTGAAAAATGAATTACAGCCCTATTACTATATACTATTGGTATGTTTGTAAAATGAAATGTGTGAATGCATCTTTCAAACATAGTATTAAACCCAAATAAATATCCCTAAAGATCATTATATCACCAAAATCATTCACATAATTAACCAAATTATCTTGCAAACTACTTTAGTATAAATTTAATAAACAACTCAAAAGATAAGCTGAAAATGGACAGATTCATTTTGATTACATTGGTGAATAAATATATTGTACCTTTCTGTTGCAGTAGTATTAAATTATCATTTTCAAGATCATTACATGGTTTTTTATAATTATTAGAAAAAAATTCTTTTTCAATATACTCTTTCATAGATTCATTTTCTTGTTCAAGTACAGAATTTTCCATAAATAACTTCTTATATTCTGACTCTTGTTTTTTAAGTTCCTATACAAAACATTAACATAATATTATTTTCTTTTTGATAAAAATGTACAAAATTGGAATGTTTAAAGGAGCACCCTTTTTTGGTAACTATTTTTTTTTCAAAATGTGTTTTTTAAGACACTAAATTCGAAAATGCTTGTCAAAATCTGTCCACTTTTAGATGCTGAGTAGAGTGAGGTATATATTAGTTAGGAATTTTTCTTTTTTTTTTACATGTTAAGAACTTTTTACCAGAAATCTTGCTCTGATTTTCAGGTATAGCAATTTTTCTGAAAAGAAATTTTCCTGAAGTGGTACTTTTGTACTCAATGATTAATCAATGCATACAGATATAAATTAAATTTTTCTTCTACCTTCTCAAATTCTCACCCAAAACTATAGCCCACCCATTTTTATTTTGGAAGTTATGCCAAAATAAATCAAAAACCTATTTTGATTTTTTTTTAAAAGACAGAGTTTTTAATGCTAAAAATGATTTTTTGAAAACAATTATTTGCTATTTTAAATTGTATGTTTATTATAAAAACTAATCGATTTTAAGTGGATCTCGAAAACCCAGCAAAAATATTAAACATAATATGACAACTAGAAGTGTAAACAATTGATTATCTTTTTTTACGACATTCTTCGAGTGTGACTTAGACAGCAAAATATCATAATCTTAGTGTGTGATCTACAATATTTAATCTTTTTATCTTTAATCTCCATAATTGTTACCAAGGCACTTGATTGAAATATGGTACAGATCTATAATTTATAAGAATTAAGATTTATTTTTAAAAAATATAAAAATGATCATTCATTTTTGTTTTTTATTTTTACAGTGACGCAAAATTTAGAAATTTAAATGTACCCACTTATTATTTGTTATTGTTATGTATTTATTATGTATAGGTTACCATTAATTTTTAGATCACACACTATAAGATTTATTCCGATTCCATACTTCACGTTTCTCATATGCCACATTAACCATTTCGCCATGGTATAATGTTAACAATTACGAATGTATGCTATTTAATCTAAACTACAAAATTGACAAACTTCAAATGGTTATTAACTTTGAAACTGTGGCAATTGTCTGCGGGAATTTCCGTTGTATTATATTTTCAACGTTAAAAAGCAAGTAAAACAAAAATAAATACAATATTTTGAGTTCCTCCTCAAACTATAAATATACCAAAAATTACTTACTTTTTTATAATGTTCTAGTTTTGTATCAAAAAATGTTTTATGACATATGTCTTCTGAATTTGGATAAAGCAATTTGTGTTCGTTATTTATTGCGTCTAAACAAATAAAGGTACACAAGATTTAAAAAAAAATAAAATAGTAGAATTACATGTATGACATACCAGATAATTCAGCAACTTTTTCATTTAACTTCTTTAAACATAAATTAAACTCTAAATGATTAATCTCCTCATTAGTTTTGGTATTAGTGAAATCAGCTAATACCGAATTTTCATCAATAAGTGAAACAATATCTTCAATATTTGGAACAAAATGTACTTTCCTTAGACTTTTATCTTCATTTACATTATTTTCCCGTTTATCTACCAATTCAATAGCACAATTATCACCACCCCCATTGCTACTGGAAATTCTACTACATTCTATCTTGTTCATACGCTCTACAATTGAGTTGTTCAACTCTTCTTGCTTGGTAATTAGAAAAGAGCATAAGTATTTAGTTAATTGACGAAGAGTCAATGCTACTGAACGTAAGTTATCCCTAAAATATATTTTTGTTTTAATTCATTATTTTTTACAATAAAAGTAAAAAAGTCAGTAAAATCTAGGTTTTTACCAATTACTGTCAATAAATGTCCAAATTTAGAATTTTTACCAACCGATTTTAGTAAAACCTAAAATATACAAAATAGTTTGATCAAACCCAAAATAATTATTGTAGTTCAAACTTTTTAAAAAAAATCTAAAAGTCAATCATTTTTATTAAAAAAAATGTCACATGCATCCAATTATCTTGCATCAAAAGAAACACAATACCAACTATAATAATCATTCAATTGGTGAAAGTAAAAATGTGCACATTTACCAACAGTACTTCATATAAAACTGAATTTATAAGTATTAATATTTTGAAAGTAATATAGTAAAATAAAGTTAAAAAAAAACTAAAAATAATTGTTAATACTAACCTCTCCTGAGCAATGTCTTCTAAATCCTTGATTTGCATTTCAATACTATCTTGAGATAAAACCTAAAAATAGAAATAATATGAATTGAATTATACATTTACATCTGACAATTTATTATTAGATACTAAATATCAAAATCTATGTTAAAACATACATAATCTGAAGTTTCAATGTCTGTATCATGTCCATTTGAGTTACTGCGGAACAACTTTTGATCTAAAGAATCTATTGATGATAATCGATCAACATCAACAAAAGAATAACTTTTCAATGCCTACAAATAATTATTAATAAATTAATTATCAATTATTTTTTCTAATATTATAACAAATATACCTTTCGTAATTTATAATTTTCATTTAACAAATTTGAAACCATCTTCTTATGTTGTGCTTGAGTTTTTGTTATATCATCTTCAATGCGTTTTGTTAATGTATCTAAGTCACAATCTTTTAAATCATTTAGGTGTCCCTTAAAATGTTCTTTTAATTTACAAATTTCATGTTTATGATTATTTTCAATTTTTTCTAATTCAATTTCATATAAAGATTTCAAATTCTGCTTAACATTAGAGATTTCTGATGAATTTTCAGCACACAAATTTTTAATCTCATCTCTATGCCGTTGTTCAATTTCATTTAGTTCAACTTGGTGTTTTTGACATACTCGTGCTAATTCTTTTTTATAAGCATCATGTACAGATTTCAATTCAGTCATACTCATTTTTACATATGTCTAAAAAGAATAATTACTCATTAATTACAATTATTATTAATATTAATATTCATAAAATGAATGGTTAAATTGATTTACTGTTTACGTAAAAATACACATCACCATGGCAACACACAAAAATTACTTGAATATTAAATTCATATCTATATTCATATATATATTAAATAATTATTAGGTACACTATATAATTAAATTTAAATTAATCTTGATATAATGAAATTTAATATTGTGATCAGAATAAAATAATTTGTATAAAATATAAAACAGTGTACATTTTAATCATAAAAAAAAAACAAATGACCACACAATAAAATTGGGTAAAAATAATGAGACTTTAATTTTGTAAAAACAATATAACAATGAATAAAAGAACGGTGTAAATACTTAATATTGAAATAATAAATATTAATATGATCTTTGAACCCAAATATTTTTATAGTTTTTGTTTACGATTTAGTTTGGTTATTATTTAAAATTAAATAACATGCATGTTTTATCTCTTATAGCCGTTGCTAAAGCAACAACAATAGTGTAACCATTGTTTTATTATTTTCCTTATCTATGAGTGTAACTGTCAACCACTGACTGATTAACAAGCATTTAGCGACAGGGAATCCAAATAGTTGAAAGATGGCGTTATCATTATCAGTTATTACCGATTTTATTATCAGTTTTTTAATTTTTATCATCACGTACTAACATCATTAGATATACAGAACTGGACACGATTTAATTATTATGGTTAAGAAATGTTATTTGCGATTGAAAGGAACTATAGGTAGCGCTCTAGTCGACACTAATGATAAGGCTAACAGGGAGATGGGCGCTATAATAGTTTTATAATATTAGTAATTTAGCCAAAATAATTAATTTATTGTTTTTTTTTTTTAAATTTCCCTATTAAAACTTATTTTGTTTACTAATTGTAGTAATAAAAGTGCATAATGTTTAATTCTATAATAGAATTACCGACATTATTCAATATACTGATGATTTATAAAGACCTTTTATCGAAGGTTCAGAAATTATTAAATGCAACCATATTATTGAAATAGTTTTAATAAGAAAAAGAGTATCCTAAGAAAATAGAGACGGATTCAGCCATTTTTATGGGTAATTTAATGTATAACCTGTAAGCAACGTAAACCATTGCTAACAAAAACAAGATTCTGAGCGAGGTTTAAATGATAATGCTTTGTTAACAATATATATATATCATATTATAGTAAAAAAATTCAATAGGCTTTATATGTTTTCTTTGATAATATTTGTTTAATGTTGTACCAATTATCCCGTTTTCTTTACGTTTTTCCGGGTTTTCCAATGTTTTTTCACATTTTTTGAGAAAACTCCTAAGAAAATCGAAAAATAACCTCTCTAAAGTACCTCCCCAGTCAAATTTCTTTTTAGAAAAAGTGTTATGATTTCAAATTAGAGCAAAATTTGCTTGTGGAAAAGTTGTGCACGGAAAAAAAAATCGTAATATTTTAGTTATATATTTCATACATTTTCCCGTTTTTTTTCGGTTTGTCACATTTGATGAGGTAACTCTTGAGATAATCGAAAAATTACCTCCTTAAAGAACCTCTCCATACCGATTTTCTTTCATTAAAGGTGCTGCACTTAAAAATCAGAGCAATATTTTTGGTATAAAAGTTGCGCAAAGATAAAAAAAAAAAATAATAATTATAAAAAATAAACATCTTTGTAAAACCAAACTCTTCACTACTAAAAATCTAAAATGTTATATTTATTAAGATTTTAAGACTATATTTGCAAACCAATAACCTTCACGGTAAACAAAGTAGAACCTATTTATACCTATTGTGTATAATATATTATGTAAGTTCAATACAAGTTTGTATTTAATTTATGCATTTTTATTATCCATTTAGCTATAATAATTTTTATTATTGTTGTTCATAATATCAACAATTAAAGCTATATTTATAATTATTACAACGAAACAAGATTATTATACAGAAATTCAGAAGTCAGTACTCAGTAGTTAATGTTACAATATAATGTAATGAAATTTACATCTTCCCCGTTAGAGCATTTCTCATAAATTTCACCAGGTAGCGACTCTTTCGTTTTCAATCTCGAATAGGTTAGGCAGAATACGAGGGAATTTGCCTTTTTATCGGTAGTTTTGCCATCTATTTGTGACAAATATATATTAGTATTAAAAGGTAGTCATACCTATCATTAGTTAAAATATCTCACAGTATATACAATTATTTATTACCTACACTGTATTAATTGATACTTGTTAGATTAGATACTATACTAGTTAGATTAGGTATCCTTTTGAAATTATTGTACACAAATCGAGAGTTATTTTCGATTAAAACACTCCGAGCGAGTGAGTGACCCCACTAAGTCTCTTGATGCACCCAAAATGCTTTTTTCACTTTTCTCTTTAAATCTACCCGACGTGGTTTTGCACAACAAATCGATGGTTGTCTAAGTGAATGCAGCGAAACACGGCGCGTTTGAATGTTTGTAACTCTAAAACTAAGCCAGATAGACTTATTATGACTTCAATAAAAAAACACCAAATTGTAGAATCGACCTAATAACTGCACATTATAGGACTTTTTTTTAGGGGAGTTAACAATTTAAATTGGTTGCAAGTTCGTTAAAAAAAATCCGAGCGTTTTCAGAGCCTTACAGCTAGATGGTGCAATTATTATAAAATATGCAATTTATTACAAACCCTACTCCTTCAGTCTAAACTGGTTTTAGTTGATTATTATACCAATTTTGTCTTAAAGCACTAGTTTTCATGCCAAACTATAGAGTATTACTCTATGTGCTAAACAGTGATAACCGGGCGGACTCAGGAAAACATTGATAAGACCTTTTCGTTCGGAAATTATTTTTTTTGGTAACTTATGTTAAAAAAAATTACATTATACATATATAATTTAGTAATAATCTTAGTCGTTCTATGTATAGGCTACATAATAAAATCATTAATCAAATTCATCTAATTCAACATAATATTTGTATATAATATCTATTGTTTATAATTATAATTTATTTGGATTACTTACTATATTAAAGTATAGCATACTAATATTATTATACAATTACTAGTGGAATACTATTTTAATATTTCTGAAGAAATTATTTTATTCATTATTGGTGTTTCTGAACTAGGGGTCTATGGACTCTAGTTGTGTTTAGGGTTCCAACACTTGCAATGGACTCTTTTTTATTAGAATTTGTCAAATCCACTGATATATGTATACATATCAACTTAATATATAATAAACTAGAATTGTCTTGACTTTTTTAACCTAGATACCTTTTTTTTTCCTTGAACAACCAACAGCAGAGAAGAATCGTTTGCACATGACTACCCTACTGCTGCCATCGGTTTTTGTAATCAATATAACAAATAAATACATTAATTATAATACAACTATGGTGTGAATATGCAAGCAACATCTACTCACAATAATGTTTAGAACTAAGGTCTGGTTAAGTTTTACCCACTGATTCCTATCTTCCCAGCCAGGCGAATTGACCAGCCATCATGGAGTCTCCACTTACTCCTCTTCTTGGCTCTTGGAGACTATTATCTACACTAGCAATAATAAATCACTATCACCATTTTTGGGTTTAACGTGCTAATACTATATTTTATGTTTTTTATGACTACTAGCCAGAACTATTTAAATATAAAATAAAAATACTAAAAAAATGCATTATTCAGAATACGTATTTGAATATATTTTTTTAATGTATTGAAAATACAAAAAAAGGATAAAAATACTTTTATTCGAATACTTTAAGATACTTTTATTAGCTATTGATATGCTATTTGTTTTGCAGTTCTACAAAAAAGAATTGGTGTCATATATAAAATTATGAAATTGAATTATTTACAAACTGTGAAATTCGCCAGCTTAAACCAATTTAAAACGTTTTGTTGTTCAGAACCACTAATTTTAGTTCGTTTATAATTTCTAACGGTTCAGCCAAAAATTCGACTTCTACTAAAAGTCTACACAACACAAGTTTTGTTATTCAAGAATATTTCATGGGTTAAGTAATATTTACAATATTAAACATATTTGTATTAAATTAAATTTTGTTAGGTAGGTATATATTTTTTGAACAATAGTAATAGATTTTTGAAAGTTAAATAAGCAATAAATAAACTGAGAAATTACAATACAATTTCAGGAGCTGGGTAGGCAACATAGGTACTTATTTGAACATTAGCAATAGAATTTTAAGAAAGGGATAAAAAATTAATTTTTGTATAGGTATTTTTGTATGAGTTGTATAGGCAATTTATTAAAATAGAAGTACGATTACAGTTGAATAGACAACATTATTTGGGAACCACTGGACTTTCTTATCAAATATTGCTAGCGAAACGTACAACCAAATTTGTCAGTGTTCCTTGTTTAATGTTTCATTGTTTGCCGCTAAAATTGATAACACAACAGAATAGATACCATAGCTGATAAATTAAGATGAATAGGCAAGTTTATGGTGAGGGCAAATCGGGATTGGTGTGAGTTTGGACCACTTTTTCACGATAATCGTAAAAATCTTATCCGGTTAGCCTATAAATCTAAATAGGTTTAATTTGATTAATCACGAATTTATAGAATGTGTTAAATACACTAAACAAGTTTTTAACTACTATTAAACGCACTAAATTAAATACATAAATCATAAATGCGTCGGAGAGAATACAATTTAACGTAAAAAAACCTACATGTATTATACGTTATTGCTACGTGGGTCAATGCATTTTTTATGTTACAAAAAACGTTCTTGTTTTTATTTTACCGCCAATCGTTATATCGCGGATAGAACTGTTGTTAAGATTTGCCGGGGACTTTTGTATTGAACCGCCATAGAATCGTAACCTCAAAAATATTAATCTTTATTGTCAGTGTTATTTGTAACAAAAAACATTTTTCAGTATATTAGTAAATATGACTAAAAAAGATCATTGATGTCAAATAAATACGTGGGACAGCCAGGTGGATCGACTTTTTCCTAAAACAGTTTTCTTCCTCCAAGAATCCAAGATGACCTTTGCGCACGGAAATTCATTACGATCATTCCGATTGGTGATAATTTAAGAAGGTCGTCATGGATTTGCCAATCGGGTACCGCGTACCTACGGAAAGACGCTTTGGAATCCTGCAGTAGGGCCAACACACAAAATGGCACGCCGCACTGTTAATCAGCAGCAGCGGCGACGGGACTGCGACAGGCGGTAGCACCGATTCTAACCAACGTCCAACAGTGCTATGGCTTATAGAGTTATAGTTTATACGGCTCCGCACGAAAAGGGCACACTCACGCGTACCGACGAAGCACACACGACCGGCCAGTATATATATGTGTAATTTTTTTAATACCGTCTCCTGTGTTCACTCATCGCTCCCTCTCGCCATCTGCTTGCGCTTGTCTCCGTCTCACTGCCGGTCGCTCTCTCTCACTCACTCTCGTACCTGAGCTCGCGCGCGTTCTCGCATAGTCATTTTGTACGTATTCCTTGCGATGTCTCATCTCGTGTTGCGTTCACAAACCTCTGGTCGTAACGTAACGTTTGCCGATTTACACGCCGCTATCGCAGCCGACCGATTGTGAAAAACAATACCATGGAATGGTAGTGCGGAACGGCACTGTTACGGACCACCACCACCACCACCATCAACACGGCGACAACGACCATGGACAACAGTGCGACACAGGTACGTTTTCGTGTTATTCCATGGTATACGTGCACGTAGACCTGGAAATCTGTGGGCAGCGCCGATAGAGGCCCTCCTGCAGGCGTGTACGGCACGTCAGCGGAAACACACGTGGTTCGTTGACGGCGTCACACAGTTAATGATGGTTAATTTACCGAATTTTTACCCTGTAGGTGTTCACCACCAGTGCTAGGTACCTAGGTAGTGGTCTCAAAATTTGTAGTAGTGAAAATGGTCACTTTGGCTATAATAATTTAGTCTAAAGAATTTTCTAGAACATATGGACAGTCACCGGCGAGTTAAAGAGAACGTCGTGCTGTTCTCATATACCTATTGTTATTTTGTTATTTTTGTCGTTTTTTTTTTTTTTTGAGGTTATGTATGCAGTACAGTATTGTACTCGTATTCATAAACTGATAGAGGTGCTCTTGGATGGGTTACAAAAAAAAAAAAAAAGAGACTTACCAAATGGCGAATGCCTTCTCATCATCGTTAAAGAAGTTTCACGTTATTGGTGGAATTTCAATGTACTCATTGACTGTTGTGGACCCTATTGGTTATTTGGTTTCAGTAATATGCAAATGTTGAATGTATTACATTAACTTTTTTTCCAATTCAACTGTCTAAATGTTAATCATTAGGTTATCTACCTAAATATCTGTTAATATACTTGGGTTGTACCTCACAGTTGTAGTTTCAAACAGCATACGGCTTGTTGATTTCTAATTCAAATGTATTGTTTTTGTTACAAAGTTCAAGATTATTCAAAAATTCAATAACCTATTAACTATACAACTTGGCTTTTGGCCATCAAATGCATACCATTGGCTATTGTTAACAATCATAAATGTTAATTTTAACTTAACAAATATCCTATCTATCTTTTGCATGCCTAAATAATTTGTCGACAAATAAATTGCTTTGTATATTTGTCTTGTACATCATGTAACTGTCGCTTTCCGTACATATTGTATAAATAAAGTATCATTGATGAATAGTTTCGCCAATGTCATTTATGTATACAAATAATTAAATGGTTTAATCAAATTTTTTAATCAACTATATAAGTATTCTCTACATTTTAAGGTTTGAATTATGAAATTGAGAAATAAGCCCCTGAAAAAAAATGGGGGTGGGCAAAGCCCTGTTGTAAATTAATATACAGATGGACAAATAAAAACATATAATGAACTATGTAGGTTAGGTACATAAAAAATAAAACAAATATATGATGTAGGTATGTATGCAGATTTACACTTCTTATTTCTCTGATTTATTACTTTGGATTTCTAACAAAATGTTTTAATATTTCATAATGTTGCAACCTAAAAACCCATACTGAACATAATAATATTATGTTGTAGGTATAATTTTATTGGGAAATGGGAATTTATATATTTTCTTTTATAGAGAAAAAACTATTTGTAAAGACAAATAACTTAATTATAAATTGACTATTATTAAATTAAATTAAATAATATTCAGTGTTTGAGAAATTAAACCAATAGGTATGTTTTTAAATTATTCTACCATTTATACATTATTAACAAAAGTTTCAAATAAATTCATTGTCATATGGTAGATTTTTAAGAACACAGGAGATTTTAATGTTTTCAATTTTGTTTTGGTAACCTATAACATAGAATATTTTTAAATTATAAAATATAATCTAAATATTTAATAATTCTAATTTCAAACTTGAATAATAATAAAATAAAATTATTGACTAAAGAACAAATCTTATTAACTTAAACTTTTTATTTTTTTCAAAACTATTTGAATCACATATGGCAAATTAAACACTTCTTAGCATATATAAAAAAGTGCAACAATTTTTTAAGATTAGTAAATATCGAAACTTATTATTCGCTACAGTCAAATGTGAAAAAATGTTTGAAAAACAACTAGGTATTTAAGTGAACCTGTAATGGTGATAAATTTCAAATTTCCATAATTTTCTTAATGATTTCTGGAAAAAAAAAACCCACACTAACTCAGTTGAAATATATAAAATGCCTAATAAACTAAATTCATAGTCCTTTAAGTTGTAAATAAAATATATTTTAACATTAAATAATTCATCTATTAGTATAATATTTAACTTCAGAATATTTTAGCTCATACCTAGGTCGCTATTACAAATATTTTTTTTTTACAGTTATATTAAAATACTTATGACAATACCTAGTATGTATGATTTTGAAAGCTAAGTACGGTTGGTAATAATAATATTATAACTACAATTGTAATAACGGTATTAGTATTTAGTATTTATCTTAATCTATCGTCTATCTTCATCCATACTAAACAATGTTACTAAACATAGCCATTAAGTGATTGTGTGTTTGTAACTTTTGCTTATAATATGTAGAAAAAGCTTTATTGTTATTTTTTTTTCTTCTTTTGCTCTGTTTTCTTTCTAAAAAATTCCTGCAAAAGAAGTCCTAAATTGGAAACTACAAGGAAACTCTTTGGCAGGCCTAAACAACAATGGTATGATAAGGTCACAAAGGATCTAATATTGTCAGGAATGGAAAGGTATGGAGGTAGCACCGGATAGAGTTTGGACAGAAATATTTGAAAAATTAATTCTAGGTTAATTATAACTCGAATTAACCAAGTGACTTTTAAAAACCGAACTTTGAGTCATTTTTCAGTTATAAATTAAAAAATTATGTATCTTTCTTTCCCAACTTCCCACCTACAATAGTGGCACACCCTTCCCTAAGATCAGCTCTTTTTTTATTAATCTATTCATAATATCATAGGCATTAGAACAGACTAAAAAAAATTGAGTACCTTTATATTTATATGTGTATAATTATTTTTTAAATTACAAGATATGTAGATTTGGTAGCTATGTACAGACAACATAAAAAGAAGAAAGCATAATTACCTAGTTTTATAAAAAACATTAAATTAAATTAAATAAGACTTTTCTTTGGGGATTAAACTTATTTTATAACTACTGCTTTTGTTCTGCTTTAGTGACTTATTCAATTTTTGTTACTTTACAGCAGGTGTAGTTAATAATTAACCCAACATTTTGTTATTGTCAGAGACACAGTTAAAAGTGTTCAAAAATCGACAATAATAACAATTTGAAGTAAAACTATAAACTTAATGAAATGTTTAGAAGTGGGGGGTTTTTTTTTTACATATAAATAATAATTAAATCTGGAAAGTATTTATCTACGGTTAAATAATGAGTAAATTTGCTAATCCTAAAGTTGTAATATTTTTGTTTAGGATAATTTATTCTTCCACATTTGAGTCAGCATTTAGTAATTATAATTTTACTATAAGCGTTACAAACGTGGAAAATTAAGCTTAATAATTCTAAGTTATCGTTTTGGTACTTTAGAAAAGTAGAAGATTTTCTGACAGTTGACCTTCACTGAACTTATGTGTGTGGCCAGAATAAGGAAAATTACATTTATTTATTTGTCTAATTCTAATATGATTGATGTATTATAGTACTTATATACTAAACTTTGTTGGTGCTTATATTGATGTATCAATTAGAAATTCTTATTTTTCTTTACTTACTACTTATTGCAATTATAATTTTTATAGTTATTTATTTCAATTTAATAAGAAAAGGTTTTTCTTCAACCCATAGTATGTAGGTAGCTTTGAAAATTAGTTATTTGGTATCCCTTGTTTAAAGGGGTTTTATGTAATCATATCTCAACAAATGTAAGTAAATAAGTACAATTTCAAAATTAAATTAAGTATTTATTCAAGAAATAAAATCATTAATTTCTAACTTACAACATTGTTGCTAGGTATTGCTAGGTATCTTAACATTTTGATTATTTTTTGTGTATATTTATGTAACTGTGTAAATTTATAACTTTCCTAAGTATTTGTTATGTGGCTTCATTTGCTCAGTTTCAAGGATTTGTATTTCTATATTTTTCTTTAACAAAATAGTGTTAATTATTAATACATTAAGAAGTTCAATAGGTAGTGTAAGATTATAGCTTCGTAAAAAAATTTCTGAAAAGTAATTATGATCTTCACTGTAAACTGAGTATAATTTATTAATAGTTAATTATCCTTGAAATAAAATATGTAATACCTACAATACTATAATATTATTTACAAAGTTTTTAGAATCAATAACTTTGTATACATTTTATTTACACAAATATCGACAATTTATATGATATTATTGTAAATATTATTCAACTTGGATTAAATACCTGAAGTTGTAACTTTGTAAGGAAAACTAATGTTTTCTATTTTTAAAGTAAATTGACTCTGAACACAATAATCATAAATTATTAATTCAATTCAATTATTAGTTTATCCCCTATAAGGATTTGTAATCTAAATGTTATAGTGTGATACGTTAAACAACAATAATTTAGAAATAATTTAAAAATTTATATTTTTAATAATTTGGTCTTGGAATAATAGAACTTAAATTTGATTGTACCTATAGTTTTTAGTATAAGATTTGATATTTTTTTCATTTAAAAAATTTAACTTTTAATTCATTTTAGTATCAATAATGTAGCTTGATTTCATATGAATAAAAACCAAATTTAAATATCTGTTATTTGTTTGTTTAGGAGTTTGAGTTCCTTGATTTCACAGATATCAATGACATGGAACGAGGTCGATTGCTGCACATGCTGTATTCTGCCCGGAACGAGTCATGGGTATCTGGAGAAGAAGGATTCAAACATCCTGATTTTCCATGGACATTTCGTGGTACTCAAACTCAGACACTTCCCCCCCAAGATATAATGAATGAAGTAGGCAACATTACACATATTTCTGATTGGAATACAGCAGCTGATGAATATGGTATGTTGATTAAGATTTTTGTTTATTTTTTACAATTTTATTAATTGAAGATCAGTGCTTACAATTAAGTAATAATAGACTGTGGCTATTCAACAGTTAATGGTGATGCTGAGCCAGAAAATCCTGTAATGATAAATGGTGGAAATTTTGTACCTGGCCCTCCTCCGCCAGTTTATCAAATGGTGCCAAATCCTCCAGTTTATATGGGCAATGTACCTCCACCAGTGCATGGATATGTTCCGTCCCAAATGTCGCCATATCAGCAGCCAATGTACCCTGGACCTGAACCACCTATGGATCCAAATCATAGGCGACCAAATATTTCCAGAAATCCAAAAGGAATCCCTCCACCACCAAATGTGAAACGTAATAATGATATGGCCTACCGTCATCCAGACAATATCGAAATACCCAATTACCATACACCACCAACATACATTGCTGTCCCCCCTCCACATTATTATTATTCACCTCAAAATAGTCCATTATATTTACCACCTCATCATGGGCATCCGACATATCCAATGTACACTCATCCACATCCTACTATATACAATACATACCCACAACCTGGTCCACCTATGTACCATTCACCACCAGCTGGGCAAGTGCCTCAACAACCTTTATTAGTTGAATCTTGCAAACCCAATGTTAATCAAATTCCATCTGTACTTAATGTTTATCCTCAAGTACCAGAAAATGTTGTGAATGAAAATACACTGGATCAAGAAATAATGTCTATACCACAGGATACAGAATTGCAATTACAAGCACAAGAACATATTAAAGTGGACTTGGTAGATATTAAACCAGAAGAAACAAACAATGAAAGTATTGTGAGTATAAAAGAAGTGCCTACAATTATAGAAATTAATATGCCAGTTGAATTGGGTGAAAAATTAAAAGAACCTAGTTCTATTAAAACAAAAAAAAAGAAAGAACCTGTCATCGATGATACTTCAAATGTTATTCAAGAAAATCAAAATGCTGAGGAGGAAACTGAGAAGAATGCAATTAAGAAAGCAGAATCTATTCCTGTTCTAGAATTAAAAGAAGATTCTTCTTTTAATCAAGAACAAAAGTCTCAAATTTCTACCCCTTCTGTTATACCTGAAGTTCTTCAAGAAGTGGAACCCATAAAACCAGTTACTAAAACATGGGCAGGACTATTTTCTGGATGTTCCAGTACAAGCAATGATAAAGTTTTTACATTGCACGGTAGTAGTCAGCCAGCAACCAATACCATTGCAGAACCTGTAATTATGCCATCAAGAAGCACTACTGATAATCACATTCGATCAGCAATGTATGTACCTATTACCAATCAAAAAATGTCTTTGGCAACTAAACCTAGATTGTCAAGCATAAATGTATCATCTAATGTTGATGATAGCACATTGAATTTGCAACGATTAGGCGGTAAGTTTTAAATTTATCATCTAAATAACAATAAAAAATACATTTTATGAATGTTTCTGTTTTAGAATTTCTCTCTATTTATAATTTGGATCATAAAACTGCTCATCTCCAACCTAGAGGCCTTACCAATCGTAATACTCGCTGCTATATAAATGCTACATTACAAGCACTATTAACATGTCCTCCTTTTTTTAATCTCATGCGAAGTGTACAATTTAAACTAAAAACTAGAAACCCACGAGGAACACAAAAATCATCTACTCCAATTTTGGAAAGCATGTATGTTGTATAAATAATAATACATTTATAATATGATAAGATTATTATTTATCAATTATTAGGGTGCAGTTTATTGGTGAATTTCAACAACTGAGCATTAAAAATGGAAGAACTACCCAACAACAACGCCAAGCTACATCTGTAGCTACTCAAGACACTCCAGATGTTGGTCCAGCTTTTGAACCAAGTTATGTTTATAAAATATTGCCTGCATTTGAAGAGGGTCGCCAAGAAGATGCTGAAGAATTTATGAGCTATCTTCTTAATGGCATTAATGACGAGATGATTGAAGTAAGGCTAAAATGTTAATAAATACCAATTTATATATGTATTTGTTTTATAACATGATGTTATTTTCAGCTTATCAAAATGAGTAAATCCAATATTGGCAATGGTGAAACACAAGTAGAAGATGGCATTGATAATAATAATGAGTGGAAAGTAAGTATATTCCAACATAAACCAATTAATTTATATTTTTTCTAAATACATTTTTATCTTATTAATTTTTATAATCTTTAAATATATTAAGGAAGTCAATGGTAAACATAAAATGGTAACTAGAAGAACAGTTATGGAAAAAACTCCATTGTCTGAGATATTCCGTGGACAACTACGTACCCGCACAGTGAAAAATAGTGAAAATGAACCGACTGAAAATATTGAGCCATTTTTCACACTCAAACTAGATATTGAAGTATTTTTATTATTATTTTATTTATAGTCAAAAAAAGTTGAATTAGATTTATTTGTATTTATATATATTTCCATAGAAAGCAAAGTCTGTACGGGAAGCTTTAGATATGCTTGTCAATAAAGACACGCTTGAAGGGTTAACTTGTCCAAAAACAAACCGTGAACTGGATGCTTACCAACAAGTTACCATTGATGAACTACCATATGTATTATTATTACATCTGAAGTGTTTTGAATACAAGCAACAGAAACTTACTAAAATTGTGAAAAATGTTGAATTCTCTGTTGATCTTAAAATTGAACCTAGTAAGTATATCTTTATTAGTAATATACACATTCCATTTTTCTGATAATATCAAATCTGATATTCATTTCATTAGATTTGTTTTAGAAATTTGGGTACATTAAATTGACTCATAAAGAGTAGCATTTGGATTAAGTTCAAGGGCTTAGTTTTGTGTCATACAAATGAAAAATATTGAGTGAATCTAATAGAAAATAATTTTTACATATTTGTTTATGTAAAGTCAGTTTTAAGTATTATTTTTTACTTTAATGTAAGCATAACAAATGTGTTAAAATATTTTCCGACAGTAGAGACTTGTATTAAACAAAAATATGTGGTCAGAATAATCAAAATTATCCACTTCAAGTCAATTTTTAGTATTATAAATAATTTACTAAAAGTGTTACAAATGTGGTAAATTAAATCATTTTCTGACAGTAGACCTGTGTAAGATTAAGATTTCATATGGTCAGAATAGTGAAAATAACATTAAACCAACATTTGCTATTAAAATTGTATTCTTAAATAATTTTATTAAAATAATGGGAATCCACGTCTAGTCAGTTTTTAGTATTATGAATAATTTATTATAAGCGTTACTTCTTCTTGAGCTTTTCACAGACTTTTCAGGTCCACTTTTTGAATTATATGTACACACTTTTATCACTGGTTAATTTAACTGGTATTCCTAATTGGCCTATGACTTCTCATAATTTTTCTCTATTGATTGAGTCGTATACTGCTTTGAAATCTACATAAAGTAGGTGTATTTGGTCTATTATTGATTTACCTATCATAAAACCTCCTTGGTAAACTCCGACTACTTCTTTAATGTATGGGTTGAGTCTGGTCAGTAGTATATTAGACTATAGTTTACACATTGTATTGAGTAGCGAGATCCCTCTATAATTTTCACATCATTGGGTCTTCTTTTTATGCACTGGGCATAATATGGATATAAGCAATGAGCGTTACAAATTTGGTAAATTGAAATATTTTCCGACAGTAGACTTGTATTAAACAAAAATATGTGATCAGAATAATCAAAATTATCCACTTCAAGTCAATTTTTAGTATGATAAATAATTTACTAAAAGTGTTACAAATGTGGTAAATTAAATCATTTTCTGACAGTAGGCCTTTGTAAGATTAACATTTCATATGGTCAGAATAGTGAAAATAACATTAAACCAATATTTGCTATTATAATTGTATTAAAATGATGTGAGATAACAATGGGAATCCACATCTAGGCAGTTTTTAGAGTTATAAATAATTTACTATGAACATTGCAAATTTGGTCAGTTGAAATTTTCTGTCAGTAGACCTGTACTGTATAGCTTGTATAAGATGATTAGAATAATGAGAATAAAATTTAGACTAGGTCAAAAACATTCACACAAAAGAGAATAATTTGAAATTTTCAAATGACCACAGTCATAAATAAATAGTTCAATAATCACCAGAATGCTTTAAAAATATTTCAGAACATTTTGATTTTCTACCATTATTTGGTGCTAATTCGGGGTATGCATTCTAAATATTGTTTCTCATTCTTAATGTTTTCTAATATTGCGAGAAAAAGGTCAGGACTGTGTTTATGTTAGTCACCAGCTACAGTGGTCAAGATGGGATTGTAAATGATTAAGAGGATAACACTCATTTTCTTCAATAATTTCCTTTTTGTGTCCAACCATGACCTCTCAATGTTTTGAGTGTAGGCTTATGTAATTTCATTGACATATGAAATTTGGTGATCGTTTTGTGTGCAACCATACCTTGGTTTGTGAGAATCCTATATACGGCCTATTCATCAGAATGAATTTCTGATCCTGCTTCGCATTCACGTTTTATTATCCGTAGAAGTGTTTCTTGATTGTGTCGATAAACATAAAAATAAAATAAAGGCAATCGTTTCTATTTTTCAATTCAAATACCCAGGAACCATCTACATTCATTGCTGCTTTCTGATCCGTTGCAATTTGTGTGGGCAATTCCAATACAAACAAATATAATTTTACAAAGTGTTAACCCTCTGTTGCAACAAGCCAGTAGAATGAAAGAAGCTGCAACTAGCTCATGCCAATCTTGTTCTGACAGCTTTTTTTTGGACACCGAAACGTGGCTAACCACTCCATTATGGCATTTCTTTCATTATTTTACCTGTATTTCTGTGCCACATTTATGACATGGGGCGTTATCTTCAACACTTCTTAATAATCCTTTTTCTACTAAAACTCAATGACACGTGTTCTTATTTGGCACTACTGTAGAATAAAATTTGTGATAAGTCATCACAGACATCACTATTAATAAATGATACACAAAATTTAAATATTCGTAATTAATAATCTCTGTGAGCTACGTAACTAAAAACCGAAAAGACTACTATTACAAAAAAAAGTAGTAATCAAACATAAGATAATAAAGAAATACCTAACATATCATAATATATAAAAACAAGGTAGATAACGTAACTAGATAGATCAGTAGTTGTCCAATATCCCTGTTCCAAACCATGAAAGAGTGTAAAACAGCAAAACCTTTAGAGCGCGTACAGAATTATCTCTATTATTTTTCCTCAAATTACAATTAAAGAACCAAAGTTTGAACCAGTCATTGCCTAAATTTTCCCTATTATTTACAAAAGCTTTAAGGAATAGAAATGAATTTTTAAATTTTAAAATATCAAATGGATTTAATTTTATTAAATAAATTAATAGATAAAACTATAACAAAAACTGCGTTTATATGACGAACATTATAAACTACAGCTAATTAGAAAAAGTATTGGCACCAAAATTAACTTTTATAAACAAATCATATTTATATTTTCATTTAATTTCACAATTAATATGTAAATAATGTAATATTATTAAATATTACTTAAACAATTTGTGTGTAAATGTCACTAATAAGTAGTGAACATTTTGACTTGTTATTAATAAATTATGTATTATTTTATATTTTTATTTTGCTTTGGTTATTTTAATAATTTTTTTTATTTTTTTTGCAGAGTTAATATCAAAAAATTCAAAGAACAACATGAAAACCAGACAGTATAAACTTTTTGCTGGTAAACACTTTTTCTCTTTTTATAACATAACCTTATTAAATTGTTACCCCGTTTTATTTAAGCCGGCTGATATAAATATTTTATTATATGGGTGCGCAAAGAACGGGTATATTATTACAGTTTGTGTGTATGGAATTTTTCTGTTTTTGAATTATTCTAAAGAAAACACTGTTACAGTATTGTAAAAGTTATCATAAAATGTGTATATTATATTTCTCCGTTTTATTTAAGCCGGCTGATATAAATATTTTATTATATGGGTGTGCAAAGAACGGGTATATTATTACAGTTTGTGTGTATGGAATTTTTCTGTTAATGAATTATTCTAAAGAAACCACTGTTACAGTATTGTAAAAGTTATCATAAAATGTATATATAATTTTGAAAAAAACCCGTTGCTGGTATTTCCACACAACATCCCACCATAGGTGTTGAGTTCGCACTGTACTTATCCTTTATGTTTTATATAATTAACAAAACATCAAAACCAACAGTAATTTTTTTTTTTTTTTTTATATATATATATATATATATATAAATTTATGAAAAAAAAATTGTTAACATTTTTCTTAATTATAAATATTTCAAACAATAAAAGTTAAAAACTACATTTCTTTGCTTGAATGGTGGTCAGACATAACATTTTGTTCTAAGTGAAATGCTCACTTTATGGATACTGATAACATTGTATGTTGATAACTTATCAAGAACTATTTATGAAATCATTATATTTACAAAAATATACTTATTTGGAGACATGTTAATTGAAGGTTAACATATGGTTCTCAGCATACTCACAATATTAAGTGAGCACCACAATACCAACAACCGGTTAAAATCATTTTGTTATTTATAATATTTAATGTCATCTTAACAAAGAGCCACATGGCTGTTATAGAATAATAAATTAGTTTAAAATTTTTTTTTTTTTTTTTTTTTAAGTTGTCTACCACGATGGTAAAGAGGCAACTAAAGGCCATTACTTTGCTGATGTATTCTATGTGGCTCTTGGTCGATGGTTACGGTTTGATGATGCATCTGTACGGTTTGTCACAGACAAAGAAGTATGTCAGCCCAAACCACCATGTATGCCGTACTTGCTGTATTACAGACGAAACGACACAATTGCTGCCCTCTCTGCATTTGACAATAAAGGTCGATAAATAAGTTGTTATTTTTACAAAAAATTGTGGTATGTATTTTGCCCTGCCTTGTGCTGCATGTACTAACTACTGTGTGAATATTTTTTTAATTTTTTTTTTTTTTTTTGAATACACTATTATTATTTTTTATTTCTATCATATTTATTTATTTTTTTAGATATAATATTTTCAAAATGAAAATTACCTAGTGAGATACACAATATTTCTTGTAGATATTTTATATTTATACTTTTTTGCCTTCATTCATAGACACTGAAGTAATCTTTATTTTTGTCTCAATATTGAAACATATTAACACAGGGTTACTTTAAACATTTTATTATTATTATTAGTTCTAAACAATAATAATAGTCATATTGTCTGTCTTTGACAATTTTATGTTTATTTTTCTCTTTTAAAGTACTGTCAAATGTGTATTTGTAAGCCTATTTAAAGCATGACAATGTGTAAGGGCATGTTAAGGGTTAAGTTAAACAATTTGTCTTTTGCCTGTTGTGCTAAGGTATTTGTAACATATTATAAATATAAATGATACGAGACTAAATTACTATTTTTTATTAACTCAATTATTTGTTAATATAAATACATTTTTTAATTACATATATTTTTTTTTTTTTTTTTGTAAAGTATTAAATTACATTTGTGTACATAAAAATTAATTGTAATGTATAGTATCCTAGAGATTATTGAGTCGTGGTTGATTTTTATAAAAAAAAAAATAAACAAAATGAATTTGTATATTAATAATAATATCCAAGTGAATACTGAAAAACAATGTTGGTGTTGAATATGTTTTCAAAACTCATTGGCTTATTATGTATATTTATATATAACATATTTTAAACCATAATATGTGTGTATATAAATAAACATTTTTTTATTTGAATCATATTAATGCTTCATAAATAATTTTTAAAAATTACATTTCAGAGCTGAGTTTTTTCCCTTCCATTTTATTAATGTATACTTTTTGATTATCTTGGATGTTAAATTATACGATAAACAACTGTAATAATACCTACACATGTAAATGTCATTTATGATTTTTGTTTTATCTTATTTTTTTGTATTGATTGAATACATCAATTATAAACAATATTTAATGGGTTTAATTTATGTTTTGTTTTGTTTTGTTTGTTTTTTTTTTTTTTAATATAAATATTGTGTAACTTCACACAATCTTAAATTACCTGTAAAATACAAATGTCTTATAACAAAATGTACAATGAGACTATTGAAAATAAGAACTAACTAAACATATGTCTCATTAAATTATTTAATTTATACTTTATTTAGTCACGACTGCAACTTTTAAAACAAATTGTGAGCATAATATTAAATAATATATGCTTTATAAATTATTATGTTAACATTTCAATAGTTTTGATTTTTTTATATGTAATATATATAATATAATTCCAATATTTAATTAAACACATGTTATAACTTCTGTAAAACTTGTAAAACTCAAATTTTTTGCGGTTCATTGGACTTATTTTATCTCTACCTTTAGTGGGTATATTTATTACAATTGTCTTGTTAGAATTTAATTATGATCAATTCTGGTTCAATGATAAATATTGCTAATATTTTCCTTCCGAGGTTTTATGTACATTCTATTAAATATTATTAGTACTATAAAGTCTTTTACATAATCAAAAAAAATATATATATTTTTATGATACAATTTTTAATAAAAATGTTAATATATATTATAGTTCTAAATTAATAAAATTGGCAGGAGTTAATCTAGCCAGGACTGTTGTTATCTCTGGGATAGTGGGCCGAATCTTAACCAATCCTACTACCGACTACAAACAGTAGTCCAACTACAATGCAAGTTCATTATCGTTTGTTCAAGTAATCAGGAAACCGGGAAAATCTACCATCAACATTGTCCTGCAACTTGAAATACATCAGATTATCTTATAATCTTGATTAATTGTGGATTGCTCAGGACAAACAAGGCACCTAATAAACCTTAATTTCCTCTATAGACACGACAATAATAATGATTATGACTTGTCCGTTTATAGACTTTAGTAGTGTTGAAAATAATTGTATCGCGATATAATTCAATGGTTGATAGCTAATATGTACTACACATTATATACATATACATGGGTCAGCGTATATTAATGATTTCAGAAGTAGCTGATATACATAGATTTAATTTTATTTAATCCTGTTGAACTATTATGTTGTCACTCACATGCCGAAATAAGAAATTATGTGCACATGAAAACAATTGTAACGATATAGTCTATAGTTGACAACTGGCAGACTGCATCTGGTCGTCCCCGTGACTTTGATTTTGTTCCATTTATTAATACAGTAAATAAATGTAACGAGCTTATTTAAACAATTTATTTGGACCAGTAACTAGATTTGTTCGACCTAGTTTTTTTACTTAAACAATTTTCATCAAATGATGTTAAAATTCTTATAAAAAAAAAAATTATACTACATTAAATTAATTTTTTTTTATTTTGACCGCAAAATACGACTTATAATTAATCTCCTGTTAAATTTTCAATCATTTCTGTTTTGTCTAACAATTTTATTCTCTGAGTATCTAGATACCAAATAAAAATTACTCACAAAATTAAAATATCTATAAATAGCTTAAATATGACTAATTTTTTTACAGTTTTACCATATAAAAATAGTCAAAATAAGTTTTCTGCCTAAATTTCAAGTCTGAATATTTTTAACTGAATTACAACAAATAACCCAATTGAAAATAATAAAAAGCATTATTTTAGTTAAATTTCCAGGTTTTTCCTAATATTATGAAAACCGCTTAGAAAATCAAGAAAATGATCTTCTAAAGTACCATTTAGAAATCTACAATATTTCCTTTCAGAAACTGTGCCACACGTATATGCAAATTATGTATTACACAATAAGGTGTAGTAAAATTTCAATAACCCACAAGTGACTTAACCAGTATTCAACAAATTACTAAAATGGCTTTACTGGAAAATTTGTGAATTGTAGCTTATTGTGTTATATGATTGGACAATGGAAAGCCGTTGGCCAGTCCTAAGTCCGCTCCTATATTTATAACACATACAAATCGCGTGTCACAGCATTTGGACAGACAACTGGTTTTCGCCGATTTGTTAAATTACCTAGTACATTCGATCAGATAAGTAAACTGTGAATAGTTCAACGATTTATAACTTGATGATCTGTCAATAGTTAAATTGAAACGATTTCGAATACTTAGGAATATAGAAAAAAAAAAATATTGATATCACGTACAGTAAAGAAAATTAAAAAAATATACATTATTACGGTTATAAATTTTATTTCAATAAATGTTTAAATAATAATAATATTGCGAGATGGGCATGCACAAAAAGAATCTGTAAATCTTATCCAGCGCCGCAGCCGAGTAGAAAAAAAAAAGTTCGTGAGAGTGCCAGACGGCCAACTCTTATTTTACAGCAAATGGTCCAACCTCTTTGGAGCCTAATTTAATGAACTGATTGTTTTGAATTTTACACGGGTTAATCAGTATGTTACTTGGATGATATTTTTGTAAATTTCAAGTTGATCGGATGATTATGGTCTGAGTAATGTGCAAAAGTATTAACAGTCTTTACTCGAAACACTAGGTATTTTTTTCAACAGTTCAACAATGTAGACATGGTGTACGCGTTTTTACCACCTGTTTGCAGCAAATAAAAACAATTTTGTTTATTTATTTTATCGCTGTATTACTAAAATAGCGTTTTCCAGCAACATTCACAAGCTATACATCATCGTATATTCATTTACTCAATCCATAAAACAACAAAGATATTTTCTTCTCATAATTTTTAACTTGATAAAAAAAAAAACAGGTCAACTATGTCCAAAATATTAATAAAACAAATGAGTGATATCCTAACAAAAACCCTCCATCAACTACGTATAAAAAACTTGTAGTATAAATTTAGTGTTAAGGTAATATCAATAAATTATAAATTGGGAATGTAAATATTCATGTTGACAATATACCTATATTTGCAGTCGTAAATATTAGTAGCCACCAAGCTAAGTTAAATTATTTGTATTAGATTATCGCCCTTCATCAAATACAAACAATTATAAACATTTTCTATATGATAATGAATTTAAGAAATTACTTAGCCCTTTATTGACATCATAACTTTTCTAACTTGAGTTTTTTTTCTTGGCGGGGTTTTTATACTTACGTAGTTGACGGAGGGCTTTTTTTGGGATTTTAAATTAAGTGAAAATGATAAAATCATTGTTAGTGTTTAGTAATGAATTGAAACGTAATACTTTGGACATTGGCGTAATTTGGGAGGGGGGGTGCGATTTTTTTCTAGCGATAGAAAGCTCATCAATTTTTAGGCCGTATCATCGTCAATTGCAACAGTGCATATCTCAAAATTCGATAAAATGCGATTATTATCAATATTAATAAAACAAGTGATTTTGAGCATTTATTCATCAGAGGAATTTTCTGTGTGATTAGCGGTTACACATTAACAAAAATGTTGGTACACAAGAATGTGCCAACATAACATTGAAAAACTACAAAAACTGAGATATTACGTATTTTTGCGCTTTAAGCGACGATATGAATGATACATGATACAAAGCGTGCCCGTAACCCGTTACAATTTATCAATTTCTTTCGCGAAACGGATAAATAGAAAAAAAATCGTCTAAAAATAGAACGAGCGTAATAAATTGTAGATCCGAAGTGACCATTTAGATTGCGTTTTTTTTGCGAAAATACACAAGTCGCACCATCAGTTGATGTACTTTGAATAAAGAAAGTGATGAATGAAGAGGTTTTTCCAAACTTGTTTAAACTTATTCAAGTAGGATTAACTATTCTTATAAGCTCGGCTACTTGCGAAAGATCTTATTCATCTACACGCCGTATAAAGAATTGGCTTAGGGCAAGCATGAGACAAGCAAAATGTACAATTTGTCAGTTATTAATATTGAAATAGACCTAAGCACTAAAATTGATAAAGATAAAATAATAAATAATTTTGGTATTTCATAAAGACGTTTATCTTTAATAAAATATTTAAAAAAAAAATAAAAAATGTATTTACCTGTAATTAATAATATACCTTAAATTTGTGTTATTTTATTATAAATAATAATAATTATAGATAAATGAGTTATTATGATGAATGTATAAATGGCGTCATGTGAAGAGGGTGAGGGGGCAAAGCCCCCTCACGGGTCACATTGGTTAAAATTAAGCTAGCACCCCCATACATTTAACCCAAATTGCGCATATGGCTTTGGACGATCCGTGTAAAAATAGTACATCGCGAGTTATTCGTGAAGGTAACATTAGTAGTTTGACTACTACAAACATGGTATACATATACGAATAAATATTCACTATGCACGTTTAAGTATGATTCTAAAATTATCGACAAATTTAAATAAACTATATTTGGCTCTAATGATTTGTTTACTAAAAGTGAGTAAATTTGATTTCATCAAATGAAAAGTACATAGGTAATTTTTATGATTTTGTAAAAAAATATGATAGAATTTGCCACTTCCAAAATTTCGCCACTCTGAGACTTATGGGGCCTGAATCTAAATACACCTCTGTAAATAGAAAAATAACAAAACTGAACGTAGAGTATTATAGATAGTTATACAACCGATTTTGATTTCAAAAATTATCAGATAATAGAACACGAAAAAAAACAGCTATATATCTTGTTGTATACAATATGTGCTCTAATATAGTGGCCCTTCCGTGATTTACCACTCTAGTGACATAACTTAGGGAGGAGGGGTTAGGGTCGTGACATCTCCCCCGAAATATGTTTTTACGAATTCTACGTAATATTTACAGTTATTTGATTATCATACCAATTTAGAACATAATGTTGTAACATTGTGTTCTTCTTCATCGCATCTTTTCTACACTTAAGAATATATAATGAACTTCTTATACAATTTTCAAGCATTTCTGTTAATTAACAATTTATCTATAGAGTACGAACAAAATACTACATATTTTTAATTTTGCTCAATTATTAAAAAAACGACTTTCTTGGTCACCAACTACATTAAAAATTCAACAAAAACGATCGTATTAAATGATACGTATGATGTATTGTTTTTATTATCTTTCAATAATAAAGTAGTGTCTGTAAAGTTTCCTTTAAAAAGGGATTCATTCGCATTTTTTTTTTTTAATACATATTACATATTCATAATAAAAAAAATAAATAAAATTTACCGGAGGGATGCAGTTATTGTTGTAAATTTGATATTTGTCATTATCAAATAAGTTATATGGTTTGTTACCATTTTAAATGGTAAAATTTAACTAAAAACTAAAACTTAACAAAACTAAACAATTTTTCAACAATAACGAGTTTCATTTTTTTTTTTTTTTCATAAAAGGAACGGAAGAAACGTTCATGTTCCTGTATTTAGAAAGGAAACCATTCCAAACTTCATTCCTGTGAAAGGAAAGTGATCCCTCCCAACACTGTAATAAAGAAATGATCCAAAAGATCAAGGACAAGGAGAATGAAAATAAATAAGAAGTTATAACTGACTCTAGTTTTTATAAAAGAAAACACTCAATAACAAAAATCGATTCCCTTATAATAAAATCTTAACTAATCCATATCATTTATAATGAATAAATAAACTTTAAAATTTGATATTCATTCATTCATTAAGTAAAAAATGAACTCTTACATATAATTAAAAATTACAAAATTAAATGATTTGTATTAAATTCTCACTTTTAACTTGAAACACGCTATTAAGTTTCCTATATTCTAATTAAAAGATAATACTTATATAACGTCAAATAAGCTATATTTTAATCCTATAAAGATAACATTAATTAAAATAATTTCGTATATTATATCTAATATTAATATATATATATATATATATATATACATATACATATATATATATAACACTTTTTGAAGAAAGACATTTTTTTTTTTTTTTTTTTCAAAAACCTTATTTCTATCAAAATACAGTTGACGAAGATAAAAAAAAAATTAACACAATTTTTATTGTTCAATTAAAAAAGAAATTTGTCAAATTTTTTCCTTAGTTGAATAAATAATTACTTCTTAACAGTTATTTACTTCTTTACACCTGGAAAACTATGACATACTTTATAAAAATATATTAAGCAAATCAGACTGAAGTATTCAAAACTAAAATAAAAAGTAATCAAAAAAAAACTTCATTCAAATCAAATGATTTAAAAGTTTAAGTATTAGTTCATAATAAAATATGGTTTTTGTACTTAATTGTTATCAATTTATAATCAAAAGTGTATGTTTTATATTTAAATAATAAATCAAATAAAGATTCTGTTCTATTTCATTTTATAAATAATAAAAAAAAAAATACCAATTTGTGTAGAAAAATTAGTGCAATTACTTAAAAAATAATATACCTGACGTTGATAGGTTTCAAATGAAAATTTTTCAAAAAAAAAAAAAAAAAAAATTATAATAAAAAAGTTGTTATGAACGCAGTGAAGTAATAAAATAAACGCAATAACAGTCAGGAAAATACAATATCAACTTTAAAAACAAATGAGAATGTAACCTATGCCGGTGCGTATATTTCTTCATTTTCTATTTCCAGTGTTGTTTCATTACTGTAAATACCATTGGGGGGAACATAGATAGCCAATCCATATTTTATCAGTTCATCATTAACAGAAAAGGTCTGAAATATAATTTATAAAAATTAGAAATATACTACAGAACTCTAATACTTAAAATAAATAAATAAAACTTACAATTAACCCATCAAATGCTAGCAAATTAATAAATTGTACACTATCAGACTTGTAAACGACTTGTGCAAACAACATTTTGCCAGTTGTCAGTGATTGAAAAACTTTAAGGGATTCTTCATTCCACTCACCATAAGCTGACATAATAAAAAAATAGGAATTATATTATATTAAGTACATTTTTTAATTTTTTAAATTATTATATGAAATAGAACAATTTTTACAATAAGCACATAGTATATCTGAATGTTAATATAAAATAGACAGCAGACTTGAAAGAAGAAGCCAATCATTGCTGGTAAATCATAGTATGGGGTTGCTGAACTAAATTGTTCAAAAGGTAACAACACCAAATTTGATTTAGATAACTTCTAGAGTTCCCAGGGATAGATAGTGAGGAGATTAAAGAGTTCCAATAGTTGTAGATATGGAGTGTAGGCGTTTGCAAAAAAAGAATTGGACTATTAGAATGGAGGATATTTGTCAAGGGTATCATTAAAAATATAGTATGAGGATTTTGTTTTATGGATTGGTATATTTATTTAATATATAGCAAATAATATTAGTGGACTCACTTGGAGCAATATTAGCTAAACAACATTCAATTGCTTGAAAACTTAATGATATTAATGAATCATGCATAGGCCTCATATCACATTGTTCAATTTTTTTGCAACCACCATAATCCAAAAAAAATACATTAGCAGATTCGTATTTTTTTTCATCAACATCGATCACTTGAGCACGGTACCAATTACCTTCACTGTAAGTGGCTACTACAGAACCTATATAAAAATCCATCATAATAATAATTAATAAATTCAATATTTAAAATCTAAAAGTGATTAAATACCATGAGTAACTGTGCGTAGGTCAACTTCCGGAATGTCTTCTTTGCCATTTATAAATGTATCGTTCATGGCAAAATTCAAAGAGGAGAGCAATGCGTAATCTGGACTGGAGGCATTGTGTACAAAGAAATGATCAGTAGCTATGACATCAGTGATGATAACGTGGTTATTAACGCCTTCAATTAATTGAGACTAAACACAAACAAATCACAATATTAAAATTATAATTAATAAATTACTACTAAGACAAATTTACCTTGAAAAGTTGAGAAATAATAGGTGAGCCTTCTAACATTGGGGTAATGCACTCTAAAGTAAATTCTGGGTAATTCCTTTCAGGAAACTTGATTCTAATTAACTTGAGTGCTTTATTAATATTAATTTCAGATCCTAAAATATAAATTAAAATAATACACATTTAATAACAATTTAATAACATTTAATAACAATTAAATTCAAAAACTGAATAAATTTGAACTTGCCAACTAATGTACACATTTTATATCTATCCTCTGGACTTTCAGTCTTGTTATCAACAAAAAGCCGAACATTGCTCTTTTCTTTGATATACTTAACAAATGCTCCTTTTTTACCAATAATTGGCCCTACTAAATCAATTGGAACCAAAAAGTCATAATTTGTTTGCTCATCGGAATCTGATACTGTGCGCAGTTCACCCGAAAAGGAGCTACCACCTTTACCACTGTCTTGAGAACCCTAGATTTTAAAACATATTATTATTATCAAGTAATAGCAATCAATTAATTTCAAATTTAAAATAAATTGAACTCACTTCACTTCTAATATCTGAGTAAACCGTATTTGGTGCATCATTAGTATCAACACTATGATCTACACTATGCGCTGAATCACAATCTTCATCTATTACGTGATTTTTTTTTATATTTTGTATTGAGTTACTTGCTTTATTTTTATTATGTGACATAGAAGAAATCTTGATGGTATCTTGTGATGGCTGGATTTTCTTTCGATTGGTTTTCTTCTTTTTTCCTTTGAATTTAATTCCTTCAAATAACATAGGCTCTTCATCTTTTTTTACTTTCTTTGCAATAACTGTTTTAGGACATTCACAATGGTCTTCATTTTCTGTCCAACTATCTTTTTCTATTGAACATGGATTTTCTACATCATCAATATTTTCTTTTACTTGTTGAATATTTATAGCATTTTCTAGTTCATTTTTTTGCTCCGTTTCTCTACTTAATATCAACGAATCAAAGTTTTCAGTTAATGATTCTATTTTACTTATTTCCGATCCAAAGCACACTTGTTGTTCACTAGACATTGTTATTACTTTTGTGTCATGTAATTCTGAAATATCAATAAATGATTCAACTTCTTTTATTTCTACTTGATTGATAGTAGGTTCCACGATTTCTTCACAAATCACAGAATTTTCAATTGGTTCTTCTTCAACAATTTGAGATACTTCCAATGTACGAGAGGCTTTTTCTAATGCCTGTAACAATTCTTGATTATCAATTTTAGTCAGTTCTGATGATTCAGAACGTGGTCTCTTCTTGTCACTCGGGTGATGTGACAAAGCTCTCTTGTGCTTGTACCAAAGATAACCGAGGTATAAGACGGCTGTCGAAAACGTTAAAATTCTCCCCAGCGATACAGTCCTCACCTTGAACATATCGTATGATATCCACTTTGATATAAGTATAGAACCTAAAAAATAAACATTTATATTTTAGAACATTTACAGAAATAATAAATTTGTATAGGTTGGGCTATGAATAATTTGACATATAGTTTCATCTTAATTTGATCAAACACATCCAATTATTAAATGTAACATTCTTGAAAATATTAATAAATAGCTAGTTAGGTATTAAGTACATCTAATATAGGAAATAATTTTGAGAATATTTCTTATCAATAGGTATACATAGAAATATAATGAAATTAAATCATAATAATAATTATGTACAAAATATTCAACCTCTTTTTTAAATGTTTAAAATGATCCCAAGATATTAAATTTATGATATTAAAAAATTATGAAAATACCTACTATTTAAATTAAATTGTTTTTTTATAATTATCACCTAGGTATTTATACTGAGTAGGGATTAAATACCAATACATAAATTGAAATTATTTTTGATAAAAAAAACACATTATTGAAAAATTAGAAAACATTATAGTAATTTTTCGATTATTAGATGGTGTTGAGCAACAGATGTTTGATTTACATTAACACACAATTGACGAATGTTAAAAATTTGCATCTTTATTTGTTTTGTACATAGTGAACTTACAACAAACAAAAAAGCAGTCAAATTCTGTGACGGCTGACACAGATGGTTAAGAGACATATTATATATTATTATGATATTTATATCATATATCCGATTTTAATATTATAGATAGCAATTAAAAATACCTACTTGTAGCAAAATAAAATCAACTCAATAATTTTCAATTGCCTATGAATATTATTTTACGAAATTTTCACAAATTAACTGAATGGGGACTGCACTAATCATTTTTTTTTTTTTTTTACTTAAAGATTGTTATAAATAGATTAACAGTAAACAAAATAGACTTGTTATTTTTTTCATATAGGTTTAAATAATGAATGATATATTAATTAAAATCAAAATACTATAGTTTTTTTTTTTTAAATTTAATGTGATAAAAGTTGCGGCTTTGCAGGGGTATAAATAATATTATCAGTTGTTATTACAAAACATCAAAGACACGGTTAAAGGTTAGGGGACATGCCAAAACGTGTCCGGATTTGTGTGTTATCACCATAAGACTTATACATCTATACCAGGGATCTTCAACCCGCGGCACACATTGTCTTTATTTGTGGCTGGCGAATTCATTTTAAGCATAGTTTCATTAAATTAAAGTGGTTATTAGAAGATATTTCTATCGAAAACACGTTGGTAGTCTAATTTATGTATAATGCGATAAGATAAAATTAGATTAGATTAACTATTATAATCCGTTTATTTCAGAGAGTTGGCTGTTGACGATTGGTCAATACATATACCTATAACAGTGGCGTGGTGAAAGGGTTATTATGGCGCCTGGACGTCATGGTAAAAAAAATTTGGAGGGGTGGGAGTGTGATTACATTAAGGTAAGCAAAAGTATAATACAACAATTACATTTAATTATAACAATTATTTATATTTTATACAATATTTAGAGGTTAAGGATGAATATGCACTGAAATTTATATTTATGCTGTGCATCATGGTTAATAAATGTTCACCACGCCATCGCCTGATAGTCGGAACACTTGGAAAACCAGAACTGTAGACTGACACTCGCCTAGAAAACTCGCAGAGGATTGCATCGTCCCAAATACAACCAAATATTGAGAAATAAGTGTCAAAGAAAAACAATGACAAATATTTCACTAAAAATAAATAATACGTATTTTAAAATTTACTGTACCTAATAATAAAATAATTTCGAAGGTAAGAAACACGCGAGATGATAATGATAAAACGGAGTGTTCATAGTTAAAATTTGCTTTCTCTCTCACACACTAAGCATTATATCAGCCTATCTCTCTTGATCCGTTCGGACCGACCACATCTCCCAGTACTCGTGGTGAATGTTCCATCTAGATCTATATGTCTACGCTTATCACAGAAAAAAAACATTTGAAAATAGTTTTCAACGATCGATATATGATTTAATTACTTTAGAGTTAAATAATTTAAAAAAAAAAAAAATGGAAATTTGTAAAATTGTCAATCAAAATCGATTTATTTTACTTTAAATAACCAATTAATGTAAAAAATTTTTTTTATCTATTATCTCAACCAAAATCCTAATAATAGGTACTTATTATCTATTACAAACGTAGGTATAAAATCATTATTAATAACCGAAATCTCACTGTAAGATTACAGAATGCAACCGTTTGTCGATATTATTCTATTCTATTCGATCGTGTCATATTGTAAATTTGCACATAACGTATCGAAATATAACTCGGGCGTTGTCGGAAAGTGTACCCATAAATAGTAGATTTGCTGGAGGCTGTGCCCGAGAAGAAATCAGACTGCATACCGGTTTTTCCATGAACATAATATGACGTTTTGAATCGAGAAAAAAAAAGAACAAAACATAACTGGTCTGGCTGGTTACCACGTTCAGTCAATAAACCTTACTCAAATATGTTTGATACAAGAATAGGTCATGATCGAAAATCAGACTGTTCTTTATATAAAAAAAAAATAACTTCCGACATACACGTAATAAAAGTTAGGTAGATAGGTACATACCTACATAATATAATATTACCAATTGACAACTTTAGTATAATTGGAATACATTTGAATTTGTTTTTAGAAGAAAATATACAAAAATGCAAGAATTGAACTTAAAAAAAAGACGCACATACTTTGCACGATGGGTGGGCCACTGTTGTTGGTGAGATGTTGGGAAGGTAGGTTGATATAGTGAGAATTTAATTTATATTTGTACACAACGATAAACCATTGCTAACGACAATCTTTTTTAAATTTCTTTAATACATGGATGTAAATTTTCCCGTTTTTTCAAACTGTTATGCTCGTTACGTTCGAATGCTAAAAAGGGTGAAATGAAAATAAAATAATGTATGTCCAAGAAAAACTAACCTGTAGGTATACAGACTATTTTTGTTCAACACCCGAACAATATTATGAGGTAAGTATCTGTGAATTGCATAGCACTATTATAAATGCATACCCATTTACAAGAATGTTATAAATGTTGTACGTGGATAAATATTATAGAAATAAAGTAATTTATAACGACTAACTGAAATAATCAAGTATCGACGTTATTTAATAACTGTAACGAACGATTTACACCAGGTTAGCGAAAACCGTTCAATTGTCAACAGTTGTTAACAATTACTGCCGTTACGTTATATTATCCATTTTTACGAGTCAATCGTGAACTACAGCAGACATTTAATAGACACCTAAAGAGATTCCTTATAATTTAGGAAGGAAAAAATCAGCAATCGAAGAAATTATTATCATGTCATATCCTTATCATTTCTTAATAACTGTACCTATCGCGAAACGTATACGATAACAGACTAAAAATATAACATTTAATGGCGTCATTTATGGTGCGACTTGGGAGATAATCAAACCGCAAATCGAACACATAGTGCGTACCTACGTAACGAGGTTCGATCGGCATTTTTTGAAATGGATTATATTATGTACGCGGATAATACCCTCCAAAGGGGGAGGGGAAGGAATAGGAAAAGATTTCGAAACGGAGTTATACTGGTAAACATGGCTGCGACAAAAAAAAAAAAAAAACCTATTATTATTTACGCTATACTCCGAGAACTATTTCAATATTATTTCATATTTTATAATGACAGCAAGTATTTAAAAATTAATTAATATAAATCATTGCATGGGTCGAATCGCAGAGAAAAAACTAATTCCGATTTTTTTTTTTCACGTCTTGTTACACATATATTTTTTTCTCGTACTTTATCGATAACAAATTTGTGATTGAATTAACATTCAAGGTTTGACAATGATATTATGATTGGGTCATCGATTTCATTACGAAATCGACAAAAAAAAAAAAAAAAATTCCAGATAGGTATTTATTAAATTTGTCGATATAGAGTTTTCATCGAGTAAATGTAAACCTATTCAAGTAAATAAAATATTATCAAATTTTACAATTGACCCAGAATAGGTAAAAGGGAATATCCCCCAGGGAATAGCAGTACTGAAATGTTCAATAAAAATGTATTAACTAAATATTAATTCTATAGTAATAGAGGTTGTTTTAAATTGTAATTTATTCTAATGAACCAAAAACCATTTATAATCGACGAGGTACCACTTTCATAAAATACTCGGCTACATTTAATACATATAATAAATAATATAAAATAGAAAGGTAATTAGAGCAATAATAGGCGATCGAGTTTTGAAATATGGTCGTTGGCGGCGTGGTCTGTGCAAACATTTCTCTGCGAATATTTTTTATATTATTATATAATGATAATAAGACATAGGTATTATTATAATATTATCCTGGTGTTATGCGAGAGGTGAAACAATATTATATTAATCTCGTTGGTCAATTCGAAATTAAACAGTTTACGGAAGCGTAAATAACTGCTAATTAAAACTGAAGTTGTAAAAAAAAAATATTGGAAATAAAGAGAACGGAAGAAAAAAAAACAAACACCCATTACAGTACATTAATTAAAAATATAACAATAAATCCAACGCACGTACGTACGCGATTTTAGTTTTTACATCAATAATATTTCATTGATATGTACTTTACGGACAAAATTATAAATGTATGCGCACGGAAATAGGTATACCGGAGGTTTTTACCCGGCCGTTTATATCGCGCGGACAAGCGAAACACGACAATGCCCTACAGCATAGTTAAGCTTTACTAAAATAACAACGATCTGTAATTTCCCATTTTCGAACGTCGTTATTAGGCCGTTTCGTGGAAATGTTACGATAACACGGACTTGGCGGAATACTAATAACGACAATATGAAAAAAAAAATTCCCCGCGGGCCAGATGATTTGAAATCATCAAATTGGAAATATCGCGAAGGACGTTTGACATTTGCCGCGTCGTCGACTCAAAGAAAAACTTATACACGAATAAGTTAGGTTATGTCGGTTTCGCGTCACGCCGATATAGAGACCGCCGTCGCGCGCACGACACGACAGCAGCACACGTTTACGGTAAAAGTCGCCGTCGTCCGCGATATCACGGCGGTACGCACACGTGTCCGAGCCGGCGAAAAGTAACCCGACGTCGGCAGTAATAAAATCCGTCATTACCGTCCAGAAACACCGCCCCTCTCCCCCCCCCACCCCCCAAAAAAAGGACAATCGAAAAAATAATCAAAGGCCCCGTTGGCACCATCAGACATACGGTGGTGCACGGGGGCGGCGCGGCGACGTCGTGTTTTACGGTCACGTGATGGTGGCGGAGTACGCGACGGACTGAAAACCACGTTGCGAGTACGTCACGCGGCATGCGGCCGTGTCGGTAGCGAGTAGACGGTGTGTGGCGCGAACGACGAACATCGTCATACGGATTATTTAATACAATAAAATTATAAATGCGAAAATAAAAAAAAATTAAAATTGATTACCTTTTGTACGGCGCCTCGTGCCATTATAATGTTTATAGCGTATTGAGAAAAATACGGAAATGTACCTATATTATTATTATAATAAATAAATAACTATGTTTATTCGGAGTGGAGTAGGTGTAATAATGCAATTGTTTTGAGCGCAAACGAAAACACTACGACGAACATGCGACGTAAGAACGCGGCGGCGAAATAAAACTCACAGGTACACACGGCATACGCGGATGTCGTACGTCGGACCAGGAGTAATGTACTGAAGCGGTCGGCTCGGATGAACGACGTTCAGACACGAGAACGCGGCGTAATAGCGGATTCTTTCAACGTGGTTAGCTAGCGTGTACGGCCGCGGCGGCGTGGAGTGGGATGAATGGAGCGGCGGCGGGTACAATGCCGGCGAGAATACGCGCGACGGCAATGTAAAAAGGGGATCACGCCGGTTTTGGTCGCAGACGGCGAAGCGGCGCGATGGCGCGGTGGGGGCGAGCCGGCCGGACTAACAGTGCGGCCAGTGGCGCGCAAACGAAATAAACGTGTACCGGCGGACACCACGTGGCGCGGAAGCCGCCCGGTGGTCGGTGTTGTCGTTGATAATATTATTATTGTTGTTGACGACGTCGATGGCGGTGGCGGAGACGGCGTCGTCGTCGGCGGTTTCTCTCGGGTACTCGTCGGATAAACGAGTTTTATTATAACGTCCAGTGTCATTTTAATATTATTATGCAGACATTTTACGAAATACGCGATTTTCGATCATGGTGTATAGTTTGTTATGCAGTCGTTTCAAGTTTGAAAATTATTGTGGTAACTACCAGTAGGATAATATGCATATTATTATTATATTGTAGTGAGCACGGAAAAAAAAAAAACGACGTGTCCTCTTCACCGACGGTATTTAATATTAAACACGTTTAATACGTACAATGTTTGTTACGATATTTATGTACATATTCGTTTTATATAATTCTGCGTGCGGATTTTTGACAATAATTTCGAGTTCGACAAAAAAAAAAAAAAGTACCAAAAAATACCTACTCAATTTTAAACAACTCTCTCCGTACGTATATCAGAAATATGTTTTATAAGGTACATTTGGCGTTAAAGACGACGAAGCGTGCACAATGATATATTCTTATTTGAAAGCTATTGAACATTTTCATTATAAAGAACATCCTGCGCCATACAAAAGAAAACGTATACGTATAAAGGTCCACCCTAACATAATATCAGCTGCCTTATTTGTGTGTTTCGAGTTCAAATATACATCTGCGCGCGTCTCTACAATGTTGTAATACGAACATTTTTTTTATAGAAAAAAAAAAAAATGTACTAAAGAAACGTGAAATATTGCAGAACACGTGAATTAACGCAATCTTGTAAACGCACGAAATTGCGAAATTGCGCTTAGCAGAATCAATTTGGACTGTTAGTTTTAATTGTAAAGTTAATTAAATTATCATCACAGTTAAAGGTAAGAACGTTATCTGTATTTGTGCGTTGCGTTTTTGATATTTAAGCAATATGTAATTTTAAAATAACACTCATAAATGCTCATAATTCACTTCAAAATAAAAATTTCGTGACAAAACCAACGTGTATAAACATAAATAATGTTCTTACCTTCGAGTTTGATAATAGATCAATTCGTTTATAATATTTAATCAGCAAATTAGTTTTGGTGAATGAAAATTTGCCATTTTACATAACAATAAATGCGTAGTGTTAATATTATAAGCCAAATTGCAGCAAGGTATACCTCGTTATAATGATAAAATCGGACAAATTGTTCGGACCATACGAATTATTTATACGAAACATTAAAAACCCGAACTGGTTTATTAGGTATGCTTTAAGAATATGATATTTTTGTAATAAATAGATATATCAAACGATATTATATAAATATAAAATATAATAAAATATTATTTTGTAGTCTTAAAAAACTAGAAAATACATTCAAAATCAAATATTATTTTGGTACTCTTTTAATTAGAAGACCGTGACACTATAAATCAATTTCGTATTTTACTTAATTATTAATATAATTCAATTTTCATTTACTTATTTATGGTTTATGATAGTTTGTGATTTGACGAAATTTTGATTTATTTATTTTATTTGTTTCATAAAAATCTTAATCCGTACATTTTTATTTTTTCTGATTTGATACTAATGTAATTTCATGAAATAAATACGAATCAAATACAAAATCTATACATTTGATAAAACTGTAATATTTATTGTGTACTTATAAAAGTAAAATTACTTTAGTTAACTAAATAATAAATATGTAGTTTTAACCTATTGAAGTTCGTTTCGATACGTTTCGACCAAAAAACGTACGCCGATGTGTACGCAAACACACATTTTTCACTAAATGGATATAATTTTTGATCAATGATCGAAAACACTAAACGTACACGTGCAAAACACAGTGACTCATACGCAATTTACATTCAAGTAATAGATAAACGGCAATAGCATTCAGTATGTAAGAATTTTAAAATTACAAAAATTCAAAACTACAAAGTATAAATCGTCTACAGTTAACAAATAAGTAGGATTTGCGCAACCAAAATAATAATAATTATCATAATATCAAATAATACTAAATCATAAATCACACAAGTAATACTTAATATAAACGGAGCGTTAATAATAATTCAAAATAAAATATGGCTATAGACGGAACAAATATTAGGTAGGTAATAATTTTTATCATAAGCATAACAATAGAATAAAAACATAACACACACACAACATCTACGAGTACTTACTGCAGTGTTGAAATTTTAAACGCTTAGTAACGAATAATCGAAAACTTTTCGATCGCTTTCTTTCCGCTTTTTGTTAGAATAGGACCGTAGAACTTTAGGACCTAACAAAATTAAAAAAAAAAAAAAAACAACGATATAATTATTCATTTTAAATTGGTACCTATGATATACGTAACATTATTTAAAATCACGTTTTCGGTAAATATGACGAAACGTTTAAATCAGAAACAGTACTTTATAGAAATTTAATATGCTAATACAAATGGCTGAAATTATTACTAACCTAACTTTTCGTCAGTAAGTAGGTATACTCATTACACATATTGTATTCGTATTTAATAAATTGAAATAATCTAGAAAATAATTAATTATTTGTTTTATACTCGGTCTTTAAACGACACGGGTTATCTCGAGTTGAAGTGCCCGACTAAATTAATTTAACGTTTTGTAAGTACGCTGGTAGTTATAATATTAAATTGTCAGCCTAAATCGCTAAGGTTGTGGTTTCTATTTTTTATTTTTGAGTTTCACGAAATACAGAAAAAAAAACCATAGTTTAATATTGATCCATGATCGCTCTTATCTTATTTCATCCTTAAAACTGATTAATCGACGTTTTGCAGTTACGACCTTTGAAAGTGAATTATAAATTTTAGCTGGATAAAAATAATAAATTGAATTGAATTTGTAGTTATGTTCTTGCATACCTTACTAGTCATGAATACCGATAAATTACCTATCACAAAATTTGCACTTGGGTGATATTTAATATCACCAAAGTGCATAATTATATATAATATGTACACAATTAACTAGATTTCTAACTGCCTTGTTATCATACTAATGTTTTTGGTTGAAGCCACAAGCAATGATTTAATTCGATGGCCTATAGGTATATGGCCCGATATTATACATTTATGTTGTGATAACTGTTGAATCTGTATGTTTACCATTGTTATCGCAGTGACCAGAGGATCGGGGTAGTTGTCCGAAAATGATAAGAGTTAAACACGAAACAGACGGACATACTTCACACGATAGATGGGCTACTGTTGTAAGTGAGAAGTTGTGAAGGTAGAGGGAAGATCTATTGTATGTACGCAACAATTAACAGTTCCTAACGAAAAACGATTCTGAGCGAAGTTCGGTTAATTATATTGCTCTGTCAAAATTATAATATATTACAGTAAAATAATAGCACATGCTTTATATATTTTCTTTAATAATATTTTTTACAAAAACGATTTTTGTCAAATTTTAATATTAAAATTCTACATTACACTCAATATTTTATTTTTAACGACAAAGTAAGCCTTATAATAAACCTGTTAAATTGTCTAGTATTTCGGTTTGTTTCAACAATTTTATCCACGGATTACCTACCAAACAAAAATTATGTAAAAGAAACTCCGTAAAATTAAAACGTCGAAAAATGGCTACAATGTTTTGACAATTTTATCACGTCTAGAAAAGGCAAATATAAGTTTTCTGTCCAAACTTCAAGTCTAAAAATATTTTCAACTGAATCAAAACAAAACAAAAAACAAACAATTGAAAATAATACTTTTATAAATTTTCCCATTTTTTTCGTACGTTTTTACCCATTTATTGGGAAAAATCAAAAAATGGTCTGCTTAGAGTACCACCCCAGTCTGATTTCTTTTTAGAAAATAGTGCTACAATTTAAAATCGGAACAAAATTGCTGGTAGAACAAACTGTTTACAGGAAAAAAAAGCCGTAATATTGTTTTACTAATACCTACATTTCGTACATTTTCCCATTTTCCTCAGTTTTTCCCATTTATTGGATTTTTCCAATTAAATACGTTCGTTCTGATCTATGCTTTTTGATTATATTATTATTGAATAATATAGTACTATAATGTTGTACACTTATATTATAATGAAATTATTTTTTTTTTTAATGTATTATATGGTGTTCACACTAATACTGAAATTTTTATTAGAAGTTGGTGTCGCATACAAATTTTAATATAATAATTGTACATTATACAAGCACTAGCTAACAAATTTTAACCTAATAAATAATATTACATGTATATTATTATTTTAACGCGACTTTATTATTGTTATTTTTATTTAACTCTATATAATTAAAAATTACTTTAATGTAAGATTAAATTATTTATCATTTTGAACAATTTTGATAACCAATGTATTTTTGAAATTAATGACGAGGGAGCAAATTCAACGTCCCCGCTAATTCGGCTACACCCGCTCAAACGAGGAGTGTACTATAACGATATTTTGAATAAGGACAACGTATTGTACGTTTAGGTCGACATCCAGGGGTTAAAAAATAACGGGATGGAATTATATTATATTTCGCGGATAGAGAAAATGTATTGGACGTAAATCGTTCATAGTGCTTGTTCGTGGTGGACACGATATTCAATAAACACTTTTTTTTTCCAAACAGGGACGGCAAACTCGAACTCGAAGACACATGGTTGTGATGATGACTACTATTGTACTAAAACTACTAGAAAACACCTGTTCAAACACCCGGCCCGGGACCAATCTTTATACAGTATACCAGACAGTGTAGTATTCTGCTCTTTCTATAGAACTGTAATAACATCGATACAATAGATTGTGTTCAAAATACACCAGTATCGAAACATTTCGATTTTGAAAACATGAATTTAAAATCATGTTTAACACCGAACTTGGTTAATTTCGCTCGGCGAGGAGCATGTCGGACAATGTTGTGTGGGTATTATGAAAATTAATAGAAAACGAGTTTTTGGGTAATAAAATTGGTCCGGGTTTTCGTCAATAGCGTAGTCATTCGCCAGTTGGCTATTTGTCGGATATACTTCTTAGGCTGTACTGGACACGGATGTCGTCCAACGTCACGAATTTAATAAAAATAGAAATAACGGCGAATATTTCTGGATCTGTCTGCCCCTCCGAGATTACACAGACAAATTTTACTAAAAATTATTTATAAAAAATTTCACACAAATCTGAATTTTCCTTCGCCAATTCGATTAAAATGTTTTATATCCGCGTTCTTATAAAAATGATAAAACAAATAGATACGCACCGGTCCAAACGCACGTGTAGCGGACGGCGCACGTTGAAAAACAAAATGATTGGATTCGCAACCGACGGCGGTCCAAAGCCGCCCGTCGGAACGGGTCGGCACGACGTACGCGCTGCCGTTCCGTCGCACCGTAGGTGGCCTCACTTGCGCGAGGGCATTTGTTTCCAATCAAGACGTCGGACGACGTCGTCCGACGTACACGCGTTCCCAGCGAACGTGTACAGCCTTATGCGTATAAAGCGACGCGTATAACAACGCAGAAAAATATGCCGCGGGTAGACCAAAAGGCTACTAGACGCCCACAATTTTTATTTTTTTTTTACGACAAACCTTTATTATTTCTGTACATCTGATTACCTTTTTTAATATTACACCACACCGTTCAAGGGTTACGTCAAACTTAATTTCTGAAAGAATAGTAATTACAAAAGGTAGTTTTTAATTGGGTTTTGAACATTGAAATTGCAAAGGTAATTAGTGTTCTGGCACTGAAAACACCAGTAATTAATTAGTTTATTATCAGTCGAATAATTCGTACTACACTCGACGAACAAATGCGATTGAAAATCAAAAAGTTATGGCCGCAAATACATTTCATAACTCGCGAAAAAAGATTTTATAAATTTGTCGAAAATATATCCGATATTAAATAATATTATGGATTATGATACGAGCGACGTTGTATTTCAAATAATTACATCTAGACGATCAAAATTAATGCATACTATAAAAATTATCAAATTGGTCGGTTAAAATAAAAAGAAATCAATGCAATTTATTTAATTTTTATTTGAAAAAACCATCATACAAATATACTTGACTAATATATTGTATACAAATAACGTAAGAAGAAAAACACATTGAACAGAACAGTACGTTTAAAAATTAATCATTAGGTTTTTTCGAACTCTCAATCTTTTGTTGCTAAAATTAAAACGCGATCCGAAATGAAACTTCTTCGTGCGAGAAAAATTAACAAAAACATCCGAGTATAATCTTTAAGATGACCTATTATTATTACAAATGATCACAATAAATTTAGTAATATATTGTATTATATTGGCCAAGGATAATATGCGTTAACTATTTTTATTTAAATTTCATTGTTTTGTTTGAAAAGAACATTTCATATATTTGATAGAAATGATATATAGTACGTATGCATTCCTGTCAACTTTGTTGTTTTTTTTTATGTCTGACCAAACCTAATATTATTAATATCTTTTATTCGATTCGTAGTCTAAAAAAATAAATGTTATCAAATTTTAGGTAAGTACCTACCAACTTATCTTAACTATAAACCATAGCACGGTCTTTTTCTTAACGAACACCGATTAATAAGAAGTACTTAAAACTGTATAATAATAATAATACCAATTGAATGTTTATCTAACTTTATAATAAAAAAATTAGGTATAATAAGATAGCCAGTTTGTGAAAAATATATTATCCTACCGTAGCCACCGATTTAATTTAAATCACAACGGACGTTTTATGTCGAATTTTTCTTGAAAATGGTGACTATCGGTATTGTATTGTGCCTGTTATACATATATAACGTAAATCTTGCTTTAGGAACTTTTGCCATCTTTTTTTAGACCGAATGAACTCGAACTCAGAAACCAAGATAGAAATTTGTATATGATGTATGGTATATGTTTAGTATCAAGAATGCGCCTTTTCAAGCTTCTAATTTCAAGCTCCTCCCTAACAATTTTGAAGCTCAAATGTCATGTTTCTATAGAAAATACCGGGTTATAAATAATCCTAAAGAATCAAAAAAGTAAGTAAATATATGTGAATACATAAATACTAGTGTTATCGAGGATATACCTTTGAATGTTTGAACTTTGAACCCCTATCCCCACCGTCTGTTAGTTGGCAAAAATCTTGGGAACTACTTAACCTATTTCGGTGGAATTCTTTTTGTTGTTTTTCCTTATCGTAACCTGATAGTAATAGTTTATTTTTCAGCACCTGAAAGAGAGGAGGGGAAATATACCGTTAATTATGGTTGGGGAAAGGGGTAGACGTCGTTACTGAGTGTCTATAGTGAATTATTTACACCAGTGAACGACTAGAACTATTTTAGACCAATTGTGTATGAAAAAAAAAATAGCTGAATATTATAGGTACTGACAATAAGTCGACTGGGGGAAAATTTGATTCTAGTAACGGAGTTGTTCACGGGTGTTATTATTTGAAACGTGATGTTAAATGTTGTTATAATATTATACAGATTATTAATTGCGTAGTGGTAATAACAAACTAGGTATATGATTTTTTTTTCGTCTATATTGCATAAGTCAATAAGTGTATGTACTAACAATATTTAATTTTGATAATATTGATAACTATAAAAATAGAACCCAGAACTTAACCCTTTTTCGTTTGATCCAAAGATATAAGTTATGAAGTCACGACCGCGATAAAAATAAAATATGTCCAAATTTTCGATTTTAATTGGGAAATATATTTTTAAAAAAATGTACTATCATTGAACACATCCTCTTGTCAACCTACCTAACCTTGTACGTTTGATAATACCACGACGGAGAATACATTTTTTAAATTGAACACGTTTGTTTAAAAGCGAAAATATGTATGCAGGATATTTTTTTTTTTACAAATATTTACCTACGAATATTTCCGAATTACTTGTAAATCAAGACTATAAAAACATTGTCAGTTTCGATGAAATCAAATTTGATTTAAATTTGTTTTAGGTTTTTTTATTATCATGGTGTGTAGATCTTGGCATGACAAACAAAATATTTCATTTTATTTCATTAAGTATATGAATTGTCCAGTTCAATTTGAAATATAAGACTGAAGATTATAAAACTTGATAAAAACTACTAATTTTTAAACGACTTTCGACATTTTAGCAAGTAAATTATTAAACGATTTATAAGAATGCATAATCGCATGCACATTTCGTAAAATTAATGTACTTTTTTTTTTGCTCAAAAACAAGCTCTATAAAAAAAAAAACCTACTAATACCTCGTAGAATGAGCGCATTTCGATTATCTTTTATTGGTTGGCTGTAAAAAGACTTCCTACAAAGAGCATTGGACTTGGATTAGGTATATTTCTAAACGGTATAATTAGAGTTATGGTCAACTTTTATAAATGTTCTTTGTTATCTAATCAAAAATTAAAGTCTAAGAAGACCTCCTAAGGAAGTTTCTCTCTTTCAAACTGAATAAAAAATGTTCTAAATTGGATTATTCTACGAGGGTGTGCGAGTTTTTCTTATAAAGCATATTTTTTTTTAACATAAAAAAAGGTCGTGCTCAAGCACTGTTTGAATTATTTGTTAAGACTTGTTTTGTAAACATTCATAATTTTTTATTAACAAATTGTATTTGAAAAAAACCACAAGCAGAACTCTTAATAAAATATGCAAACAAAGGAGATAGATATTAGCTCGGATATTAGGTAATACGTTAAACGTTATAATATTATATTCAAATTAGATATTACAATAATTAATTGCATTACAAACTGTTAGAACGTGATATATTTTAAATAATGGCGTTTAATTCGCGTTCCTTTATCTGTCCATAAACGACCGACAATACTCGATTAGTTTAAAATCTCTTTAAGCACAACACGTCTGTATCCCAAGAGTTATAATTAATTAGTTATGGGTGTTTATTATTTATTTCATATTCAATATATTAAATAGTGCGATTTAGGATTAAGTATTTTAAATTAGGCAGCTGCATATATTATTACGTTTGCACGCTAATAATTGCCTATAAATACACGGGTTTATACCACTGATACCTTCAAATAAGTGGATCGACCCGTTCTCGATAGTAGGTATCCATTTTGAAGCGTTGAATTTCTGTACATAATAATATCGTTCAGAGTTTTACACCAGATTCAACATTTTATAACTAAACCTACTGGCCACCATAATACAAACTTTTTTTGCGCATACGAGACCCACAGCCGATATATTTAGACACCGAGCGCGGAGGGAGTAAGAGCGCCGCGTTACAATTTTATACGTAGTAGAAAAAAGTTTTTAAAAATACGTTTTTTTTTTTTTTTTAAAAATAGTGTGTCTTATGCGATAAACGAGTTGCACGAAACGTACTCGGGTATAATATTGTTATTTAATAGTATAACATTATCTAAACCGGCGTTTACGTACAAATATTGAAATTATAATTTTAAAAATAATAGGAAAATCGTTTATTACTAAAATAATCATTACAATAAAATAGATTTTTAAAAAAGCTGTAATTGAAATTAGTTAATTTTTTCTAGATAAACAGAGAAAGGATACCATTAGAAATATAATAATACTATAACGGAATTCAGAAGAAAAAATACGAAACATAATATTTGAATTCAATTACACGGTTATCGTCAGTCACAACCAAACGATCAATTATAATCAAAAATATTCAAACGGCCGGATTAAGTATTGACAATTTGAAAAAAAAAATTACGACGGTATTCATTATTATCGATGAAATATCAGCACTGTAATGATAACAAGTAGAAGAACCAAGCTCTATAACAAAAGTTTTTTTTTTTGTAATTTACAGAAATACAATATTCATCGGCGACGGCAAATTCGAGTGACAATAACGACGCGCTTATTAGTGACGACGGCCAATTACTATAGAAAATATGAAGTACCTGAAATATGGCATAGAGGTTATAAAAACAAAATGGTTCAATATTTCGCAACACAAAAGTCTGGTTTGGGAATATAATGTTTGTTTGGCGTTCGTGAAACAGTTATAATCGAAAACCTTGTGACGCGGCGCGTATAATACGGGACGACGTGATGAATAAACTATATCATATTTCGTTTTTATTTTTTTCGGCAGTTGTTGGAAGGAGCAGAAAGGTCAAACGTCGTTCGAGCAGACGGTACATTTGGGCTGTGGGTATACTAAACAATTATCATTAGTTTATTACGAGTTTCGATGGTCTTCGACTAGCGAAAGGGTCGTCGAATATGCCAGCGGTCAGTACAACGCAGCCGTATACTTTCCGAATTCAAATGGTTTCGAATAGGGAATGTAAATTTTTTTTTTTTACCATTCGTTTTTAACGGTAAAAATCGCCAAGACGCAGTCGACACGTATAACCGGCGACGGCGGCGGCGGCGAAGGGTTAAACAACTACACGTCCGTATAACAACACGGCGGAACTGCTCAATTGCCAAGAGACGACGCGCGACGATATAACGACATCCGTCCACGTTTCCATTAAACCCAGAATACCGTCTCGCCGTGCATACAAAAATGTTACACACGGTTTTTATAAGGGGGCGCGTCGTCGTCGATAAGAGGACGCCGGTCGGTGGCTAGGACGCTGTACTAACCTGAATTGACGTATATTGTCGACGGATGCCGGACGACAATATACTGTATTAAAAACTATCGGCTGGCTGGTAGTCGTCGTCGGTCGGTCGGTTGCGGCGGCTTAAAAACTCAAAGTACAGGCGCATCCACGAAAACACACGGCGGCAATCGTTTAGGACGGCACTTTATCGTTGCAGACACGGGGAAACGCGAGTTTCACAGACGGACATGTTGTAGTAGTTGTACGGTGAACTCGTGTGTGCGTTTCGATTGTCTGGACGAGTGTTGCCAAACGTTGCGCGCGAATCGCTCGGCAATCCACGGCTGCCGTGGCTGCTGCTCTCGCCGGTTGCCGGTCGTCCGTCTCACTCACTCACGTGCGCTCACTCGCCGGCGCGCATAGCTGCCAACCCACCGAAGCCCGCCGTTCCGGCAACGTTCAAAATATAATAATAATATTATAAATAATAACACCCGGCGTGTAATGCCGCGGGCGGGGCTCCAGTGGACGTAGCGTATGCCTACTGTCTTCAGTGGCCAGTGCCGCTATTATATTACACGATCGTCGGCCAAAATTGTTATGCAGGGACGATATTAAAAGTGCAAATGTTACACTATAGATACACGCACCACCTTGTTATATATTTAATCGATGTACGACGTACTTAAAAAAAAAAAATTGATCGAGTTGTTTGAGTTAAGCAATTGCATATCGCGTGCGCTCTTTGACATTTATCTTGTGTACTAAATTTAAATCCCACGTATTTATTTATTATTAATTTTGAACCGCGAAATAATTTACAATTTTTCGTGTTAGGATTAATGTTATTATTATAACGAATTTTATCAATTAATTGAACTCTTATAAAACAAAATTATGTTATGCCGTAATTTTGTTTTACAAGAGCTTAATTCTTGTTAGTACTATGGTGTATTGATGTGTGTATTTTTTTTGTATCTCTTAACAACATTTCTATTATAAATCTTGCTCTGATCTTCAAACTTCTGAAGTGTGATTTCTGATAACAAATTTTGTCTATTTGGAAAAGTCATTTAGATTCTGAGCGGAGCGAGGAATGTATTAGTTGTTTTATAATGTTGTTAATTTTTAATTTTCAATTTTTCTACGAAAAACGTTTCTACCAGAAATTTTGATCCGATTTTCAAGTGTAGCACCATTTCTGAAAGGAAATTTTATTTAGGTGGTTATTATTAAAAGGTCATTTCTTTAATTTTCGAAGTGGTTTTCATAATAATTGAGAAAACTCGGAAATAAACGTAGGAAAAACAAGAAAATAAACGAAATGTATTATTTTCAATTTAGTTTTTTGTTTTTATTTAATAAAACATATTCGCAGTGATTTGAAATTTAAACAGAAATTTATATATTTGCCTTTTCTAGACGTAATAAAATTTTCAAAAATGTTTATTCATTTTTGAGCTATTTATAGACATTTTAATTCTGCGAGTTTTTTAAGTAATTTTTATTCAGCAGGTATTCTGTGAATAAAATTGTTAAATCAAACAAAAATGATTGAAAATTTAACGGAGATTCATTATAAGTCCGTACTTTGTGGTCGAAAAAAATATCGATTGTAATGTAGAATATTTTTATATACGAATTTCAATATCAAATTTTGACGAAAATCGTAAATTTTTGTGAACTTCGTTCAGAATCGTTTTTCGTTAGCAATGATTAATCGTTGCGTACAGATTTACATTAAATTCCCCTCTATATCCTGCTTTCTCAACTTCTCACCTACAACAGTGACCTATCCATCGTGCGAAGTATATTCGTCTTTTTGTTTTATAAACTTTCAAACACTCGCAAGGTGATCTCATTTACACCAACTTCTCTAAAACTTTTGACCACATTAATCCTAGAGCAATAATTAATATGAGTGGCCCCCTTTCGGCAGAAATGTACTTTTCTCGTATTGGCCTGCAGTGTCCTTTTTCAGCCAAAAATTAACCTTTTCCTTTTCGGCTAGTACAGTTTTCTTTAAATTATAATGATAAAATATAATCTTATGAATATATCAATAGTTAATCAAAATAATCCAAAAATGTGATTTTTAATTAAAGTATAATTATATACTATATACAAATGTGAATAAATAGTAAAAATAAAATGATTTGTAATAAAATGTAACATATTATGTTTGATAACTAATGAATATCTAAATTGCGTATAATTACCTATATGTAAATTAAAATATTAAATTTGATTTGGATAATTATATAAAATATTTGTTTGACAAATTTATAATGATATATTACACCCAGTGGTGTATTAGTAAATTAATTTTGGTGTATACGCACTTTTGAATGATATGTTATGACAAAAAAATTGTCCTGCTACGCCTTAAATATAAAAATATTAGACATTATTACACTGCACTCCAAAATAAGTACTTTTATTACCTTTTTACTTTAACCACATTATTTTTGTTATTTTTATATCATTTTACCTATTCTTTAAATATTCACCCAAAAAATACAAATTATACTACTTTATATTTACACAATGAAAAAACACATCCTAAAATTGGTATTTCATAATTTTATTATAATATTTTCCATAACTCCTATAAAATAATAGTTCATACGACGAAACGTTTCGATTGAAGATTGATCATTAATCGATCCTTAGATTGGCTGACAATCACAATTCTGTGTGCAGACTAAGGATATGATGCACATTTATAAATTACATAATTGTTATAGTTAATAAAAATGAAATGTATCTTTATTATCTAGGATAAATTATATGTAATTATATAAGTTTATATTATATAAATTATATGAATTATAAGTATTAAATATTTTATCTGAAAACAATTTAAAAAAAAAAAAAAAATGTTATTGGCGACGGGTACAACAATGATGAAAATATATTATTATCAATATTTCAGAAATTATTTATCAGTATACGCTCGTATATGAGCGTGTATACCTGCGTATGGTCTAATTTTCAAAAAGTTATATTATGCTATGATCACGAATTAAGATATACAGGATACAGAACGAAAGTGTGATAAGTTAAGTTCGAATCTTCTCACTTTTGGCAAGGCCATTAACACCATCTAGTGTACTCTTTACAAACTATGTCAATGTTTATCATAGAAGGTCGGTCTAAGGCTGTGTTAGATTAGATTTACAATTTATTGCACATCCTACTCTTCCAGTCAAAATTTTTAACTGGTTTTAATTGATTTTTATACCAATTTCGTCTTAAAAGCGCTAGCTGTTTTGCCAAACAGTGAGAACCGGGTGGACTCTAAAAAAAAATTGATAAGACCTTTCCGTTCGGTATCCTGTATGGCTGTATATTTTAATTAATGTGTCTATGATTAACACATTTAATACGATTTGGGTATACGCCATATACTCCCGTATACCCTCCAATACACCACTCTATACCTTGATATTTAAATTATATTGTAGAGGACAACCACTACATAATATAAATACATAACTAAAACAATTTAGATGCTTATTTAATTAATTATTTCATCTATATGATGTACATGCTATACATTGTAAATATCCTCAAAAACAAAAGCAAAAGTAGAAAGAAATCGATTCAAAATAAATGACCTTATAATCAATTGCACAAGGTGAGCCTCATTTTCGGTGGTACTAATATAGGTACCAATACAGGTACCAATATAGGTACCAATTCTAGAAGATTTTTTTAACGTTGAATATTTGGCACCTTTTCAATCAAATAAAATAATGATGTAATTTTTATTCTGAACATAATCAAACCATGATTTAACCATGAAGTGATTTTTTGGTATAGGTACTTATAGATTAAGTAGACAGAGACTTACAGATTAAGATTAGTGACGATTATTTGTCACTTTTTCGGCCAAAGCTATATTGGAGTTTATTTTTTTATAAGAAATAATCTAGTGGATATCTCCCTCTCCATACCAAATTTGAGGAAATTGTATAAATATGGTTTTATATATAACTTAACTTATAATATAATTTATGTATAACCTCAAATTATAGTGTCCTATAACTATTTTGACAGCGGTTTGTTGAACGTTGAAATTGGAAAATCTCACGGACGTAGTACGTGCAGTATTTTAAGAGGTTTTGCATGGGCAGTTTCAATAAAATTAGAAGAAATATTGAAAATTGATCTATTCTAAAATATTTAAACAAAATTACAAATAATTTCATATCATTATTATAAACATTATTTATGTCATCATGCTATAAGTTTAAAAATATGTTCAAAACGTACATCTCGCCATTCTAGAAAAAAACGCAGTTTATGTTGTATAGTTTAAAACTTATACGTTTAGTAAATTTATTTAGCGGCATATATAGTGCGTATATATTTAGTAACCTTAGATTATCTAATCAACAGTAAGCAGTATACATGTTCATAATATTGAATGTCAATATTTTAAATTCTTTTGTAATTCCATAAAGTAAAGATATTTCAATAAGTTTGTTCCTAACTTTAATTAGTCGGAATTAGTTATTTTTTATATTTTAGAATTTATTTATTTTATTTTTAGAGTCATAAATAGGTACTATTAATACTTAAATAGTATGTAACATACAGTCTAAGTTATGATACATTAATCATATCAGACATCATTTTATACTTAATTTGCTAATCATATTTTATTATTTTATTAATTAAATACATAAGTGGTTCAACTATGGTGATTATAATTTGTTATTATGTTTTTTAAAAAAGAAAAATTGTATGTTTGGTTGAATTGGTTGATACTGCTTTTGTAATTGTAGTTTTAATAATTTTTGACTATCGCAAATGCAGTATCTACTTAATCTTGTCAAATAAGGCATAAACTATAAATATTTGATTCAGGAAATATTAAATTATCCAGAACGAATTCCGAGATAAATAATTACAAATTATGACCAAAATATTATTGAATAACATTAATAATTAACAATAATATTGTTAACAAGCAAAAAATTTCAAAAAGAAGAAAAACCCATTTTCCCAACATATGCATTTTTGTAGATATTGTCTTTTATTATGGCAGGGCAGCATAGGTTTCACTATTGCAGTATTGCACAAATATGCAAATATATATTATATTATGGTAGTGGTACAAAAATAAACCAGCGAGCGATCAAGTATTACCTACCTATAGTTCGTGTGGCTGTAACCTTTAATAATATAAAACAAAAGAGTTCAGACCAAATATTCTTGGTTCCTTAGTAGTGTGAAGGGTTGGGAGGAGGCACCAGAGGGATTAAACCCATGGGCGGCAAAACACTAAATCCACCACTGTAGGGAACGTGGTAGTTGGCCGAATGTATGCAAGTACAAAAAGACATAATTATTAGGTAGGTATATACTTTGAACATTGCAAGCCATTGTATATTGAATCGCATATTAATTGCTGTGTAAATTTGTGTAAATGGGTACACTTAGCCACATAGGTACTATATGTCATATGGGTATCTACTATAATTATTGGCGTCGTTAAATGTTCAAAGTTGTGAAAATTGAATGAAGGTAGTAGAGATTTCGGAAACATACAAATACATACTAATGACATACTAAATATTCTCGTCGCTATAAGTTTAAAATTGTACGTATATTTACACATGCCTTCCCCCATTTAAAAGTTGATTTACTGCAGTAAAAAATGCCATACAAATTCTGGGTTCAGTCATATAAATACATACAAATTACATACATTAAAAAATGACGACTGCCAATAGGGGGGAAGGGGGGAACTGACGATACGTACGTGTACTCACACAAAACAGAAATAGGTAATGTACTTCAATAAGTGTTCTTATATATGGTCTTGTTGTGCCTAAGTGGATGAAGGTAAAGGAAAGAAGAATATAATATATATATTTAAGACTTGACACAAAATCTCAATTTTACAATAATAAAATAATAATAGGTATTATGGCAATTGACAAGTATGACAATATATTATGATGATAACCATGGTCTTAGAACTGACAACTCATATTCATACAATCATACATATTTCATGTCTTCATGAACCATAAATCGTGGTTGATATATACAAAATATAATCATTTGATCAAACGATAAACACTATCTATAGAGTGTAACTCATTATGCACTGTATCTATATTCTCTATTAAGTATATTAAATAATAATTGCATTCAGTGCACATTAGTGGTTCGCGTAAATACAATTACAAAATATTATTTATTGCGAGCAAGTGTTCTGTCCAATTCCTGTACCGAAATATAAAACAGTTTAAGTACCCATAGTATTTGGTAGTAGATACCTATTCAGTTAACTACGATATTAAAAACAAAATCTTTTTTTTTTTTTTTAGCTGCATTGTAAGATTGTAGCAGCCAAGTGGCGCAGGACTAAAGGAAAACAGGTGGTTCACAGCTGGCGTTCAGCGTGCACATAATAATCATAGAATACATTTCATGGTCAATACTCAATGTTCATTATTCATTAGATGACTTCTTCCAAAACCATTTTTGTTACGAAAACAGGTACCTAATCTGAAGATCGTAATAATGGAATTTAAAGTCAAAATTACAGTTTACACCCCTTGTGATAACCTTGAACGGTGTTTTAAAGTAACGGAAATTAAAAAAATTGATATTATAATACTATACACTGGAACTGTATGCAGATTGTTTATAATTGGATTGTATAAACCTTCACAGGTACTACCACAGTCAATCTTCTTCGACTTCATTACACGCTACTCTTATTCTAACTCGGTTCTTAAACCGACAGTAATGGACAAATCTGTGATTTTCAATTATAGCACTTTTTCTGAAAGGAAGTCTGACTGGGGTGGTACTTTAGGGAGATTAATTTTTGATTTCCAAGAAGTTTTCATAAAAAATGTGAAAAACGTAGGAATAACAGAATACAGTAGAAAATAATATAAGTATATAAGTATAGTAAAAATAATATAACGTATTATTATTTACAATATTACCTACATAAATTTTAGTAGCTTATTAAAGATTTAGATAAACATACAATATTATGTACTTAAATGTTTCTAAATTTCCAAAATTTAATTTTTAAGAATAAGAAATGTATATACTATATAGGTACATTTCGAAACTTAATTATATTAAAATAGGTAGGTTATATCCTTATAATATTAATTGAATATACTTAATAAATGGTTGTAGATATTACTGTATTAGAATAATTAGGTGATATTGTACAACCTAAATAATTACACCTAAATTATCAATACAAAAATTGTGAAATCCAACTTAAAAATTTTGAAATTTAAAGTTACATTGATATTTAACTATTTTATAATATGTTAACAATTGTTTTTTTTATTATTAAATTAAAGGTCTATGTATTCATAACATTATGTTAAGGATCAATAATTGTTATTTGATGAACCTATATATTTGATTATATTTTATTTAGGCGCTGCCTAATGAATAATAAATTCTTAAATTCCAAAATTTGTATACCAAATGTAAAGTAATAACTCGTTAGGGGTTGAGTAAACAATTTATTGAGAATGAGCTCAGAAAATGCTATAAATACTATATGCCTATATATATCTTACCTATATAGGTAGACAGAATGCTTTCTAAATTTAAACATTTTAAAAGTATTTCCAATAAATTTGTCTAAACATAGTATATAATTAATTAAGTTTTCAATTATTGAAAAAGATGGTTTATTTTTAAATTGTGAATTATGAAGATATATTTTTAGAATATTAAATTTAATCTAATTTGTATTGTTATCGAATCCTAGTAATTTGTAATATAGGCAGGTTTAATATATCTATTTTAACGCATTACAAATTAAATTATGGCGATAATGATTTTACGTTCAAGAATTAATAAGCGGGGAGAAATATAGAAATATTAAATATTAAAACTATACTTAATAGGTATCTATCTAAGTATTTATCTTTGTAGCAGTGGTGCAACCTGGGAGGTTTGGGATTTGAAGTTATAACCACCCCGAAATTTGTGATTTTACGAATTCTACCTAATAAACATAACGAATAATATACAGTTACAAAGTAAATTTATATTGCAATAATTATAGGCATTTCCTATTATTGTAATAAATTTTGAATAAATTTTGAATGTGCGTACGTCGTAGGTACCTACATATTTTTAGTAATTTATAACCTACTCTCCTCTTGAAAATTAATCTTAGTTGCACGCTAGCACCACTGCTGAATATATATATATAGATAGAAAGAGAATAAATTAATTTAGGGGTGGACTGATACATAAACCTATACTTATAATATCTGCAGATATTAAATTAATTTTCAGGGAACTGTTATTTAACTCAACATTTTCGAAGAAAAATTTCTACAAGTATAATATCTTTGGAATATGAAAACATATAATAATAGTACATTGGTTAATTTCTATATCAACTAATGGTTTTCAATTTTAAATGTCGAACATCGGATATCGGTTAAAAGTGATATCGGCCTATTCTCATCCCTATAAATTATACATTCTAAAGACGTTTAAAATAATACCTAATCCATTATAGGTAGGAGCAAGTTAACAAGGAAAAACGTGTCCACAGACTAGAACAAAAAAATAAACAGCATTGTAAAACCAATAGTTCCCCTCGCTACGCTTGGAATCTAAAATAAATGTTAAATCTAATGTTTGGAATAAGTCATGCACGATGCACCTATGCGTATTATTTTTTTTATACATGGCAAAACAATACATATTAATAGACATATTCAGTCATTTCAGGTGACAACAAACTTGTGTCTTGTTGTACATGGGTACACAGAGTTAAACAAATATTGTATAATTACAAAATACGTAACGAACTATTATTATTTACAAATAAAAAAAGGTTAATTGTTATTTCGTATAATAGATAACATATGTATGTACTGATAACGCATACATTATTTTACTCTTACATAATATGTATAATATTATGTCTGGGGCTCGGAACCTTGACTCGTTGAGATCCGACAGAATATGTGGACGTGCAATGACTAATGATAAATAATGTTATTGATACATAAAAAAAGTGAATAATATAAAAATGCCATTCAGTGACGTCGTGGCGACGGATTAAACAATTTCAGGCTCATTCAATCAATCTTAATTTTTTGAAATTTTAAACTAAGTGAATCACAAATAAATATGTATTATATTCATTAAACTATTAGGTATCTATTATTTAATAATATATGTATAAAAAAAAGACATCCTAGGATAATGGGGTCGGGTGCAGCCACTGTTATAGGTAATTTAATGTATATCTGTAAGTAACGATAAACCATTGCTAACGATAAACGATTCTGAGCGCAGTTAAATTGATGGTAATACTTTGTTAACAATTTATATATCAAATTATGGTAAAGTAATTAAATGAGCGTTATATATTTTCTTTAACAATATTTGTTCAATATTGTACTGATTTTCCTGATTTTCTGCGTTTTTCCTGATTTCCCCATGTTTTTCTCGGTTTTCACATTTGCTGAGAAAAATTGGAAAAATCAAAAAATTACCTTTTTAAAGTACCTCCCTAGTCAAGTTTCTATTTAAAAAAAGTTCTATCGGAGCGAAATTGCTGGTAGAAAAGTTGTCTACAGAAAAAAAATTTGTAATATTTTGCTAATGTATTTTGTAAATTTTCCCGTTTTTTATCAGTTTTTCACGGTTTTTCCTATTTATTGGGAAAACTCCTGAGAAAACCAAAAAATAACCCTCCCAAGTTACCACGGAGATAAAATTTTCTTTCAGAAAATACTACACTTAATACATTAGAGTAAAATTGTTGGTAGAAAAGTTTGCACAACAAATCGAGGGGTATTTTGCGATTAAAAAAGTCTGAGTAAGCGATGGCTCGAGTCTTTAGATACTTGCAAAATGTATTTGTTTTTTCTTTGTTTAGGAAAAAGGAAAAAAAAATGCAAATTATTTTTTTCGAAAACACAGGTTCGAACTCGCAATTCTTAGAATGACAATATGTATGTATAAACCATTAGCTACGACAGACATACCTTAAAGAGGACAATTTTTAGTTATTTAATATAATATATAATATCCGCATAATTTCAGAATTTAAAAAGCTATCATTTTAAAACTTAGACAGTCCACTCAATTCTGACTTCATCACCGTTTTAAAATCTGCAATATACATCTGCAATAAAAATTGACTTCCCAAAAGTATCATCTGGACAACATTCCCTTTCAGAAATAGTACCGCGCTTATAAATCTGAGCTAGATTTCTGGTCAAATTTTTGTACACAGTATAAAAAAAAAAATATATATAAACATCTTAGTAAAATCAATACATTCTTCGCTACACTCAGAATTTAAAAGTCGTAAGACATTAGACATCAAAACATGAATAAAATCGTTCAATAGTCACAATCAACTACGTAGATAAAGAATGGGCATACGCGATAATAGACGATAAATAATAAATTAGTAGATATATACATTGTATATTATACAATTTATACATCATCCAATTGAAAATATTTTCTTTTTGTGATTTAAACAGATGGAGCAAATCTTAAGACTTTTCAACATGATTTTATGATATTGGTTATTTCCATTATAATTCAACTTTAAAACACATAGGGCATAACAGTCATAGCACAATATATAAATCATCATTCATCACATTTATCGTTGGGGATACAGAACAGTGAACACACACAGGTATGCACAATGTACATCATTGATTATTTAATGAATTAAAAAAAAAAAATAGTTTATTGCGAATAGTAATATTAAAAAATTACAATAACGTACAACATATATGGTTTACGCACAATATAAACCCATAGGTATGGTGTGTTGATAATTTAAAAATAACATTTTAATTATACACTATTATAAAATCTAAATTATAATAATAGATATAATGAAAAACGCATCTATTTTTTATTATTTAGATTTATCTCTAAGAGCACTTACATACGTGGTCAAATTTTCAAAACACTAGCCATTTTTTAGTTTTTTTTTTAGACATTTTAATTTTTCGGTGTTTTTGTATGTAATTTTTGTTTGGTAGGTACTCTGTTCAACTAAACAGAAATGCTATGAAATTTAATAGGAGGATCGTTATAAGTCGTACTTAGTGGTCAGAAAAATTTGTTTTATTGTATTTTTTTTTCATTGTTTTATTTCTCGAATATACCTAAATATATAAATATACCATAACTTTTTCAACTTTATTTTTTTTACACATATACATTTCCAAAAGGTAATTTTTTATTTGTTTTGTTTATTACACATTATTTGTTCAATACACGGGTAAAATATTTAGTATTTCTTCCCATGATACTCGTATGCCTAAACTTTCTAGTCTATTTTCACTCATTTTGTATAATATTAAAGTTACACCTAAGCATTTAAGGTACTTCTTATGTACTATTTTCTTATCCTATCTTCTTTCGTCATTTCACTCATCTACCTAATAAAATTTCTCATCTCTGCTACAATTATTCTTTGCTCTATTTTTCTGTCTATAAACAGTTAAAAATAGTGCTACTGTGATAATGCAAGTGAATAGAACTGAGTTTTATTTACTGACGATAAGTAGTTATCCCCTCCACGACTATACTCGCGGCTACACCAGAAACGCGTGACCGCCAGGTTGTGCTAATTAATTATTATAATTTTCATATATTAGCTTATCATCACTTATTATTACTATCCATCACGATTAAAGATGCTATCCGCTATGCAAAGAATATCTTATAGGGTAGGTAGTTAGAATTCAACTATTATTATAACTACATTATTGCTATCTATTACCGGCGTTACCTAATCTTGGATCTACATTTTGGATGTAGCCAATATTTTTATTTTTTTTTTTTTGGGGTATATAAACATACAATTTATCATTAACTACCAAAAATCTGATGTTTTGGTTAGGAACTTTAAGACCCCATGGTTCCCCCTGCCTATATGCCCATGGTGACCGAGTAGACATACAACTTACATACATCATGTAAACTAGAAATTAGTTAAAAATGTATTTTGTTAATCTCTGCATAAAATGAGCACTATCTGGGAACACTAAACCTTATAATCAGTTCACAACCTAAAGAAAATACCAACAGATCGCGGTTTTTCTTGTACTAGAAGAATGCGTAGATCGAGTTAATACACCGCTCATGCACACAAGAACTATGAGTTCACGATGTAGCGAAGGTATGTAGAGAAGATATTTTCTTACTTTGTGACAGCTAAAATCTAATCTATTTTTGATAAAATTATAAAAAATTTAACACACCTTCGGTAACTTGGTTTATAACTTGTTGGTTCATTAAAATGGGCGGTATTAAATCTTTCTCTGACGAATTCCCTAAAAATTGAAAAATTGTGGATAACGTTTCTGAACGCACTCCTGGTCATAGTAGTGTTGTATATTCAATGATAAATTGGTCGTCATTTCTTATTATTTTTTTTTCAAATGATAAAATGCAACTGTGAACCAATGGCGATATATTTAGATACGTGGTTAAATAAATACAAAATGATAAATGGTAAATTTAAAAATGTTTAATCATAGGATAAATTAATAGTCGAAAATACCGACCTATTTTAATATGGATATCTGTGTTTTGTAACAGCTATACACTTCATCAAACCGATTACAATGTTGTTAAAATAATAATGAAATAATTGGGCAGCGAAAAAGATGAATTTTTTTTAATCTGAGTATTTGCGAATACATTTTACTACTTACATTTTGAATTATAATTACAGACATGATATAGTACCTACCTACCTATTATATAATTATTTTTTTATTTTATACCTTTTACTGGTGAACGTTGAACCTATTTAGTATTAAATATTTATTATTAGATTTTTTGCTGTTTCTATTAAATAATGGAATATGGAATAATACCATGGCTAAATAAAGTTTACCCCCTTAGGCACTTTCTTACGAGATTACATGAGAACATTAATTTCATAGCAATAATAAACGGTGAATTTTAGTCATAACTTTTTATTTTTAATGATAATTTTTGAAGATGTTTTTAATATTAGCATATTGAGGATGATTAGTGTGTATTAAAAACAAAATAGCCCAGATAAAAATATAAGTGACAATAATAAGCAATACTTTTTTTTGATTTTATAATTTATGAATTGTGCAAAATATACAACAGATTATCATTATTCAGGTAAGAAAACGCGAGGTGTAATGTGGAATTTTGATCAAACTATTTCGGAGTAGTTAACCGGCCCAATGTAAAATCGTAGTATTTTACATTCGGAATAAACAACATATTCGAAGCAATGTTACGGTGGTGAAATGCAATTGCTACGACGGAATAGTATATGTTCGTAGCAGTTGACTTTCGTAGCAACGAAGTCTTCCTTATAATATGTATTATACAGTGAGTTGTAGCTGTAAGTAAAATGTTTTTGGTCGCAAGTAAATGGCGTCACTGTTGTTTTTATGGAGTGACCGCACCACCCCACCGCGCCTTACCTAGATGTTCCATTTTAAAATATATTGATAACCGTGTTTGGGATTTTACAGATAGTGTATATTATCTATGGATTTATGGCCAACATTTTCTAATCGAGTGAAATAGCCTTTTAAATTTGTTTGTATTTATCAGCTGCATTGCTGCAGTAGTCGTAGTTCCAGTGTTGTATTCACTTTTTTAAATTCTTGCTTTTCAGTTTTTGTGAACTTGTTTTAGATACTTAATATTTTTTTCCATATTTTTCACATCCACAAATTTACATACAACATACCTACATAGAAATTTTTGTGATTCCGAGGTTTGTAAACTACCTATATATTAATTTAGAGTAATCAACCAATATTGTGGTTAGTAAATCTTTAGCTGTACCTATGAAACCATTTTTGTTCTTGATATTTATTGTTATAATATCAATATACTAATATTTGACTATAAAAAATCATGTTGTATGTTAGACTATAATTTTATAAACAGCTGTTTATTCATAATTGCCATTTTATCAATTTACGTTTTATTTATTCAGATCCAATTCTTTTTAATAGTTTTTATCTAATTTTATATGCTGTTTGTATTATTATTAGAAACAAAATAATTATTATCCATTAATCTTTATTTTATTCAAGAAAATAAAATATCATTTGTTAGAAAAATTATTATTTTACCATTTTCCTACTTACTTATTTTAATATAATGTTATTACACATAGTTATAGCTTTGTATAATATAAAATAAAATACTTCATTTTAGTGAATTATGATTTTGGGACTAGTTAAGCAATTAATTTCCGTGTGCATGAATGATCTTAGATAGATGTAAATTGAAAAAACTAGTACACTATCTAGGTAAATTTAAAATAATAACACCGTATAAGATAGTATGATAAAACAAAAAACGTAGAATAAAATGAAAAAATTATTTACTTTAAAAGTATTATAGTATAAATAACTAAGGCTATAACATTTGTTTTATAAAAATTAAGGTAACGTTAAAACAAATATAGGTAAAAATGTCTGGAGGTAATTATGTCAGAATAACCAAAACCAAATTGGGTATAACATGATTGCGCACTTTTACCTTTTCTATTTGAAGAAATACAACTTGATTGTACATTAAAATATTGTATATTGTTATTATATATGTCCATTAAATATAAAAATAAATATTTGTCTATAGGTATAAATTAAACAATTATAATAAAATAAATTATTTAGTTCCTAAGTTATATACCAAAAAATCATAAAATTACTATCAAAAATAAATTATTATGATAAACAAATTATGAAATTTCTAAATTATAGCCAATAAATTAAAACAAATTAAAATTATAAAAAAAAAATAATAATAAAATGAATCAAGTTCTTATAACTTTTATGCACAAAATAGTGGTCCTAATGATAATTAATAATTATTTAATGAAATTATCTCATTACTTTTGTATTTTCCAAGCATTAATTAAAAAAGTAATATTTTCTTCTTGTTCTTTACACAACGTATAAATTATCAAAAGTAAAACCAGTACAAATTATAAATACCATGCACTAGTCCACATAATATTATATCTTATTAAAAGTAAAACCCATTTCTAATGGCTCGTATTCGTTAGTTTTGGTATCTATCTAGCTTACAAGCTGGCCATACAATTATTGTTTGCAATTTTCTTCTCCTTATTTTTATTTACTAATTGTATAGTTCAATCAAAAATAAACTCTCAATGTAATTTTTATTCAGAAATTTTTCCATGGATTTTTTGGTAGAACACCCATTAAATTAAACAATTAACTATATTTAATTTTTATAAGACGTAATAATTGTTAATTTAATATGTAGGTATAATTTTAATTGAAGTCAATATGTACTCGTACATTTAATAGTTTAACAAATCATACATAACTAATGTACTTCTTTAAAGATCCTCTATATCCATAGTCAGTAAGTTATGATTACTTAAAATAATTAAAATAATACCTAGTTATAGGATATGAAACTGATACTTAATCTTTGATTGCATAGATTACAAATGATTTAAATCAGTTATTTGTATATTTTTATTAGTGTTATCAATTATTTTATGCTGGTGTCAGTTCACAATTATTGTTTAAAACACAATCGTCTGTTCATACTTATGAATATTTATATTTATAGTTCATAATATAAAGTCCAATTTCTTTGTTTTTTTTTTTTGCTGAAATGTTAATAATATCCTTTGGGTTTATCTAAATATTATACACTTGTATATATGTTTGTAGTTCTGATAATATGATAGTTATCTTTTTGAGGGCACCAAATATGTTACATAGTACAAACCATTTTACTCTCTTGGACTTCTTATAGTGATGATATTTGAAAGAGATTATTGAGGTTTAAGAGCACACTTTTATTGTTATTATCCACCTTGCGTATGCAATGGTTTCTGAAATAAATAAAATATTTAAACAGTCTCATAATTATGTAATTTATATACAGGTGTCCTACAATTTTTTCTGGATGTTAACAGCTATTAATATTTAAATTTTTTTTTTAAATTGGGTTTTGTCAGGATATATATGTAGAGAAAAATATAATTTTTTTTTCATCCCTAAGTCATTGAAAAACAAAATAGTCTGACATTACTATATCTATGTAATTACGTATAACTATTTTATAAAAGATTTTATTCTTAAAATTTGAATGTACCATAAATCAATATATAATCAACAGTTTCTTATGAATAGCCATTAAAGTTTTTTAAATTTTTAATTTCCAACACAATAGTTTTTAATAAGTACCTATAAAATAAAATGAAAACTTACTTATTGTAAAAAGAGTTATCAACTGACAATTTTATTACTGACAAGTGATCAAGTGAAGAGAGTAAATCACCCAGGGCCGGGATTTTCATGTAGGCTCGGTATGTGAACTAAAAAAGTAAGAAAAAAAGTGTTTATGGGAATTTTGAAAAATCTGGACCTCCTGTATGGGCATCTCGTAAAAACCCTAGTGCAAAATAATTGTATTTCTTGGATTTTTGAACAAAAAAGTTTGCTGCCTGTTATCTTACACCGCATACAAATCAGGTACCCTGGGTGTTTATAATAAATAATAATATAAATGTTCCAACTAGAGAACTTCATGGTAGATGAAAATATTATTTTGTTTTTGGGTTACCAACTTTTCAGTGAAAATAAAAAAAAATTTTAATAGAAAGATGTGTATACATCCTTTAAATAGTACACGTTCTTCCGAAGGTGCGTTTAATTTAATTTCTGAAAATATCAAATGAGATTCGGTGAAGTTTTTCTAATTATTCCCGGATGAACGTAACGGCATTTGATGAGCTATCAATTGTTTATCTAGGAATACGACTTTTAGGAATCAATATTAACAAGTGAAATAATAATCGGCCACGCGTTTTATTACTGTGTTTTCCGCCCGGGAAAATACAAAAGTACAAAATTTAAAATATACAATATATAAATACGTATATATTGTGAAATATTATATCAACCGTTCGATACAGAAATCAAAATACAAATGGGAAAACCTCGAAGTTAAACGTATATAACGTTTATTTTAAAAATCCGTTCGCAGTAGTAGCTGCGTTTCGAGGTTGCCGTTGTATATCTCGCCCCCACTCGTCAACCAGTACGTTTTCAGGCGTGCGTTGCTGACCCGGTGTTGCGCACCGATTGGTGTGTGCATATTGCATAACTGTTTTAAGTTATTACTCTCGGAGCGATAATATTATGTCCACGGCATAATATTGTTCTTTACCGACAAATATTTTCGAATAATTTTGTTTTAACAGCATCCAGATATATTCTTAATGAACGATTTTTATAACGATTAGGTTTTAAAAAAAAATATTATTTTTATAAAGTGGCATGTTGTGCGCTTGCACCTGCGCACCTGCACGCGAGCCTCCACTGCTTAACATAAAAAAAAAAAATATTACATTAAAATCAAATTTTTTTTTTTACTACAAAGTACGGCTTTTAATGAACCTCCTGTTAAATTTTCAAGTATTTCTGTTTAGTCTAACAATTTTTCCACGGAGTACCTATAGAATAAAAATGACGTACAAAACTCGCAAGTTAATGTCAATAAGTAACTTAAAAATTGGCTTAAATGTTTTTAAAATTTGACCATGTCTAGAAGAGAAAAATATAAGTTTTCTGTCCAAATTTTAAGTCACCATGAATGTTTTAAACTGAATTACATTACAAATAACAAAATTGAAAAAATAATAAAAACATTATTTTCGTAAATTTCCCGTTTTTCTTATATTTTATTCTGGTTTTTCGCAGATATGAGAACCGCTTGGAAAATCAAAAAAATGACCTCCTAAAAGTACCACTTGCACAATACTTTCTAATAAAAATAGTGCCGCGCGTATGTATCAGAGCAAGATTTCTAGGATAATGAAGATGGGTGAAGCTACTGTTGTAGGTGGGAAGTTGGGAAGGTAGGATAAAGAAGGGAATTCAATGTAGATCTGTAAGAAACGATAAACCATTGCTAACTGAAAAACGATTCTGAGCGGAGTTCAATTTATAGTGATGCTTTGTCCACAATTTATGTCATATTATGGTAAAAATAATTAATTAGTCATTATATATTTTCTTTAATATTGTACAGATTTTCCCTTTATCCCCATGTTTTTTCACATTTGATGAGAAAACTCCTGGGAAAATTGAAAAATGACCACTTTAAAGAACCTTTCCAGTCAGATGTTTTTTTAGAAAAGGGTCTACATCTTATATATCGGAGTAAGCTTTCTGATGGAAAAGTATTAATAAAAATAAAAAAAAAAAACATTGTAAATTCGATACATTCTTCGCTACACTCAGAATCTAAACATTATAATTACAATTTTATTTGTGTACTAGAAAATATCACCATAATTTGTTGACATAAAATACTTTTTATAGTGATTATTTGAAGAAGCGGCCCACCGGTAAAACCCTCGAATTCGCGGTTGATTATGATACTGTAATATTTTGAAAGAAAACAGTTGGCAACAGAGAAACATTGTTTTTAGTCCCTTGAATTCCCTAGTCTCTGACAACTTAAAACTTTCAATATTCAGAATTCGGAACACGATTAAAGATATTAACAGTCGACGAATAACAATACAATGTATTTTGACGATGTCAAATTTACCAGCAAGCTATTTGGGAAACGGTCAAGTTAGGTTAGGTTAGTTACGCCTCGCTTCAAGAAAACGCATTTCATCTTCAACCACCTTTTGTTGGCTAACCTGTAGAAAATATTCTTTTAAAGAGATGGTAACTTTTTTTTTCGAGGATTTGACTTTTTGTACCAATCTACTTCCTATATTTTTAAATTATAATATTGTATGTCTTGATTGGTATTTCGATAAAATCTTAAGTTTTATTTAACACATTTTTATTTATTTATTATAATTGACAATATACCGGCCTATAATATGGATTTTCTTTATTATTTTTTTAAAATGCCCTGTTTACTTAAGAACTATGGTAATGCTTTATTTTTCCCTTCATTTGGCGACACTGTAATCAATCCGTTTGTTGTTTGTTTTACTTTCATGTCTTCTGTTAACTACTGTGAGCCTGTGACGCTGTGTCCGTTCGTTGCTCATTTCATCGGAGTCCTTACCGCTTGTTGTTTGGCTTTTGCTTGTTGGTCGTTTTCTGTTTAAGATTTATATATCAAATTGTCAAAACCGTTTTATTACTGTATTTTTTTATTCAAACATCGTTTTTTATTTTTTGTCGGTCTTGTGTGGACGTTTATTGAACTCTGTAAGTTGATTTTAGGATTATTTATTACTTATTGTTATTAGGCCCAAAATGTGGTATTGCCTGATAATGAACATCTTTTATCCATGTCACAAAAATTATGACACGGATAAAAGTTTAAATTATTTTCAATCCTATAACCGTTTGATAGATTTTCGTTCTTTTTATTCGTATTTTGTTTTATTATTATTTTATTATTGACAGGTAGTAGGTACTTTTTGTATTATTATATCGACTAATATTTTTATTATTATCACATGTTATATTATTTAATTATAATGAATTTCTCAAAAATTATATTAATGGTATGAAATCGTGCTGAGTAAAATTTTTAGTCGTGGAATAACATTAATTATAATAGTCAATCTGTACATCACAATGCTATTTGGTAGGCCGCATACTGAATAATAGGCAATTGATGAACTAATTTAAATTTAGTAAAACTATGTTACTGGAAAACACAATTTAGGGTAAATATATGAATAAGTATTTTGTAAAATATTAAATGCCTCCTAATGGTGATATGTTGTTGCGAATGAATTGGCTCAATTGAATTATTCCAAGTGAATGATTTGAACTAGTTATATTTAGACGTAAAACATTAGTTCGTCTAAACAAATGAACGATTCTTTGAAATCAAAATAGATAACATTTAGGTAAAAACTAAAAATTACTTGTAAAAAATAAAAAAAAAATATATATATATATAAATATTTACTATTATTTGATTATAATTTACAATTTTGTGAATTTATGCATTGTACACAGCACATTTCCTTGCACATCACTAAATAATTAGTTTCATTTGACAATAATTTTGGAGACTCGAAAAATTCAGTAGCAAAAGTGTAGCTTTCAAATGGTTTTTTCGATATGAAAATTTAATTTCTATTTTCATTCACAGGTTACTTTTGTGACACCGATAGAAATAAAAATAATTATTTGTAAATCTGGTTATCTCTGACAAGAAATTATCCTTTAAACAAAATTAATTATTAGGAAATAATAGTTAATACTGATTTGGATGAAAACAAATAACTGGGGGGTGGGGTTAATACTTTGTATAAGCAAAGCCATGTAAGCCAATAAATTGAATGTATTTATGTAGGTTAATTTGAATATTTCCTCATTTTTCTTTTGGACACATTTTTATGACTGATATTATTAATGATTGATTCATAGACTTAATACAAAATAATTATATTATATTTAGTAAAATTTAATTATATTACCTAATTATACCGATAAAAGTATAAAAAAATAATCTATTAGTGATTACCTAAATTTAAGATAACATTTAAAATGTTTGTGTTATGTTGAATTCAAATATTTAAGTATTTCTTTATTAGACTATTCAGAGAAGGTAGGTTTTTATTATAATTTGTGATACAAAAGATTGTACCTATCATCCAATTTAATATATTTTTTCTACAGGTCCAAGCATATATTATTTTCATTTTGTCAAGAAATTTTAGTGAAATGAAATTTTAACTTTTAAAATAATTTGAGCTGGTCTACTATTAAATGACAGGGTAGAAATGTCTGAAAATTGGTTAACTTGGTTACATAGTATTGATTATTTATTCTGCTATCCAAGTTAATATTTATAGATTATAATGTATTTTAACCTATGTTAGTTTTAAAAACATATATATATACTAATAAAAATATGTATTGTATTCAGATATTGTTTTCTAATATTGTTATCTATCTTGTTATTTACAGAAAAATGTCAGGTATCGCAATAACTCGTTTATCTGAAGAGCGTAAAGGTTGGAGAAAAGATCATCCTTTTGTAAGTGGCATATTTATTTAATGTACTTTACAAATGTACAGTTAAAGTACCATCAAACTCAAAAAATCAATAATTATATAATTAACATAATAAATAGAATACAGTTTAACTACCATAATAATACAACTAAAATTAGTTTGTGACTTTCCGTTCACTAGTTATGGTGATTTTTAACAATGCTTGTGACGTCATGGATTCATTCCCTGTGGTGGCGGCTGTATATAATGCACGGCAATATTTATCCATTTTTGGTTTAATGTTAAGTAAGTGGTAATGATATCATTTTTTTTTTGAATAACCTAATCGAATGTATTTAATAGTACCTCATAATCTTTCTATTTATATAATTATATCATATTTTGGTTCAATATTTATAAAAAAAATAATTATTATATTGTAATACACCACTGTCATAAGAGTGCTTATTATATTCTGTGCTGCTATGCGTTTATTTTTAATTTTGTATAATTTTATATTATCGATGTATGTTTTTCATAACTGTATTATAAATAAAAATGATTAATTGAAGTTGGAGCATTAGTTCTGAAAGCTTGACAAGGTAAATTAAAATCAAGTGTTGTAGAAATAGAATTAGCTAAAAGAAGAGCTCTAGGGAGGAATGAGTTTGTACCAATGTTTTACAAAATGGAATCGTAAATAAATCTGTACTACCAGTTTGTTTATGAGGAATCCAGAAATTAATTAGAGCTAAGATATCAGGACAGATAACTAAACCGTTAAAGATGAAAAATGAAAATAATATCTGCTAATTTAATGTATGCCTTATAACAAGATTATGAACACCTAAAGATTCTTGAAAATATATTAAGAAATATTTAGGTAAAGAAAAACCTGAGACATGGGCTATGTTTAAAAAACTTATATTGGATATATTGTGTCTAAATCACTATTGTAAGTTGAATAATCATATGACCAGATAAGAGGGCCAAATTTGAGATGTGATATTATTAAAGAATTATAGAGAGTTTTTTTTAAACAGTAATATTTCTAAAATAATTTGTATTTCCATTAATAAAACCAAGCATCCTGTAAAACTTATTAACAATTGTTTTAAGATTTATTTTAAAGCTAAGGTTATTTTCAAAACATTCCTAGATTAGAGTTGACATTTGATAGTGGGAAATCATTGATGCATAATATTGAAAAACGGAGGAATTAATTTTAGGGGTAAAGGATATTATTTTGGATTCATTGATAATAAGAGAAAATATTGTTTTCACTCCAAAGAACAAATAAATTTATTTAAGTTGGCTTGTAAAATTTGTTGATTATTGACCAATTGGATATTACAAAATAGTTTTGCATCACCAAATAATAATATATTAATTGATGGTTTAAGAAATAGAGGTAGATTGTTTATAAATATTGATAATAATTAAGGTCCCAAGTGAGAAATTTAAAGGACACCTGATAAAACGGAAATCGGTAGAAAGATGAGATAATATTTTGATAGCTTGTTTGCGATTAGTGAGGAAAGAGAAAAACCCTTCTAGGAAATGTCCACCTATTCCGAAAGATTTTAATTTATGGTACGACAATATATAATAAACTTTTTTAAAGTCTGTATAAATTTAATCGACCTGATCTTCATCTAAAGCACTTACTAAGAAATTACGGTATGTTATTAAATTAATAAAAATTGAATGTTTTGCTAAAAAAAATATGTTATGTAGGACTTGTATAATAAGTTATTAAATTTGATAATTTTATTGGTCTGTAATTTCTAACATTATTTCTATCGCTGGATTTTTAAATATTACTGATAAAAGATTGTTTCCAAACATTTAGAAATACACCAATGGAAAGAAAAAAAATTAAATAAAGTTAGTTAATTATAATACCTTCGAAAATATATATACAGAATTTAAAATAAGGTCATGATCAATAATGTGTATTTCACCCAAATTATAAGTAAAATTATTTTTGGTATAAATAGATGACAATTAATTAGAAAATAATTGAGTAAAATCATTTAAATGATTAACTGTTAAATCATCTGAGGAATATTAGATATGTTTTTTTTTTTTTTTAGTGATTTAATATTATTTTCAATTTTTAATATGTAATTTGAGTGAATTAAATTGTTATTCGGTTGATTATATAGTTGTTTATATTTTTACGTAATTTAGAAAAATGTAAATAATTTTAGTGAAAGTTTGATGTTTTATACTTTTTGAGCGTATGTTTTTTTATATTTAATTAAATGTCTTAAATCATAATTAGACTATAGTAGAGAATCATGGAAATTATTATTAAATTTTATTTTTGGAACAAAAATTTTACAATTATGATTTAAGATTAAACAAAATTTTTGGACTTCATTGTCAAGTTCTAAATATTTTATATTAGAAATGATATCAATTTTTTAAAAATGTAATAATTTCCATATAATTACAAGAATTATAATTGAAGAATTTAGATCTGATGGACTCGATTAAAATTGTGATATAATAATACAAACAGAAAGATTATGATTTTATTATGAAGTAGTTTTAAATTCATTTGATTAGGTCATTTAAAAAAAAAAAGTTTATTAGCAGTTATTTTATGTTAAACTAAAAATGCATTGGCGCTCAGTATATTTTTCACAAGGGTGTTGAAAATATAAATATCGTAAGTAATCCCCTGGTCAAATATGAGTTAACACGTTAACTGTGGCTTGTGTGACTCCCCTGTGAGGAACTTTTATTACCTTTATTACGAGAATCGTTATCAATATTATAAACATTTAACAGTGTAAGAGATCTCATTTACGGAAGGTGCAAAAACAAATACTTGTTAGTGCCTGGTATTATTGGGAGAGATGAGAATATTATAACAATGTGTCGACGTCTGCTGCAGAAAACGAATATGTTTTGTCATATTATATATATGGCCACTGCCGCGATATACAAAATGTTAAATATCATCGTAATTAGTGAACGGATAGTCACAAACTAATTTTTATCATTATGCTTGTTCAACTGTATTCTATTGATTATGGTAATAAAATAATTATTGATTTTTTGAGTTTGATGGTACTTAAACTGTTTTTTACACGAGATAAACTATTATAATAAATAGTAGTGTTTATTTGTCTTTGCGCTATCTATAGTCGAATCTATTGTAGCACAGGTATCTGAAAATGTTCATACATTATTGTATGCGTTTTATGATTCATTTGCTCTTTAAAGCCGGATTTCTGAAGATCTACTCCATTACATCCTGGCTCAAACAGGGTTTTTGATTTTTCTTGCCATTATTTGTTGGATATAGATAAACAAGTACAATAAATAATAAAATCAATTATAATTAGTTAATTTAGTTTCTCTGAGCAATGAAGTATAACAGTTAGTTGTGATAAGCGTGGGGGTTGAAAAGGGGCGTATGTTGATTGTGTAAAGTTAAAAAGTCGTTAAAAATTAAAATTGTCTGAGAGCAAAAACTATATTCATTTTTTTTTTGTATATTAATATTCAATTTATAAAACATTTAATTTTAAGGCATTTACTTATCTGTATTTTGTGGCATTTAAAGTTGATCAATTTCTGTCTGTAATGAACGCCAAATCTTTACTAAATGACACATTAATCAAGTTTATCATGATTTTTACTATTTGTATTGCTGGGTCCACATAGAGACTACAAGATTAAAACAAAATAGAAACTGTGTTTTTTGACAAAATCAAAACATTTTAAATACAATTGTGTTTTTTCCAACAAATTGTTTCTGTTTTTAAAAACAGTCATGTCCCAAGTGGTGTCGGTAAACATCAAAAAGTTTTGGTTTTGTTGTTGTTTTTGTGAACATTGTCAAACGTGTGTGAACAATGTTTTTAAAACAAACAACAGATAATAGTTATCGGGATTTCGTGCGCAGTACCAATTTGGTTATTTATAAAAATATATTTATTATATAATTATAAATTCATTGTCTACCATTTAGTATCATTTGGTACCAATATCATCATCTTGTATATTATTTAGAAGCTCATTGATACCAAACAAATTTCGTTTTTGTAAAGTTGGTCTTACCCAATAACGTCTTTTAATCTTATTATTTTTTTTATTTTGTAACTGGGAGGTAAATTTACACAGCACCCAATATAAGTAAATCTTCATTATATTCAATATTCCTTTTCAATTTCCACATTGTCACTTGTAGTAAAAAAAAATTAAAAAACTTATAAGTACGAAGTGTTCAGAGAGCTAGATCTCTGAAGACATACTGAATGATCACAAATAGACAAAATAAAACCTGTTGTTTTTTCACCATTGATATATTAAATTTATTTTTATTGATTATAGTTAAAGAAAGGATTTTTTAATACGAAATATGCTTTTAGATTATCAAAAAAATTATGAATTGGCATGGCAAAAGAGCTGGTATAATTAAAGTAGGAGATATTTTTTAAAATATTCCTAAATTGTTTATATATGAATGATGTGTGATATTACAAGGTGTAATGTCAACCACATGGTTCATTGTGCATATTATTCCAAATTGATAACTTCATAATATTTTAGTTTTTAGTTTTTAGTTTTAGTTATACATTTATTAGGTTCTAATTATGCACATTTTTGTTGTAGGGTTTTGTTGCTAAACCAGCAAAGAATCCAGATGGTTCATTGAACCTTATGATTTGGGAATGTTATATACCCGGAAGAAAGTCTGTAAGTATATATTAAATTTCTTTTTTGATTAATATAGGTCAGAATTGTTTATGATGCATAAGTTTATTAAGAGAAATGTATGAATGCATACTACACAAATGCATATACATGTGCTCCATCTATTTAAAAGCAAGGTATGGATTTTGCGAAAATCTACTAAACTATGAAATGAGTTAAATCTATAAGCTTATAGGCTTATAAATAATAAGCTTATAAGGTTCTTTGTGTTTGCTTCCATTTCTATCCTGTCACATGTTGATTTTTCACCCACAACATCAAACATAGTCACATCTTGTAGTTTATTTTGAAATTTAAATGGGTTTGTTGGTAAAGTTTAAAATTTAATATATATGACTTTTATGTAATTTTAGTTTCTGAGTGGAGAGAAGAAGCTTATGGTTTACAATGATCTGTGAACAACTTTTCTACCAGAAATATTTCTCTAATTTACAATGATAGCACTTTTTTTGAAAAAAAAATTTGACTGGGAAGATACTTTGGAGAAGTCATATTTTGATTTTCTCAGGAGTTTTCCCAATAGATAGGAAAACCGGGATACCGGGAAATAGGTACAATATTAAACAAATATTATTAAAGACAATTTTTGATGCATATGCAATTGTTTATTTTACCATAATATGACATATTGTTATCAAAGCAACACTATCAACTAAACTTCGCCCAGAATCGTTTTTTGTTCGCAATGGTTAATCGTTGCTTAAAGATATACATTAAATTTCCGCCTGTATCCTACCTTCTCAACTTCCCACCTACAACAGTGGCTGCATCCACATGTTAAGTATGTTCATCTTTTATAAGTTTATTGTAATGTGGTAAATAGTTAAAGATATTCTGAATCAAATGTTTTTGTTGGGTGTGAAATATTTACATATTAAATTTAATTAATTTTTTATTTTTAGATATTACAGAATAACTTATACAATTTAAGTATATCATGTGAATTATTATTTTTAGACGGCTTGGGAAGGTGGTATGTATTTTTTGCGTATGATCTTCAAAGACGATTATCCATCCAGTCCACCCAAGTGCAAATTTGAACCTCCATTATTCCACCCCAATGTGTACCCATCTGGTAAATAATAACAATAGAATTTATGTAATATAATATTTTTAAATTGAGTTAATTCCAATGGTGTTTGTTGTTTATGATGAAAGGTACTGTTTGCTTATCGTTGTTGGATGAAGAAAAGGATTGGCGTCCAGCTATTACTATCAAACAGATATTATTAGGTATTCAAGACCTATTAAATGAGCCTAATATCAAAGACCCTGCACAAGCTGAAGCATATACTATTTATTGGTAATTAAATTTTATTTATTATTTAACACAATGATTTTACATTTGTGTCGGGAATTATATTGAGAAATAGAAGATTAAAATTTAATTTGATATACTCAATTTGAACATCTTAAAAATGAACTTTCTCATTTTTTCATTGAATAAGTATTGTTGTATACTCCTTTACTATGGGTTGTGTTCTATCCAAACTGAAGTAATCAAAAGACCATCAAACTAACCAGTTTCAGTTAGACCACCCAGAGTTTATAGAACTATAAATTAATTGGTTTTGCATTGAACTCTGAATAAAAAAAAAGTATTGTGATTACTCATAAATAAAATTAGGATATACGCAATAAAGTCCTTTTTATTTAAAACTAACAGAATATTATGTTCGCCTCTCTAGTCAGCTCACCTGTACGTATTTAGGCCAAATTGTCTCTCACTCCTTTTCTCACATCTTCGGCTTTTTAAATATCATTTACAATTTGTTGGCTCAGCTTATTTGCTTCACTGGCCCACTTCCTAATATTGATGTTTAAACTTATATGCAATTTTTCGCATGTTGTGTGTGTTGGAATAATATAATACAGTATATAACCATATAATATATTGTCAATTTTAACATTAGTCCTTACATTTTATGTTTAAATTATTAGTGCATCATTAGCCTCAATTTGTATATTATATTATATACAATATAGATCCCAAACTAGCAATTTTAGGACATAACACATTTTGATGTAAATTAGGACTATATATCTATTCATTAAAATAAATGTATTCTAGGGGATATGCTATATAAGTTTATATACTTCTCTTTTGATTATAATATTATTAATTTCATATTGTTTGTTTTTTTTTTTTTTTTTTTTTTTTTAATGCAGTCAAAATCGCGTAGAATATGACAAACGTGTTAGAGCGCAAGCAAAAGCAATGTCCAGACCTGAATAAGATGAAATGACAAAGTTTCCCTTTAGAACATAACGATTTTCAACTTGATTTCACATCTGATAAGAAGTTTCCATGTAACATACTCAGCATTAAACATTCAATTGGCTTATCTTTTTTTTTTTTTAAAAAATGTATTGTACTTTTTTAAATTATAGCGATACTATTATTTATAATTACATTTTTGAAAAAATATTTGAAGAACAAATTGAGTTTTAATTACTACTATTGTATATAAATATTAGAGGACAAGATAATGTTAGAATGGATAATTTTTGCCACTTTTATATTCTGTTAATTTTGGTGCAGGTTGATGTGATGTATTTTTATAAATTAATTTTTTTATTGGACTCCAAAGTAGGCAAAAACATCCTTAATATAGTTCTTTGATATGTTTCAAATAATTATACACATTTCATACGAAAAAACAAATATAATTATAGAATTTCATATTATCAATCGCACAATATTTAATTAAATTTAATTACTTATAACTATATATTTATTATTAATAATAATATACAATAATTATTTATATATATGTGTAGTCTATCCAAAATAAGACTACGAGTTTTCGTTGCCGGCGGTCATAGCTACGCCTATTCTACCTCCTGTTTGGTTAATTATTTGTTTTACCTTTTAAATTAACTGTGAAACGGAAATGGCGCCAGTAACGACTTTCTGTATGTGATTACATAGTTGCTACCTACACAATGCATTTTAAGTTATTGGTGCTGGTTGGGTGTCAATTATAGATTACTACTGCTCCAGAACGGCAGAGCTAATGCTCCGTGTGTGTAGTGAAGGCTATACCTATGCGCAGAATTCTGCTACCGACTACTATTCTTATTTTGGATAGACTATATACATATATATATATATATTTTATATTCAATTCTTTTTTAAACCTTGATTGGATACAATTTTTTTTTAATATGTAAATTGGTCTTAATGAGGATTTAGTAAGATTATATTGTATATGAGGCACCCAAAACACAAGGGGCGATAGTGACTTTATTTAAATTTGTTAAAAACAAGCTCGAGAGTTTACTTGTTTTCACAAATCGCAATGAAATGATGTTTTGTAAAATTGTATGATTGAATTATGTTCTCTATTCATATAAAAAGTTATTTTATGAGATATTTTAAAATTTGAAGAGGACATTTTGGATTTAAGAATCGTTTATTGAGTATTGATCTCACTTATATCTCTTACTTTAAATTTACAATAAACCTTTCAAATAAGAAAAAAAATATAAACTTAAGACTTAAGGTAATAAAACTAAAATTTATTAATATTGAAATAATCACAATATTTTGATGACAGCATGACAAAATAAAAAAAAAAAAATCAATAAACCTTTTTAAAATTTAATATTATTAATATAATAAAATAATATTAGTTTTTAATGTTATATATCTTTGACAGTCATTAATATTTTAGTCTATCAATGTCATAAAATTTGTCTCATCTCAAAAGCCTTAACATTATATTTTTGTATCTTTTATTTTGGAACATCACTCAGAGTAACAAAAAAAAAAAAAATTGATGAATGGGGGGTATATATAGAACTTAATCCAGCAGGTTCTTTAGCTTTGTTGAGGTTTATGACAGGTTTTACTGTTACCAATGGTTACGCAGCTGTTCTGGTTTGTTAACAGATAGGTTAAAGAGTACTTGTACCTATTTCCTTCTTAGGATCGATTTCACCAACGTATAAATAGGTGTTTATCTGATTCTTAAACTGAGTTTATGGCTGATAATCTACTAAGATTAGTCGATTATCTTATAAACTTTAAAAATCAATGTTTACAATGGTGAGAACAGGCCTAAGTATCTTAGCCATCACACAAAATCGCATCTTTTAAATGTCAGCGGTTTTATTGAACACTTATAAATATGAATGAGCATTAGATAGGTACTCTGTGTGGATAATATTGCATATAAAATATTTTATTAATATATACTGATGGTGTAAAAACAATTATACAGATAAAGCTCTAGGTGAACTATTTATAAAAAAAATATTATTAAACTTTTAATTACATAGTAAATTCTTTGAATAAGTCAGAAAGTTTCAAAGAATTTGGAGATTAGAATTTCTTTTAAAATAATTAAATTTGTTTTAATTTCGTATTTTAGTACCTAGGTAGTAACTATAGGTATTTATAATGAATAATAGGGACTTAGTGTATCCTACCATTTACTATAAATATTAGTATTTTATAATTCTTAAATATTCTTTATACTAGTATACTGTTATTATATAGTATTATGTAATTACAATGAGTACAAGGATTGAATAGTAAATCACACTGACAATATTGTTATTATTATCATGTTCTTCTAGACAAAATGAGATTTATTTAGATAGATGAACCACTTGTTTCAAACCACAATTTACATAATATATTGAATAGGTATGTTATCTATTTAATAATAAAAGGTATATTATGACAAATTTGTGGATGCAAGACTGGTTCCCACGAGGTAATTAAATAATAAGTTAAGTAATGATACAATGGAAAACTATTATGAATGTTTCTTAGGAAGTTCGATACAATTTTCAATTTTGGTTAATTATAAATACTTATCTGTATCTTTACTAATGTTATAATATTTAAATCTAAATAGTATGGTTGCCATTGCTAACCTAAGAGGTTATTTCTACATCATCTGTTTATTGAGGAAAGCTACTTTTAATCTCAAAATCTAATCCACAAACGGTGGCTTATACAAGGTTTTTGGTAATATTGGAATGCAAATTAAATTATTGTTGTTGATTTATGGGTTACTTAAGCATTATGGATAGAAAAAAAAACTAGTTATTAGTTAATTTGCTTATATGTATTATATACATTAAAATAAGTACTATTATGCAATATTAGAATAAAGATTATTATTTTTTAGTTAGTACAATCAATATTTTGTGGTAATTAGATAATTGTTTGTCCACAACTACAATATCATTAAAATTTATAAAACTCAAGACCTGTAGAATTGCATTAAATTATTGTAATTTGTAAAAACAATAAGGGAATCATTAAGCATTACTCTTTGAAACAAAACTTGTTTTAGTAATCCAGTTCCTATAATCCATATGGCCATGCAGTCCTATACAGGTAATGGTGCATTGCACATTTTATTGTAAACAATGTACCTATGTATTTATATATTTTAATACTATAATATTAAGTATGTATAGGCTAATGGATTTAATTTAAACATTAGAAAAAGTTTAGGTAGTTGTTCTTTTGTTGAAGTAATTAACATAATATTTACAGTAAATAACTAAATAAAAACCAATTTAACTAACTAAAGGTTATTATTTATTATCACAAACAATTAACAGGTGAGGATATTATAATATATTTTGGTGTTTGCAATAAAGTAAACACACTAAACAGTTTCTAATTTGTACATAGGTAATATATATATATATATATATCAGAGTATTGTGTATTTGTGTATCACTATAATCAAATACTATAGATTATAGATCTGTAGTATTTACTATAATATAATGTATCAGTTCACAGATATAGTGTCATTGTTTAAAAAAAAAAAAGAATTTAGAGGTTTATATAGGCAACCTGGTATTAATATGGAGCGCTGTAGTGTCCCCTAGAAAATCTACAAGCTTCCCGTATTCTAAACTTTAATATTTGATTAAAGTGATAGAAACATTGGAGGCAATAGGAACAAACTGGAAATAAGGTTTGTTATCATGATATGATCTTTAATTTTCGTACTTTTGGTGATTGTACATTTATACCAATTTTAATTTGTCACAAAATAACGTTTACCGTTACTTGATATTCATTAAGAATGCGATGCCATTCTTTACCAGTATTTCACTAGAGTCGATTGATTTGCTTGATTTCACGTAGTAAACAAATATATCTTGAATTTGTTCTTTAGTAAAACTATTTTAGATTCTGAGTGGAGCGTAGAAGCTTTTACAAAGTTGTTTTTTTTTTTTTTTTTTCTTGCTATTTGTAATTTTTCTACTAAAAAATTGCTCGGATTTCTACGTGTAGCACCTTTTCTTAAAGGAATTCGGCGTGGGGAAGTACTTTAAAAAGATTATTTTTCAATTTTCTCAAGAGTATTCTAATCAAGTGGAAAAACGGGAAAATGTACAAAATATAATTTACAATTTTTTTTCTGTATACGACTTTTCTACCAGCACTTTTGCTACAATTTTTAACTATAGCAATGATTCTAAAAGGAAAATTTTACTAGGAAGGTACTTTACAGAAGTCATTTTTCGATTTTTTCTGGAGTTTTCTCATCAAATGCGAAAAATTGGGATAAAACATGGGCAAATCGGTACAACATTAAACACATTTTATTAAAGAAAATATATAAAGCCAATTTAATTATTTTACAATAAAATGACATATATATTGTTGACAAAGCATCATTATTAACTGAACTTCATTCCGAATCGTTTTTCGTTAGCAATGGTTTACCGTTGCTTACAGATATACGTTAAATTCCGGTCTATATTATACCTTCCCAACATCTCATCTACACCCGCCCTATTATCTTACCTTTGTTTTTAATAATAGTAATAAAAAATAAAAGGAGTCTTAGGATAATGGGGACGGGTGTAGACACTGTTCTAGGTGGGAAGTAGGTAAGTAACGATTCATCATTGCTAACGAAAAACCGATTCTGAGCGGAGTTCGGTTAATAATGTTACATTGTCCACAATATATATGCCATATTATGGTAAAATAATTACATATTATATATCATATATTTTCTTTGCTAATACTTGTTTAATATTGTACCTATTTTATCATTTTTCCTATTTATTATCAAAAACAGCTGGGAAAATTAAAAAATGACTTCCTTAAAGTACCTATCTCTTCAGTCAGATATCCTGTTATCACTGCAGATAAAAAAAAAAAAAAAATAAACATCGTTTATACTAATACATTGTAATACTAATACATTCCTCGCTTCATTTAGAATCTAAAAAAAAAATTATAAAATACAAATATAAGATAGTAAGTAGATAGGTCGTCTCAAAGAATAGATACTCCATGAGATTATAATATACGTTATAAACTTGCATTGTAGGTCAGGGGCGCACCTAGGATTTTTTTGTTTTTTAGGGGGGGGCTAATTCAAATTATTTTCAAGTATTAATATTATTTATTTTAAAATATGTAGCTAAATCCGAAAATATTAATACTACATTATATTACATAATATTACACTTATATTTTTACAACTAATTTTGTATTTTTGATTCCGGTTTTGAGTCGCGGTAATGTTATACCATATAATAAATCTATGTGTTATACCCGTAAAACATAATCATTACTTAATTGTTAATTACATATGTTGCGTGATGGTGATTATTTGTGTTAGATCTTACCATTTAAATTATGAATTTGAGTTACCTTGATCCTTTTTTTCCTAATACTGATATTACTTCTGAAGTTCGAACATCGATTTCTCTGTGAATATGAAGCATTGCTAATCCATTTAGTCGATCCTGACTCATTATATTTCTCAAGTATATTTTTTATTATTCTTAAAGTGCAAAATGATCTTTTTGTTGCACTAGTCGAAACAGGCAATGTTGAGAATATTTTTGAAAATATAAATATAGTTTAAAAGAGTTTCATTACACAAGTTTAATGCATCGATTGCATTAAGTGGCAATGAATGTTTTAGGCATTGGAAATTTTGGTACCATAAATCAAACTCGGCTACTGCAACATTACCACCATTTTGTGGTATATCATTGACGTTTCGGAGTATTAAAAAACGTACACATTTTTTGGAGAATGCCAAAAGCATTTCTACTTGGAACTATTTCAGTTGCATTTGATAAAGCTAAGTTTAAACTCTGCAAAACACAATGTACGTATATTGCAGTTGGATATTTATTCGAAATGAACGCTTGCACGCCTTTAAATTGGCCGCTTATAGAAGAAGCGTCATCATAGCCTCGTACACGTAAAATGTTTAAATAAATCCCATAATTGTTTAATATCTCTAAAGGACATTTGCCAAGTTTTGATCTGTTGTGGATTCAACAGGAACAAATTTTAAAAATTGTTTAACAATTGTATACTCATTATTGCTCATTTATTAAAATATTAGGGGCCAACATTCTTTTTTTTTGAGGGGGGATTAAGTCAGTTAGCTCTCCCCCTTGGGTGCGCCCTTTTCGTAGGTACATATTATTATATTTCTTCAGTGTCGTTGTACATTCGCAATTTTGGGATGATGCCAGAACGTTCAGGTAATATGTTTTTCAAATGCAAAATTTAAGTGTATAAGTATTTCGGTTTTTGGCAAATATTCATCCGGTGTCTAACCAAAGTCACGCATTTATAATAAATAATAATGCCTGACTTAACAAAAAGGAAGGGTCACGTAGATGTTGCTCACAAAAATAAGAAACACAATTTTGTTTAAATTGTTATTTTTAAACCTATTTCACTGAGTTTCCTCCTGATTCCACTGCAACATTAATCATAAACAAAATAGTTGCTTTCATTTTTTTTTTTTTTTTTTTTTTTTCATAATTTTTTTTTTTTTT